CACCTTCTCATCGGACTCGTAATGCCAGACGAGTTATGATCCGAAGGCCTCGGAATTCATCGACCGAAACTGACAGTGATCCCGAGGCCAATCACGAGAGTGATCCAGAGAGCAATCCCGAGGACGACACTCATCACATGGAGGATGATGCTGATGATGACACAGAGGAAGGTAGATCCCCGCAAAAGAGACCCAGAACAGAGCCTGGTCCTTCGACAGCACATGAAGGGACAGTGGTCCCACATGCAATTCCAAAGCCTCGCCCGGTCAATGCAGGGAAGACTGGTGCACTGCTGACATCGCGAATGGGCGACCTCCTGACTGGGCTGACTGCGAGAGTCACTCGCAATGTTCAGGAGGATGGTGCAACAGAACGAGTCAATAGGTCGCCGGCGCTGAAGAACATGCGGGGAAGAAAGCGGTGATTGAGCCATCGGCGAGGACAACCCGGAGTAAGTCAACACAGCAGCCATTGGACACAAGCACTCGAGTGACGAGAGCAAGGGGAAAGAAGTAATGGGCTGATACTACACTGCCTGCCATTACCTGCTTGTATTTACATGTCAATGTGTAACTTTCATATATCAGACCTAATATGATATGCAGAGTCCCCACTAGTCAATATCGATTATTGAGTCCCGACTATTGAGTCCCGACTATTGAGTCCTGACTATTGAGTCACAAACATTGAATCCCGACTATCGAATCTCGAGTCCCGAACCCCGAGATTTGTCAAACACCGAGTCCCGACTATTGAGCATTGAGTCCCGAGCATCGAACATCGAGTCCCGAAAATCGAGTGCCGAGTGTTGAGTCCCAATTATCGACTCCCGAATATCAAACATCAAGTCCCGACTATCGAGTCCCGAGTGTTGAGTCCCAATTATCGAATCCCGACCTTCGTGTATCGAGTCCCGTTCGACACCCGGGGACATGTATTGAAAAATTCGGTAGTGTACATGAGTGTGGGGATGTCAATGAAAATTCACAGGTTGCAATGCAGTAATTTACATGGTCAGTTGTTCTTCAAAGTGTTCAATCATGGAATCTACTACCCTGAGCATTTCAATGCTCATCTGTTCAACCCTTTGCAACCTCTGCAGGTCTGCATCAGCTTTTTTCAGTTTGTCGGATGTTTCTGCCCAAGCAGTTTGGAATGGACGCTCGGCCTCGATTAGTTGTTGGATGGAAGGGTCAGGAAGACCTCCAGTACAGTGTTTGTAATCATGGAGTCGATCTTGGACGGATTGGTCTTCCAGAAAGATTAGCTCAAAGATAACTGCTCTGCTTTCAGATACTCACATTCTGGGTGTTGGTATTTTCCGAAAGGATGGAGCTCCCGGACCATCAACCGTACATCCTCAATATTGAGCTCCGGCTGGTCTGCAGGGAGTTCGGTAGATGATTTGTCGGCTTGGGAGATAAGATCGGTCTCCATAATGGTCCAGAATGAATGGACCCACATGAAATAGACACCTCTGAGGTAGCCGGAGCAAAAGTGGGAGGATCAGCAGAGTCCAGCAACTCATCAACATCAATGACATCATCCTCAGGCCCGAGGTACAAGTCTGGATCAATGAGACAGCTGGCATCATCAGCTTGACCCGGATGTGATTGATCTTCAAGGGTGAAGTTAGCATGCATGGTGATCCCAGGTCATCAGTAATGTATAGTCATACCGGGTATTGCAGCCGACGCATCCGGGGGTCCGGATGACATAGAATCATATTCTATGTCATCATCCGGCCCGAGGTATAAGTCATCTAAGTCATCTAAGGGATACCCGGTGAATAGATAAGGCATGATAAGAATACAACATACCTAGTGATGCCCGGCCCATAGATGAGTCATCCACATCCATAGAATTATAGTCGGTCACCGGTGGGTCATTAAATCTAACGGCTGGATGGGAACTCATGTGTGGAGAATTGGTGGACTGATTGACTGATGATCTAAAAAACTTCGAAGTTCAACACAAAGCCGGCAATTGCCGAAAGTTGAACCACGACCAAACAAACACAAACAATAAACGATTTTGTGGATCGCCCATCAAATGTCTTGTTTGTTTGAAACTTCATCTTTCTGATAACTGATTTCAATCTGATTTCAAGATCTTTAAATCTCTCAACCCACTCATCATGTCCACTCCAGTTGACAACTCTTTGACCCATCTCAAGGCATCTGCTGCCCAGATCATGGCATCATCAGTGCCGCCCGGCAGATTCCCCTGGGTCCCAGCCACTCGGCTTGGGAAAACAGGTTGCTACACTTGTGGTATGTATTTTGTTTGGGTGCTTTTTCTTCTCTAACATCTTGGTAGTCTGATGTAGCCAAGGAGTATGGTCCGGGGATGGTCCTATTCCCGGCCTCATCATTTCGTGCTCCAAAGAGCTCCAGCGCATCCGCAACATGGTTCCCAAGGTCTGGCCAGACTGGCACTCCATCGGGTATGACAATCCTCGCATTCTGAGGCACGCCTGGTACCCCCAAGGTCCTCGCCTGGAACGCCTTAGGCAACCAGACCTTCGATCTCCCAACTGCTGCCCCCCCATCCACAGGTCCGATTCCTGTCAACCTTCCCTCCCCAGCCATCCCTGCCGGCAATGTTGCCGGCCCTTCCACCAACCCCACCACCGAAGTCCCGGGACAAGGGGACAGGTAAGGCCGTCTTCGCTGACCCAGACCCCGAGGCAGAAGGGAGTAAGAAGAGGAAGTCCCCCTTGATTTCTGGACCCTCCTCCCAACCCCCGAAATCTGCGATGAAGAGTCACAAGCATCAGAGGTCTGCTCGCATTGTGAAGTCCAAGGCCATTGTGGAGTTGGAAGATGATGAAGACTCGGTTATGCAGGTATGTCGTCTTGTTCATTTTTTCATTGTCTCTCATTTTCGTGTAGCCACCTTTGGGTGGAGTGCCGGAGGTCGTCCTTCCCCGGCTCTCCACAATTGTCGCAAGGACACCTGATTCACCTCGCTCGCCCCGGGTACCCAAGAAGAAGCCCTTTGGCCCTGCCACAGTAAGTGTCATTTATGCGTCCGGGACTCGGGTGTGTGCTTACATTATACCAGGTGATTGCCGGCAGTCACACAGCAGTTGTGGAGCCCTCCCAGCCCACTCCCGAACCTCCGGTGCAGGCACCCCCAGTCATCCCTGCAGTTGACATTCTCATTCCCGGACCGGTGAGTACTTTGAAATATCTCATGTGTCCATACACAAATACAACCAACAGAACAACCCATGCTATGCTTGCCACAAGCACAACTGGCCTTGCGCAACTCGGCCGGACAAGAGGACCGGGGCTCCATGTATGTCGTGCGTCTACTGCACAACAAAGAAGATCAAGTGCACCCCCGTGACTATGGGATTCCCCGCCTCCTTGCGATCGTTCTTCCTCTACTACCCCGGAAGACGAGGTCCAGAACACCATCCAGGGCTTCCTCCAAGACTCCCTCCAAGGCTCCCTCCACATCCCAAACTCCCGCCCCCTCCAAAGCTTCCCCTGCCTCCCAGTCCAGGGCCCGAACTCGCAGTCAGTCTCGTGGCCGGGCCGGAACTTCTGGTGTCACTGCTGTGACCACTCCCAAGACCCAGACGCGTGGTCGCAGCAAGACTATCACTGCCGTCAAGGCACCTGCACCTGCACCTGCACCTGCACCTGCACCTGCACCTGCACCTGCACCTGCACCTGCACCTGCACCTGCACCTGCACCTGCACCTGCACCTGCACCTGCACCTGCACCTGCACCTGCACCTGCACCTGCACCCGCACCTGCACCCGCACCTGCACCCGCACCTGCACCCGCACCTGCACCTGCACCTGCACCTGCACCCGCACCTGCACCTGCATCTGCACCAGCTTGTAAGTCACCCGAGTTTTTCATCACCGTCTGACCTTCATTTTCCCTTGTAGCCCTTCCGTCTTCCAGGTCGGCAGTCCCTGCTGCAGCACTTGGGGTGCCCATGCCAGATCTCCATGCCATGTCCATTGCGATTCGAGATGGCGCAGCTCAAATCGCTCTTCTGGAGGCTCATGTGGCAGAGCAGGATGGTAAGATTGACACCCTGCAACGCCTTCATGAAGGCCTTAGGCGCGAAATCATCGACCGGCACCCCTCATTCCCACTTCCCGACACTCCTGCCCCTGCAACATCCTTGTTGCTTGATCAATCCGGCCCCCGCACCATGTCACCCCCCAGAATCCGCACTCCCTCCTCTGATTGATCTCAGTATGGAAACAATGGCTCCCCACCACCCGCAGCCCTGACATTCCCGGATGCCTCTGCCATCGAGGGTCTCCTGTTCGACTACAACCAAGTTGTTCATCCAGAGGATCCAGATGCATCCGGCGAAATTGTGGACCCAGGTGATCCAAGCAACCTTGTCCCAGAATATGACTCTTCCAGCAACATGGATGTTGAGGTGGAGGTGAAGGTTGAAGAGTCTTCTGTGGAGGTTGACATGGCTACATAATTGCATAGTGATAGATGTATATACAAGTTTTCAATGAATGTAACCTCTGCCAGTCCATTGATTGAGTCACTGAGTTCCGAGTCCCGAGACCCGGAATTCGGCACTCGGGACTTGAGACGACAGATTTGAAACTTGAAACTTGAAACTCGAAAGCACTCGAATCTCGGGTCTCGGTACTCGGTATTCGGTACTCGACACGATGCTCGAAACTCGTAGAACTGTTTCGAATCACCGAGTACTGACTACCAAGTGCCGAGACCCAAGATTCGGTACTCGGGACTCGGTACTCGACACAATGCTCGAAACTCATAAAACTGTTTCGGATCACCGAGTACTGACTACCGAGTACCGAGTACCGAGTACCGAATCTCGGGTCTCAGTACTCGGTACTCGGTATTCGATACTCGACACAATGCTCAAAACTTGTAAAACTGTTTTGAATCACCGAGTACTGACTACCGAGTACCGAGTACCGAATCTCGGGTCTCGGCACTCGGTAGTCAGTATTCGGTGATTCGAAACAGTTTTACGAGTTTCGAGCATCGTGTCGAGTACCGAATACCGAGTACCGAGACCCGAGATTCAGTACTCGGTACTTGGTATTCGGTAGTCAGTACTTTCAAGTTTCGAATTTTGAGTTTTGTTTCCAATCTTTTGTCTCGCATGCCGAGTGCCGAATTCTGGGTGTCGGGTGTCAGTACTCAGTTCTCAGTACTTGGTACTCGGTGATTCGAGTCTCGAGACTTGTGACTCGTGATTTACAAATCGACATTTGAAACTTGTGATTTCTGAGAACAATGTGTATTATCTTATGTATTTCTGTACTCATTTCACCGACTACCGAGTGCCGAATCTCGGGTCTCGGGTCTCGGTATTTCAAGACAACAAAAATGTATATCATCTTAAATTTGAATTTTCTTAACTCGAGCCTCGAAACTCGTAAAAATGTACAATACCTAGGCCTATCTGTCTATATGATATGTATCTGGGCCCACCCGTCTATCTAATATTACCCGACGTCGGCCCACCCATCTATGTAGAATTCCCCACGTTGGCCCACCCGTCTATCTAATATGACCCCATGTCGGCCCACCCGTCTATGTAATAAATAATTCCGCTCACCCTCGGCCCACCCGTCTATCTGATATTACCCCACGTCGGCCCACCCGTCTATCTAATAAATAACTCACCTCACCCTCAGCCCACCCGTCTATCTAATATTACCCCACATCAGCCAACCCGTCTATGTAATAAATAATTCCGCTCACCCTCGGCCCACCCGTCTATCTGATATTACCCCACGTCGGCCCACCCGTCTATCTAATAAATATTTCACCGCTCCCTCGGCCCATCCGTCTACAAAATAATACTAATACGTCGGCCCACACATCTATATAATACTATTTGCTATACATCTCTCCTCAGGTCTATAATATATGTCAATCCTACTCTACATATTACCCACATGGGCCCACCCATCTCCATAATAATATTTCTCCCGGCCCATCCGCTATCGTCGATGATATATATAACATCAGCATAGATGGGCCCACCCGTCTCCATCGGAAATAATATGCCTCCCGGCCCACCCGTCAACATCGGGAATATACATAACATCGGCCCATAATCCGCTGGCCCGTATTACACAGGATATTATGTAGGTCGGGTGACCCGTATAATACGGGATTTGTCACTGAAGGGGCTCTGGTCCTCGCATGCAAGTGCGTATTGCATTTTAGTAGCCCAACCAACATAATTTTCCATACCGAGCAACTCGGGAATATGGTCATGCTTTCCCATGACGATACTGCCGTGGGGAGAGACAAGATAAATGAGCGGCAGGCAAGCGGTTAAGACAGATATGCTCTAAGCTTCGGCATCTGGCTTTGGATTAAGCCGGGGCTCATAACCTGTTAAAATAGAGGCTATAGAACAAGTCTCAGCGTCTGGAAGAGAACCGCTAACATTAACAGTACCTATAGAACAAGTCTCAGTGTCTGGAAGAGAACCGCTGAGGTACAAACAACGAGAAACAAAGGTATTATAAACTATAATATAGAGACTGAGATGAAAGAGGAAACGGGAATGTGTCGATGTTGTACATCCAACATAATGCACCAATGCTAGCATTAGCTGATATAGTTAATCACTATAGAAAGGCTTTGGGTAGTACCAGATAGGCTATACTAGCACTATGGGCCCAGTCATCAAGATTGGGTATAGTACTAACTACAGGCCCATCCTGTATTACCTCTACAATATACCCATGGGCCCGCATGGGATGGCCCATATAGTATGTGACATTGCCACACTGGGCTGTCTATGATACAGTATGGGTATAGGTCACTCCAGTATGTGGTACATGGACTCATTAATAAGTGTACACTGGTACATACAGACTTGGCTACATATTCGTATTATTAGCAGTACATAGTATAAAGAACAATCTGCAAAAGCAGAAGTAGTCAATGAAAAAGGGAGACTGGAAATACTATCTCAAATGCTCACTCACCTGCTACCTTGTGCTGCAAGAAAGGGGATGTCTAAATGGATATGTACACAAGATTAAGTTTGGGTCTGGAAATGAACTAGGTATCTAGTCAGGAGATTAGGTGGAGATTCAGAGATCTAGGTCCACATCAGCAAATGTGCAAAGGCCTGAACACGCCTGGTCACCGCCTGAACATCCTGGCAACAACCTGGACGTCCTGGAGGCCTGGTAGATATTTCATTCTCATGCACAATGGATGAATCACCAGCAGGAGAAAAATATGTAGTAGACCTCTTACTCATACTATACCACTATACCATACATTTTTCCATAATGTCACTTGAATCTCAGTCTCGTGATTCCATCCCTATAACACCCAAACCCTTTGGAGTTAAACCCCAGTGAAAACCCACTCTTCCCAGAATGGCTGAGGTTGCGTGAAATTGTCTGAACTAAGCGACACAGTCTCAAGAGAAAAATGAGACTAATAGCACATGTGCAAATGTGTGTGATTGTGCGTGATTGTCGCAGATTGTTTAGATGCAATATTTGCATGTCACCCTATATTGTGCCAGATCTGCTGGTATTGCTTGGCTGCAATGCTTGTTGTGTCACTCTAGATTGTGCCAGATCTGCTGGTATTGTGTAGTATATACATTATTACAGGTAGACGCCGGATATAATAAAACTTGATGCATCCCATCACTGTCCGTTCTACCCCGTGCTCGTTCTAGCTCGTGCTCGTTCTAGGTCGCAAGAAATCGGAAGGAGAGTGGTGTCGCTAACGGAGCCATTCGCCAGCTGCAACCTAGTAGAAAGAGTACCTTGTCAGTAGGTGCAACATGTTCTAGTTGTAGTCGCTACATACCTTCTTGGCAGCGAGCTCGTCGTATGACTGATTAAAGATGTTAGTCCAACCCGAGGACAGACAATACAAAAGATGCACTTTTTTCTGCGCTTCCGACAGTCCATCATAGTAGGTCTTGAACTCGGCTGCTGATCCAGTCTTGTTGTGAGTGAGCCATTCACGTGCGCATAGGTTACTGTCATGGAGTCTGTGAATATGTACAAAGGAAAGGAACACCACTGACACAGACATACCGTCCATTCTGTGCTTTCCCAACCTGCATCTTCCTTGACTTCTTTGCTGGCACACTAGGATGAGGTTTGCTGGTAGCGGAGGCATCTAACACTAGTAGAGGTACCGTGGTTGCTGTTGGAAGGATATTCAAGGTGAGCTTGTTGTCCAGTTATGTGGTGGTACTTACTACTAGTTGGTACCAGGTCGGCGACAACAGCTGTTGGTGGATTGGTGTCAGGTACTATGTCAGGGTGATCTAGGGAGTGTTCTGGGGTCAGTGCAATGGAAGGTGTGTGTTCACCGGTCGGCTGTGTGGATATTGGTTCCTCCGCTGGGGCTGTAGATGGAGTCAGGATATCTTCAGAGGGGGAGGGTGGAATCAAGGGCAGTTGATCTGCACTAGTAGTTGGTTCAAGAGTGGTACTAATATTGGTGAGTATTTTTAAATAATGGAATGTAATGAGTAGACTTACAGCGGGTTTGCGAATTTAAGTGGCCGTGCACAAAACTACAAACAATGATGTGAGGACGACATGACGTGACAGTACAAAGAAAGGTGTATACTCTGGCAGGGGGCCTGGATGCATGTGTCTCGTTCACGTTGTCAGAATGGCCAAGGTCAGTGGGCTGTGACTCATCTGAGTCTGGTAGCGGTGGTGTTGGCATTGGCGATTCATGTTCAGGGACTGATATTTCCGATGGCTTCTGCTTCTTGCTCGAAATTGATGCGATGCTAAGTGGGTCAGAGTCACGGGTCCGTTTTTTGGGCTTCACATCACCAGTGGCACAGTCAGTGTCGTCAGAGTCCAGCGTCTCGAGATTATCGAAGTCGAGGATATCTTCTGCCGTTGGCTTGTAAGTCCCTTCACGAACCAAGCAGCTGATATGATTCTTGCGCCAAGATGTGTAGCTAGCAGTTGCAATGGCGTCGCATTTCCAGTTGCCGTCACAGTAGCCAAGCTCAGGGAAGAATGTCACCATTTCTCGGTAGTACAGCTTACTGGCAGACCCCGATGCAGCTCCCCAGCTTTTGGGCGCCTCCTTGATGTTCCAGATGTCCACGAACACCCGTCGGGATGTGGTACGGATTGCTGTGACTCGCTCCAAGGGAATAGGCTTGTTATTCTTGTCGACGATGTAGCGCAGCGGATGCAACTTTTCAAGCTGCGTCGATGGTTTCTCCTGGCGCTTCTTCCAGTCTTCCTTCGTCCATATGAACTCGCTGGGAAAGTCAGCACAATTGTAGGATGGGACTGCGATTTCCTTCGCCTTTAGCATCACAGGCAGACTCTGAGGGGAGAGGGTACTGAGGCTGGCAGGGTCTAGAGTTAGTGAGAGAGATTCCGCAAGCTTATTATAAGCGGCCCTATAAAAACAATAGTCAGACACCCGAGAAAACAAGTGATACAACTGAAAGACGCGCTGGTGTAAATCTCGCTCACGTGCCAGCATTTGTTTGTCCATCCGCAGCTGTAAAATATCGTGCTGGAGGAATTTAATCTGCACATTAGAACGCGTATATGCGCTGAAAGTTAGTACATTTATTTAAAAAAATCACTTGGTGAGGCTTTAACCTGCTCTTCGAGGCACATATATGCGCCCAAAAGTCCATTTGCTCCCTAATAATAATGTGTTAGTTGTTACTAGTAGCCAGTTTGTATCAAAGACACGACTTACCATAGTCTCATGACCTTGTTGTGGCGCGTTATCGGGTCTCTGTTGAAAAAGATCCATGGAGGGAGAACGCGACAGCCCTAGCCCACTTGATTCAGGGGATGGAGACATCATATCCGGCTGGCCACAAAGAGGAGGTAAACTACCTATAGAATGATTAGGGATATTAGGGTATGGTGTTTCATAATTGTCAGATGGTGTAAAGTTATTATACTGGGGAAAAGAATAAGACATGGTTGTGGTGGTATAAGAGAAAGACCTTAACACACTCAATCGAAACGCGCTCACATGACCCACTGGAAAGTTTCAAAGTCTGGGGATATTTCATTAAGTCCTCGATGTGGAGGATTTTACTTCACTCTAATCTAATACCCTAATGCCTATCGTAATCGACTCTGTTAATATGCTTGAGGATGTCATTCTCCTCGATATTGACAATGTTGTTCCTTCATGGAACACATACTGCTTTGCACTGGATATCCACTCTCCTGGATGCAAGGTAAATCATCTGTTATTCTTGATGCCTATCTCACACATATCCAGAGAATTGTTTTATGCTTCAGAGATGCCCAGATACTCAAGTTGAAAAATGGTAAGGATGAGGAAGACAACTCACCAGTATCGGAAGACAAGGAAGAACAGTTGGTGGTCGAGACATTGGAAGACGAGTCCGAAGAGGAATTGGTGGTCAAGAAAGAGGAAGAAGAAGACAAGTGTCCCCAGGCCATTCCTCTGTACATTTACAGTGCCCCGATTTTACTGTTTACTTACCTGTTTCTCTTGCAGCAGCGCCTCTCCATGTAACCTCCTTAGCAGGCGCCTCGAAAACCCCAACCCAGATCCAGACAATCCCACTGCGCCTTGGTGCTATCTCCTGCATCCAATTGGTCCATCCCATCTTAGTGCCAAAGCGGAGAAAAGAGATGCTGACGAGCAGGAGCTCCAGCAGAGGTTCACAAAGTGGCGTAAAGTTTAATTTTCTCCTTGCATCATTACTTACATCCGTGCAATTTGTGCTGCCACTCTTACTTGCTGCCACTCTTACTGTACTCTCACTAATGTATTTCTTGTCATGGTAACATTAATATTGCAACACAGTTCTTGAAACATATCAATAGAACTACTAAATGTGCGCACAGAAGGGAAATGATGAGGCCGGCGGAAGTATTCCAGAAAGTCTTTAAAACTGTAAAAGGTCAGAACAGACAGAACAGACGAACTGTACAAACAGAAAGAGACTTACTGAAAATATCTATTCAGCCTCGTCAGCCTCGTCTCCCATCTCCTCATCAACAGACACCAAACCAAGCCCAGGCTTCTCAACCAGAAAAAAGCGATCCTCTACCAATCCTGATGGGAGTTTAGGACGATGAGGTACCATAGCAACTACAGAATGTATTGTTTTCATGCTGACTAGCTGCAGCGCCTCATTGCCATGATATGTGCATGACCAAACGGTCTGTGCTGACTTCTGCAGTAGTTCTGGGTCTGGGCGAGAATAGACAGAGACCATTGCGACGGTGACAAAGTGGTAGATTTCATCGTCAATGTACTCGAACTCCTCGTCATTGTCGTCCTCATTGATGTCGTCTGCATGGACCGTAACAGCCAGCTGCGCAAAGTATAAAACTTCCGCAATTTCGCTCTTGTTGTTGATGGAGACCTAAATTTACAATTAGTTTCGACTGAATAGTGTGAGCGAGGACAATCACCTTTACATTGCGTGACATGCAGACATTCTCTGCAAGCTTGAGTTTTTCCTTCCATGCACAGCGAGCGATCTGCCCATTGGGAAGTCGCAGTCTTGCCCAGCGCTTGAACTTCGGAACGGGCCCCATCGAGGAATTCACGAATCAATTGTGTCTCAGTCTCACCCGGACGATAATTGTATCTGTCACGAGCCCTGAGGAGAATGTAACCACCCCCGAGATCGACAGAATAATTAGGAAGTGGATTGTCGGGTGGTTCTAAGTCCGGAATCATAACTTTAAGTGTGTTGATCTGGCAGCGGCGAATGGCGAGGAAGGTGAGATTCAAAAATGGATTGGAAGGTTGCCAAATCTCCATCCCAAGCATACCAATGACTGCGTTCCATAGTCCACTGTGCATAACACACAGACGGACCAGATCGAAAGCCTTCAGCTGCTAAATGATTGCCCTGGTGTGCGCATGGCTGGACAAAATGAATCCTGTCAGCTCGACGCTGATAATATATACACTCAAACTCATACTCCCACTCGCAAAAGTACCTGTGAGCTGTTTGAATGTCGTCAAACGTGAGACTATGCTGACTCATGATTCGGACGCCTCGAACGAACTTGCAATAATTTTGCCAGTACTTGTCGGGCAAGATGCCATAGAGAAGACCTGGACCAAGGCCCCACAGCCATAGGATAAACTCCCAGGCTTTGTAGTAAGTATTAATCTTCTCGGCGGGATTACAAGGGGGCCGATCAAATGAGCCAGGGAGATATTGCGCACATGCGGCTACAGTGGCACCATGATCTGTCCAAATGGCTTTGTCGCAGAACACTGCCCAGTCCCACAACTCCTTATTATCTGAGGCGTCACACTTCATTGTGCCACGCCACAAATCGGTGAAGAGGGAACCCATATTGGGACCCTCGAAGTGCATGATATCAGGGGTAAAGCATTCCGGAATACTGAACATGCAGGTTGGGCAAGAGGCCAAGCAATATGCTTGGCCTGACGATACCTGTTTCGAGACGCTGTTGAATGTACTGGGCCAGTGGTTGTAGCCGATACGATACGGTAAAGGTTGTCAACATAGTCGGAACATGGCAATAACGACAGTTTATTGATGTCGATATCATCAGTGGTCGCATCCGGAAACAGCATAGTCGAGAGGCTTCAGCAGTACAGGATAATATTGTGGCTGCCCGTGCTTGTGACGTCCTTTGAGACCACAATACATTCTACACCCATTCTTTCCAGTATGCCCAACCATTGAGCTCAAACAAAGTAAGCCAGGGCCATCTGCGGTTCCAAATGCGAAAAAAAGATTCGAGGTAAAGAGTTCGTCTGTTGACGCATCCCATATTCGAAGCCCTTCCTTTTGCAGGCCAACAAGATGGTGTAGACCAGGAAAAAGAAATGATTCGATGAATTTTGGCTTCTTAGGACCCGGTATGATTCCGCCCGGCAGAATATACTTCTTCTTGTAGCGTACGTCGGGGGGAAGATTGACGATGATCCATATATATATCCAGCAATCCGACTCCTTGCTCTCGTAGAGTTGGGCCCCATCGATGGATAACATAAGAACAATATCGCCCTCCTCAAATTTCCCATTGTGAACAGCTTTCAAATATTCCGTACCAGTGATGATGTCATCATAGGCGGAAAGCTTGCCATCGCCAAGTTCAAGTTCTTCGAGAATATTTCTGGTGCGTTCATCACGATAGCGCATGTTAGCCGCTCCACTAGGGTCTCGGTAGAGCGTATGGAGTTGTGGACCGAGGGGGATAGTGTGAAACACTTTGACAGGGTGACTTGACTTTGCCATTAGAAGCCTCGAACTTAATCTGATCATAGCGGTGCGAATTGCAGGTAGGACAACGGTCAAGGAGTGCGTATTCTCCCGTGAAAGCTGTGCAGCCCTCTACACACATGTCGTCTATGATAGACTCGATCCCACTCATCTGCGCAACAATGCGCTTGACTTCATAGTGGGATGGGAATGCTGCATCTGGATAACATCGCAGGACGGCTTTGCGGACATTACCATAAGCCTCCACTGCAGAGTGTTCCAGCGCAAGGTAGGTGTCGATAGCTAAACAAAGATGGGGATCTTCAATTTTGAGTTGAAGCTGAGGAGGGTTTCGGAGACGTTCCAAGGCATCGGGATCTAATGGTGAAAAGTCGTCATCTAAAGTTGAGTGTCGAAGGGCTTGAATGAATGAGATGGATCGTAGTATGTCTTCATGACGACCGACATTGGCCAGACGTTGGATTTCATCAAGGTCGATATCTTCTATTGTGCGCCAAGTCCTCGTGAGCAGCAGGAAGGTTTGGTTCATGTGCGGGCTGGTCCTCGTCACCAGGGTGAGACTCTGGTGGAGGTATAGGTGGGTCATTGTGTTGGAGGGGATCATCAGGTAGTGAAGGTGCGGCAGGCTGGTTCTCGTAACCAGCAGGAGGGTCTGGAAGATCATTTGCATAGTCACCCTGCCAATAGAGGTCGTCGTCGTTATATAATTGTATGGGAGACTCTCGATAAATTAAAGGTGCTTGGTAGGTAATTGAAATGAATGACTTTACCTCGTCTTCTGGTGCGCTCTGATCAAGATCCATGCCCATAGCATCCCTTTGAATCGACTGAGACTGCTCTCTTGTTGGCTCGACTGACATATCTTCACACCGATTAGCACAATAGTATACTAGACATAAGTTCTTAGCTTACCCATACCACTGGTGCCAGCAGAGGCGCTTGATGAAGCAATTGGAGCAGCGCTAGTGATAGTAGCTGCGGTGTTGTGTGCTCGAAGAGACTAATAGTGCCTGAAGCTCTGCAGTTCGTGTACTTGCGCTATCGTCTTGTGCTTTTAAACAGTAATATTGGGCTTTCGAGACAGTCTGCAGGCGGCCTTTGCGCATAACTTGATACTCTTTTGCTGGCGGCATGATAGCAAGACGCAAGGTGCAAGAGGCAGTAGATTTTGCACAATCCCAGACAATTATTGCAGGCTGGATGCAACGTGCAGTGACGACAACAGCAGATAATCGATTTCGCACAAATCTAGACAAGTGCTATTATTAGTACTAACTTCGCCAGCCATTCTCACACAATCTCAGCCTTGTCTCAAAATTCTGCACAACCTCGCACAATTTCAGCCATTCTGGGAAGAGTGGGTTTTCACTGGGGTTAAACGGCAAGCCAAGACAACATGCTAATACTAAATTCACACTGATTGCATACTAGTTCTCGCTCCAAACCTCCCAGCCCAGTCAAACAACACCTTCTCAGACTCAGAGGAAGGTACAACCAATCTGGATTCCGAGTCAGACCATGATGGCCCGCCACAGACTCAGATCAAAAAACGGTGAGCCACACAATCATCGCTCGCATGATTCTCATGCCACCACCCATTTCACCAGTCATCATCTACTATTTTGGCGACTCAAATACCTACTGATCCCAACGGACCTTTCAAATACAGTATGAACCATTGTTTTTCCTCCAACATGTCTTTGACGACAGTACACAGCCCCTGAATACCTTGCCACACTTGCTGCACAGCAAAAAACACCAGAATCACCAAGTCCCACCAAATTTCGGGCTGAAACCCTTGCCGTCCCTGCGGACTTCCTCCAAGACCTTGTTGATGCATGTTGGAAGGCTGAGAGAGCACGCTGTGACACCAAACATAAATTTCAATCACAACAGGTGCAGAAACTGCCCCGAACTTAAAAATATCATAATGTATAATACCTGACAATCCTTTTTGCCTGTGCGCTCTGTTGAGCCTGAAAATAATCTGAGATGACCTGGTCAGAACACAATTTCATTAGTGTGATGGTCGGCATATTTATTTATGACGCTCTCAAGATTCTCGAATGCCAATTCAAACATCCTGAGTATCGCCATGATGTTGACGCCCAGCATCAAATTTGTTCACGACTACTTGCCACACAAATCAACAACCAAAAACATGTGCCCTTCATTTATGCAGATATTGAGGTCAGTCTGCGCTCTCCTAATGATCATTGATCATCTCTGATTGTATTAATCTGTCTCAAGAATTTCAAAGGAGCTTGGTTGGCACCTGTACTACTGGAGCTTGTAGCTACACACGTTAAATGCTGTGGTAAGGCTTTTGGAGCATTCGTAAAACTGATCGGGGCACTTGGGTTGGCGGCTGCTGCTGGTGTATCACAGTCTCACAACTCTTACTATGGGTTCGAACTAACAAGCGAAATCTAGTACCACCGTGCATTATCACTCTATACTGAAGGCGAATCGGCCAAAGAGGCGGCAAAAGAAGCCAAGCGCCACTCAGACACAGGGAGATGATAGTAAGCATGCAAAGAACATTGACTTTGATGCAGCATGGGGGTCTGTCGCAATGCTGCTATGCAGAACAAGCCTGCTGGATTACCTGAGAGGAAGTGGGAAGCTATCAAGAATGCTTTGTCAGAGTTGGTTGGGATGGATGCAAGATCTGACGATGAAGGCTTTAACGACAACAACAATATCATGGACCTCCTGAGGTGTGGTTCTGCTCTCCTGACTTGGACGCTGAGGACGGAGATCCACAACTCGAACAAGCAGATTCCTGACCATCACACACTGTTGAAGGTTCTTAAGATTTAGGTTCTGGGCTTAGTAGGAACAGCAACGATAATAGGAGTTCGTGGCGTGCAGAATATATTCGGCTAATTCCGATTATCTATTATACCAACTAACTACTCCGCCACTCAGATGCTCTCATAACTCCGCTAGGAAGTGCACGAACCATGTCGGCTGATTGCTATGTCACAACAAAGGTGAGTGTCAAAACCTTTCTTATCAGTCTCTATCTGATTGACACGGCTAGGATTCATAAAGGCCACCATAATCATACCTAGTACTAGATATATCTGTGGATCCTGCGTTAAAAATTGATACCTGTTTTGTGTCTGATATGGGTCTGGTTAGCATCTGAAGGCTATCTGAAGGCTATCTGAGTCCGATCTGGTTCCCGACAGCTTGCCTGACACTGACAGATTCATCTGCCGCCAGTACACACCGCCTGCTAGCCTGGATGGTCTGAAATCAGGTGATTCAGGTCACTCTGCACTTTTCCTGATGCAGAATGTGGGATATGACAGCAAGTCAACAAGCAAGAAAAAACATACCTCAAGGATAAGAGAAGACAAGGGATAAAGACAATCAGGGCAGGCCAATGGCACATGTTTTGTGAAACATACTGTTCCCACAGTTGTCACTGTAAAACTTTCCCACTATACAGTTTATGCAATTTAAAACAGTAAATAAACTGAACCAGTTGGAGCCTTACTACCATGCTGTATGACATTGTGGCTGTAGGTCACCTGGTATATTGTGACTGAGATTTGCCCTATGCAAGCAAGCGGGTCAGAATCCTGTCCCGGATGTCCCGTATATTTTGAGATCGAGATGACCTCCTGCTCACGGTCAACTATATACCGAGTCAAAAGTCGTCGAGACACGATGTGCTTATTTACAGAAGGAAACGAGAAGAAAGATAGCGCAGATATAGTGCACAAAAATCTGCTTTTGTAACAGAGCAACGACCGAAGGTCACCGCTTGTACGTTACAGCTACGGATAGATCGTAAAATACTCCAATAACAAGGTTTTAACCGAATGTTTGACTCTATTGCCAGAATTAACACATAATCAAAGCATCATTTGGATGACTACATACCGAGCGTGCACTTTGTTTGACTTTCGATAGTCGCCATTCGTCGGGTTTCTCGTACTAGTAAATCCATGAGTCTCAGATGCATGTCTCGTATGGATGCGATGCATACCTTGTTGTATAATGGTTCGATCTTTTCCTGTCTCTTTCGCTTACTGATCTTGTTGGCGTCAGGCGACTCTGAAGAACTGAGGTGCAACCTCCACGAGCCATTTTGGCTCTATAGTAGTGACGTTATGACAGTATTCACGAGTGGTCAACACCAACTCGTTGTAGATTAGCCATTCAGGCGCGCGGTTGAAGAGAGCGGAAGAGGGATGAATATATACGGGTGTTCCTTCAACAAGTGTCTTGTAACCTTCTTGAGGATCCTTCTTAGCCGCGTTCCGGAAGAAACCAGAACATATCGCCTTCCGCACACGGTTGTAATCCTTTCCTGCCGATAGAATATCATGCTTGTATCTGAGAAGATTGTTAAAGCTACGAACTAACTCATCGAGAATTTGCACGCACCTGTCCATGATACCCACTAGCTGCTTGCGAATATCCTGCGCACGCCGCATGCTTCTTGCCTGGATAAAGTTCTCGTAGCACCAAGGATTCGAAAAGTTCGCGCCTTTCCAGCCATTGTATACCGTCAGAAGGGTAAGGTGATCGCCCTCTGGCTGATGGAACTTCGCTTTCTTAGAGTCGGCTTGACCTTGTTTCTCCTTCGGGCGATAGAAGACAGATTGGACGGACAACATGGCCACAATGGAAAGGATCTCTTCGGAGCAACCAAGCTCGACAGAGGCGATGAGCATCTTTGCAAGCGGCGGCTCCATGGGGAAGTCAGCCATCTTGCGACCCAAACGAGTCAAAAGACCTTCGTCATCCAATGCCGAAAGCGCGTACAATGATTCCAATGCAGTTATCATGGTCTGCGCCGGCGGTGGATCCATGAAATCAAAACTAAGAAGGTCATTGATACCCATTGCCTTGAGCATCAGAATAGTATGGGCAAGATTCGTCCGCTGAATATCGGGAATAGAAGTGGGTAACATCTCGTTCCGGTAGGCAGTCTCTGTGTATAGACGGTAGCACTTTCCTGGGCCTGTGCGACCAGCACGACCAGAGCGCTGCCGTGCTTGTGCCTGGGATATAGGCATGACCACCAACGAATCCATTCCTAGTCTCGGGTCATATGCGTTTTGCTTCGAGAATCCGGGATCGATGACATAGTAAATCCCAGGAATAGTCAAACTAGTTTCTGCAACGTTGGTGGCGATGACGACTTTGCGGGCACCAGGAGGAGTGGGTTCGAAGACACGCGACTGTACTTCGGATGGAAGGGCGGAATAAATGGGGAGGATGATAAGGTCTGGCACTTTTGGACCCAACGCTTTCATACGCTCAAAGAGAATTTCGCATGATGTGTCGATCTCCTCCTGGCCCGTCAAGAAGAGGAGAATGTCGCCCGGAGGCTCGGACAGGTGGATTTGCATGACGGTGATTAATGACGCGTCCAGGTAGTCGGATTCCGGCTCTTTGGTGTAAAGGATCTCTACTGGGTATGTGCGACCAGGAATGGTGAAGATTGGGCACCCGAAGAAGTACTTCGAAAATTTCTCGGCGTCCAAAGTCGCTGAGGTGACAATTAGCTTTAGCTCGGGTCGCTTCTCGACAGCCTCTGCGAGCAAGGCGTCAAAAAACATCAAGCAAGTGAAGATGCACAAACTTACTTTTAAGAAGGCCAAACAAAACATCAGTTGCGATGGTCCGTTCGTGAGCCTCATCAAGCATGACCACCGAGTACTGACTGCAGAGTGGGTCAATCACCGACTCACGCTGCAGCATGCCATCCGTCATATATTTGATCTTGGTTTCCGGACTCGTACAATCTTCGAAACGGATGGTATAGCCAACTTCTTGGCCGAGGCGACATCCCACTTCTTCCGCGACACGCTTTGCGACTGACATGGCGGCCACACGACGCGGTTGTGTACAGCCAATGCGTCCTCTATCAGCAAAGCCAGCCTCAGCGAGGTATTGAACCATTTGCGTTGTCTTGCCAGAGCCAGTGTCTCCAACAACAATGAGGACTTGATGCTATATAAAAAGTTAGTGAGAAACTACTCGATTTGCAGAAAAACAATCGTTTACCTCGTCAATGGCCTTTAGCAGAGCGTCTCTAAGCTTATAAATAGGCAGATTCTTCCGTTGCTCCTGTATACTGAGGCTTGTAATTTCACCATATGTCGTAGCCTTGTTGAATGTCGATTCCCTCCATTTAGGTACTTCGCCGGCTCTTCGATCCTTGAGATGACCTCTCATGTCTTGAGCAAACATTCTGTCTGACTCCTTCGCCATAGGATCGAGCCACGGTGCACTAAAGTCTCGAGCTTCAGAGTCAGCTTGCTCATTAGCTTCTTGCTGACGAAGCTCGCGTCGCTCTTTAGCCAAAGCTGCACCCCCCAGGGCGGCTCTATTGAGGGAGCCATCAGGAGCTTTGATGATCTTCACAGGACTGAGATCGAGAGTGCGTTTCGTCTGACCAGCCAAGAATGCCGGTTCCTCTTCCCTGATTTCGACGTCAAGCTCCTCTTCAACCTCCGCTCGAGCCACAGGATTGACGAAGTCTTCGTCAAGGTCAGGATACTCGGAAGCATCGATGACACCGGATGAGATAAGCTGCTTGATCTCCCATCGTTCGGGTGAGGTCAGACGTTTGGCGGACCGAGTCGCTAATGGTTCGTCTTTTGAGCGCAAAGGCACAGCATTGGCCCCAGAGGACGCGCGAGCCGCTCGTTGGCGCTCTTCCTCCATCTCGGCTTCAGATCTGATCCGCAGGTGGGGAGTGAGATCGCGACCCGTAGCTTGGTCTACATCCTTCATAGACAGACCAATACGGCTGCCCGCGATGCTCATCACCTTAACCTTGACCTGTTGTCCACGGCTAAGGAGATCCGACGCTGAGTTCGCACGTGCACCCTGCTGAATATTTGAAACATGCACCATGCCTGGAAGTATGTTAGTAAAACAATGTTGAGGATCAAAATGCCTTGCACACCTTCAACACGTCCCGCAACACCCTCCTAGTTGCGCAAAAGCGCCGAAATCTTTGAGGCTTGATATTCGGCCACTGTAGATTTTAAACAATACCGGCCGCTCGTCTGCGTTTCTCCCCCTCCAATCATCCCTCCTTGAGTTGTAATTGCGACCCCTGTCAGGGCTTGGACTACGACGGCGTGGTGACCGTGACCGAGATCGGTCTCTTCGCTCTCGCTTCGTAGGCCTCTCATCCTCGTCTGTTGTTTTTGCCCTCTTCGCAACACCTTCAAACTGAGCCATCATATCGTCCACCTCTTTCATGAGCACATCCTTCTTTATCTCCTTGTCTGGCACAGCGAGCCCAGGGAAAAGTCGTTTCTGCTTGTCCTTTTCACGATCAAGCGCGTCTCCGTTCGTTTGGGCATTTAAAACGCCATGAGTAACTAAACTAGACTTCTTCTTGTGTTTCGGATGCAAGCTCAGGATTAAACGATCCACGTTCTCAACAAATGAGTCGGGGAATTCAGCGCCAGCATTACTGAGCTGTGATTTGAAGTCGGGAAGTGATTTAGACTGGTCGTGAAGAGAAATGACAAATTCAGCGATTGTTTTATCGTTAATGCCAATATAGTTGTCAATCTCCTGGGTAATTTTAGCGACTAGCGAGAGTACTTCAAGGTTGTAAAGGTCATTCTCTGCCATAGCAAGGTCGTCGTGAGAGCTAGAGTTGTGGCCCTGAGTCAGTGAGATCGTTTGGAGGCAAGGGTAGTCCCGTGTCACGGAAATGTCACATCAGTATTAGTGTGACACGTTTGGGGAGTAAAATTCAATTGAATGTACTATGATAGAGGCTAAAGATGCAACGAGCTAACAGAACTATGCTGAATCAATCAATGCGCCCACTAGGAATTTTAAACTTCTGCAACTTCGACAGAACTGCAACAGAACTAAGTGCATTTCGACGCTTCTCCACATCAGGAGATAACTTGCATGCTCCGCCACGGTTGCGTATAAGTGCCCTTTTTCCGAGGTTAAATACAAGATGGTTGACCTGAGGCGTGAATGTGAAGGTCGAATGTACGCCGCCAGCATGTAAAATGTGGCGCTACTTTTGGGATATCGTCGTTGGAGTCACAGCTTGGACACGTTTGACTATAGATCCTTCAGCTCGAGCAGGTGTGGACTCGCCAATCGCAAGAGCGGGAATCCAGGATGACAACAACACCAATGTGTTGTTGTCAGCAGTGCGAAATCGCTCGCAGTGAACATCCTGGACAATTGCTCCGAAAGCATTGAGTACGGGACTAGGCAATTTGCAACCGGGATTGAGTAATGGGAAGAGATCACAGTAACATTGAACTTCAATGTTCCACACGGAACGGACTTTGCGATCGTCGAACGGCATTGAAAATTCGATAGATAATCCTGGAGTTGATTGGCGCTCATATATTCATACAATAAGAGGTTGAAAAAGCCTGCCCTGAAGGTCGGCTGAAAGGCCTAGAATAAAGAATCGGACAGACCAAGGACAGACTCGTTGTGTTTGGAGGGCTCCCCAAGGCGCCAAATGGCAGAACGGCAGTAATCTGATGGGGAACCTCTTCGGGTAGTTAGAGCTTACATAATTGTAAATTAGTGACTCCTTGTTTAATCATTCCTCCAGGCTTTAACTTATTAACCATCCTGGACGCTCACTTGGAATTTGAAGAAGCTGAAGAAGTTGATGCCTCCTCGCAAGGGCATCGTTAAAACTGGGAATGCAGGAAATTCATCAAAGGCAACCAAAAACTCTGGCGTAGGTTCGCCTTTGCAGTCAGCTGATGCAGAGCAAGAAAAACCACTCTTCCCACCCGGATCCAAGTATCCTTTGAGTCTACTTCAAGAAAGGTATGGCTCATGCATGCTTTTTATATATACCTTTGTTGTAGGATTTCTGTTTACATTCGAAAAATCACACTTGCTATTCATTTGAAGAGCATTGATGTGCCCTGCAACGTCACAACCCGCAGATTTCCAGGCTAACTTCCCTGTTCACAGGTGCCAAAAGAGTGGCTGGGACAAGCCGACCGTCGAGACGGTGAGTTTGACTATTTTATCAAGCCTTCTATTATAGCTCAAGATCCACAAGCGTAAACATGGCAATGATTGGTCTTTCGCTGTTCACATCGCCCGGTTCGATAAGAAAACATCGCAGACAGAAAGGGTCCGACTGGAACCTCACCCACCTTATTTGAGATCGACTGCGCTAGAAGCGCGTCATTGGGGTGCCACATACGCTCTGTACCGTGTCAGTGTCTTTTTTTGTCATGCTTCACATGAAAAGTAGGATTGAACATGAGTCACCCGGCAGTTCTGTAATGCACTTCAGCTTAATCGCGTATTACCACCTGGGCCTCGTGATTACTGGACTGAACTAACAGTCGAACATAAAAATGTTCCAGAACACATGAAATGGATGTATGATGCTGATCCTTTTGCTGCACGTAGAGCAGTAGATGAGAGACAAGCGAAGGCAGTCAAAAATCAACAACAAGGAAATTCAAAAACCTCCATGATGCTGGGGTCCAAGGAGTTCGCTAATTCCCCCGAGGTGAGAATGTCCACTGAGTTGCGGGATTTGGTGGAAGATGTTGTCAAGAAGGTAAATCAAACTTCAATGACAGAGGCTGTTATTATTAACTAAAGTTCCAAGGGCAATGCGCTGCACTTTGGTGAAGACCCTGTGGCATCTGTGTTGCCCGCGGAGGCTATACCAGCTGTTACCCAGCAGCTCAGTCACTTAGGTTTCAAGTCTGATCAAACACGTAATACATTGGCCTTTCTATCCAAACCTTCGGCTCTCGGGGGTAATTTGTTGAATTCAATGAGCCCGCTGGAGGCGTGCATAGAACATCTAGTTCTTCATCTCCCAGAATGCGACCTTCCCGAGCGCTTCTTTCCTGGAAATAATTCCTCCGATCCATTTATTGTCTCTGGTCACTCTGGCTCTGACGACTTGGCAAAGCGATGGGTGGAGGAGAAAATTATCAAAGAGGCTGGATTTCCTGCACACACTGTCAAAGAGTGTACTGACAGGGACTCGGTAACAAATGTGGATCTGCTGGTAGCCTCTTTAGATCATCGCCTCCTAGGTGAGAGTGCGGGTGCCCAAGCCAATCCAGATGACATGATTCTGGCTAATGTCGTGGACGGTTTACGAAGTAATGCTGGATGAAGTAGAGGCTCTTGGGGCCCATTTTGTCGACGCGAACCATGTATCAATGCCTCTATTCAGCGCGCCCGTGGAGCTGCACGTCCTTGTTGCCGTCCTGCTCTGACCACTCCTTCCACAGCTATCCTCCTGTGTATATCACATCAAAGTCTGTCCCGCCGTACATGCGACTTCATCTTCTCTCACATTTGTTGCAAGAAATGAAACGGGACGGGTTTATGGAGTCGGGAGAAGGCTTTCTTATGGCAGCAATGAGGGTCCTCGAGGAGCAATGGGCACACGTTCAGTCCAACGGTTCGCCGGATGTATCGGAAGTACTAAAATTCTTGATACCTTCGCCCACCTCGTCGCCCACTGTCCATACAGCTGCTGTTTTGCCGAGGGGTCTTAACGAAACAGCGCGTCACAACATCCGGCGTCGCGGTGACAGTCGATCGAATTCGCAGGTTAAGTTAGATTTTGACAAATTGTGCCAATCTCAGGCATATGCAACGATGTTATCAGCTCGTAGACGCCTTCCTGCATTTGCTGCCAAGGACAATTTTTTGTCCTTGCTCGAGCGCAACAGAGTAGTTGTCGTGGTTGGAGAAACAGGTAAGCCCTGGTGTCTGTCACCAGCCCTTGAGTTAAAGAAGTACATCTGCAGGGTGTGGCAAAACCACTCAGCGTAAGACATAGTCAACCTTTGTCCATGCAATTTTTCCTGAGGCGTCAATTTAAAGTTCCACAATTCATCCTAGATTCCTTGATACTTTCGGGACACGGTGCTGAAGCTTCGATCATTATCACCCAGCCTCGCAGAATTTCTGCCGTATCTGTTGCTGCGCGGGTTTCTGCGGAACGGATAGACGACGGCTCTGTTGGATATGCTATTCGTGGAGAGACTAAGCATAACCAATCGACCAAGTTGCTCTTCTGTACGACGGGAGTTGTTTTACGAAGGCTAGGCTCCGGCGACGGGTTAAAGGATGTCACACACATTGTTGTTGATGAGGTGCATGCCAACCTTTCATAAAATCTAACCTACGACTGACTGACTACACGTAGGTTCACGAACGTTCTGTCGATGGTGATTTTCTTCTTCTAGAACTCAAGGAATTATTAGCACGACACTCTACACTCAAGGTGGTGCTCATGTCGGCAACAATCAATCATGAAACATTCGTGAAATATTTCAACAACGCCCCGATGTTGACTATCCCAGGCTTTACACACCCAATCACAGATTTGTACGTAGTCTCTTTGTCTCGACTGCTCGAATACTCGACTACCTACGGTTCTTACTCAAAGATGAATTATCACAGGTATCTAGAAGACTACATATCGTCAGTTTCCTATAAGCCGGCATCAGTCAAACCAAATAGAAGAGAATCAGAAGAAGAGAAACATGCATTCAGGGATTATTGCAGTTCCAAGGGCCTCAGCGAAGAGTCGACATCTGCAATCCAAAACATTATGCACGCGGAAAGGATTGACTATCAGGTTGTATTTCCATGATGTTGCAACACTAGACCAGCAAACTCATCATTCTTATCTTAGCTGATTGCTGCTATTGTTCAGCACATCGTTGCAACGTCACAACGAGGCGGAATTTTGATTTTCCTTCCTGGAGTTCAAGAAATTCGATCTTGTATTGATGTAATGCGTGGCATGCTCGGTGAGAAGGCTGAGATATTGCCTTTACATGCGAACTTGTCAAACGACGAACAACTGGCTGTTTTTGCGAATACAAAACGATGGAAAATCATTGCCGCAACAAACGTTGCCGAGGTCAGTTCGTTGTGTCAGTTAGTTCCTAGAGCTGAATGTTTCAAAGACGTCCATCACCATTGAAGATGTTGTCTACGTTGTGGACTCGGGAAGAGTCAAAGAGACAGGGTATGATCCAGAAAGCGGGCTATCTCTCTTGAAAGAACAATGGGTTACGCGTGCCGCAGCCCGCCAGCGCAGGGGTCGGGCCGGCAGAACGCAGTCAGGGGTTTGCTACAAGCTTTATACTCGCAAGCAGGAAGAGAAAATGGGCCGTTTCCCGATACCCGAAATACTACGAACACCATTGGAGAGCATTTCGTTAACCGTGAAGGTGATGCGCGAGAGTGAGGATGTGAAGGTTGGTGATTCTGTGTGATGGGCGCAGTCCATTGACCTAATTTCTTTTTTAGCATTTCCTGAATCGGGCCATCGATCCTCCCGAAGTGTCTGCAATGGATAAGGCCTGGAATGTCCTTGAGGAGCTCGGAGCCATTGATGCCGATGGCCACTTGACTGCTCTTGGGCGCCATATTGTGCGTGATTGCAGTCGTGTATCGTGCGTTCATTGTTTGACTAGCAGACACGCTCTTTGTATAGTCAATGCTACCCGTGGATTTGCGACTCGGGAAGGTTAGTGGTATGTTGAATATGGGATGGAGTAACTTATTGACAATGTCTCCCAGATGCTAGTTCTTGGCACGATTTTTCAATGTCTAGACCCAATTCTTACGGTTGTAGCTTGCCTCTCGTCAAAACCTTTATTCCTCAATCCTATGAATAATAGGGATGAAGCCACTAAGTAAAAATTTCGTCCCAATGTCCACGACCGGGACTCATTTGCATACGTAGGGCGAAATTACGTTTTGGCGAAGACAAAAGCGATCTACTCACAGATGTCAATGCGTATGGTGAATGCATGCACCTTCAGTCTGAGGGCAAGAGTCAAAAAGCATTGAAACTTTTCTGTGAAGAGGTATGGTCTTTTACTGTAATGGAACTCCAGAATTGATCAGTCTTGTGCAGAACTTTATCTCAACGTCCACTGTCAGGGAGATCACTTCATTACGCCGCGACTTCCTCTCCTCTCTTTCAGATCTCGGTTTCATCCCGCGTTCTGCAAGAGCGAGTTCAGAGGAATTGAATACGAACAGTGCAAACACAAACATTGTCAAGGCTGTCATTCTTGGTGGCCTGTGGCCTCGCGTTGCTCAAGTGCATCTTCCGCGTTCAGCGATCAAATTCGATAAAGTGCAAGCGGGCACTGTTCAGCGCGAAAATACTGCAAAAGAGTACAAGATTCACGATCTGACAGACGTGCGCGTCTTTTTGCATCCTTCGTCTGTCCTCTTTGGCGAGTCGACGTGGAAATCGCCGTTTTTGGCGTACTTCCAGAAACAGATGACTAGCAAGGTTTTCATCCGCGGTGCGACTCAGGTGTGTAATTTTTTTTGACGTGATCGTGGTCGGTGTGCTAAGTTGCGATCAGGTTCCGATGTACGCATTACTTCTATTTGGTGGACCTGTGTCCGTCAATCACATTGGGGGCGGTCTCACTGTTGGAAAGGGTGGAAGCATCGTCAAATTGAAGGCATGGCCCCGCATCGGAATTCTGGTGAACCAGCTCAGGTAGCTTGTCCCTGTCATCCGTTTATATCAAATATACTGATATTCGAACATCGTATATAGACGTCTCCTTGATGCGCAATTGCAGCAATGTATCGAAGACGGATCAATGTTAAGCGCCAGTCAGCATAGTGCAGTGGCCAATGCTATGAGCGTGCTGCTCGCCAACGACGGCCTATCTGGATAATACCCGGCAAAAATGCGGTTGACGGTGGGTTACGGATAGGGAGGATTGCATTGAAATAGTGTATCTCGAGTTGAGAAGCTCAAATAGAGTCTGTTGCGAAATATGATTAGATAATGTGCTGCGATGATTGCCAGGACCCAAGTGTATGCTATATGCCAGTGTTTGGTGGGGAATGAATGCTAAGAGCGTGGTATCGACCATGTACAATTGCAATGACGTATAAAAATGACTGGCGAATCATCAGCATGCCAACCAACCCTTCGAGCAGTATATAAAACACACCATGACCAACTGACAGGAGAAGTTAGCTATATTTATCCGATGGGACCCCAACAGCTTGTTCGAGGCCTACTATTGTCCACAAGGCAGCAGGACCCACGTCCCACAGGCTCACCGACGGAAGCCAAAGCCTTCAGAGGTGTTCTTTGAGCTACTTCGGCAGTAGCACTTGGAATGGCGTCCTGAGAGCGCTGTCAATTCCGATAAACGCTGAGCTAGCTCGTCCACAAGGTTGTCAGGTGGATATTCGCTCTCGGATGCGTCTAGCGGCGCAAGGGTGCGAGAGTGCGACTTGAACCCCTGACGACCCTCAGCCCCTTTGTACCTGCGACCTGGTCTCTTGATAAGAACGTCATCCAGGCTGCTATTCACCAGATCATGACACTGCCCTGGCATCACAGCATTCCAAGGAGGACCATATGGTTGCGTGCGAGGAACAGACCGCAAGGAATGCTTGCCTATCAACTTCGGCACGTTCACCTGTAACTGCGGTGAGGGTATAGGAGACGGACACTCTAAGCTCGAAGGAGAACTGATAGCAGGGGACTTGAACAAGGGAGTGAAGTGGCTCGTGAATGTCCTACGAAGTGCAGACGGCGAGTTCGGAAGAATGGCTGTACGTAAAACCGTCATTACATTGTCCCTTGTAAACCTGAAAAAATGCGACGCTTACAAGTTGACGATGTCGCGGAAGGTGCTAAGTCAGGCGACAAACCCGCAGGTTTGGGACTTGACCAAGGACTAGATAATGAAAACCTCGACCTGCGACTGAATTTCGAAGCCTCAAGTTCTGCAAGCATAGCATATTAAGTATTGATTCGGCATCATATCACATTGATAAGGTGGCATACGTACTGGGGGTAATCTTTGATTTCCTCGTCCGAAAAGGATTCACGTATTCTGCACGATACATTTCACCAGGACGTCGGGAAGGGAGGAGGCGATGACAACGTCCTCACGGGGTACCCGGCTTTAGGGTTGTGCTGTTGAGACTGCTCCTTCGCGCTAACGTTCATCACAACAGGTGTACACGGTGGAACGCTTGCTGGACGACGTTTTCCGTTGAAGGCTTTCCGAACAGATGGTAACCGTAAAGATATGGTCCTCGACGAGCGCGTAGAAGCTGTTCCTTCGGAAAAAGAGTCCACCTGAAGTAGGTTCATCGTGCCATGTTCATCACAGCCCAAGCCATTTCGACGACCGCGACGGCAATTCACAACGCTTATCGAAACACTTGAGTGGAAGGTCATGTACACGGGTACTCTTTGACGTGGGCGACAACCTGTAATTGCACGCGGTGGTATTACTTTCGTCTTGTACGGTGGGTGAGGATGGAGTAGATTCCCCTTGCGTTGGTCGACGCCTGGAGAATGGAGACATTGCAGGTGGCCAGCGACGCTGAATTGTCGGTGGCATCGGGGATGGGTTCATGCTGACGGACCTCGCCAAACTTGAATTGTAGGATTCTGTAGCTCCGATATTGAAAGAAACATGCCTCGAGGTCACGGGAAGTTGTCCCTCGGAAGAAGGCGTTTTATGCAGGTCAGGAAACGACGCTGCTCGCCGAAGGGAAGGAGTCTTGGATCCGGGAGGTATTAGCGATAGTGTCTGAAGCATAGGTTCTGGGGAAGAAGTCAAATACAAGACCAGGGAGCGTCTGTGGACTACGATGGAGTTGGCGATGAATCGGCTCTCGGTATGGAGGTGTCTGCGTCCTCATCGCAGGGACAATCCAAACTACTCCGAGAGCAAATATACTCTATTCCATGGTTCTATATTTAGAACATCACCTTAGATCAGGCTGTAAACTCACCGTAACAAATCCAAGGAGACCGAGTAGCAAGGCGAGGGTGCCTGCGAGCACAGTTTTGACTCCAAGTTTATCTGCGTAATTATCAAATATAGTGAAGATCATGGGAACGAAAGTATTGTTAAGGTTCCTCAAGTGAGGACAGCCTCGGGGTGGAGAAAATCGCAGGAACAGATCAAGGTGGCGTCTGAGAGGCGTAGAGGGTGAAACGAAATTACAAGGCATCCATGTGGGGTACCTCAGATGGACCGAGGCACTGGAGGGATATTTAACGTGTGACGGGCGACTTTTCCACTGAAGCATGCAAAGCGATAAAACAAACAGTGATATCAACGCAGCGCAGTGGCAATGGGCATGTCAGCCACAAAGGATGTTCGTGAATTCGTAAAAAGAGAGAGAGATGGTAAAATGATGTTAGAGGACGATTGTTCGACGTGAAGACGGGTCAACGGGCGAGCGTCGAAGTGGTTCGACGCGAACAGCGCAATTAATCGGCTTAAGTATACTGGCCGTGCATACTATCTTGGACTTGATAAAAGTGGAACGACCTCCATTTTAAGTCCTACTGCCTCCGTCCCGAGCCCGAGCTTGGTCGTCGTTCATTTCAATCTCAGCGGCGCTCTACTTGCTGTAGCTGACCGTAGTGTCGAGCGTGACAGGTTGCCACATCGGCCAGCTTACCATCGTGACAGGCCAAAAATTAGTAACTGGGGCGAAAAACTTGCTATAGTTACCAGCTGACGAGCCTTAGTAGTAGCGATTTTCATACCATTTCTACCAGCGCGACATATGAACCAGTGAGCAACTCGACCTCCGTGATGCCCGACCCAGCTCTGCGTGACGCGTGACAGTTGCTTCCATACAGTCAGCTACAGTATACAAAACGCAAGTCCATTGAGCGGAACAACCAGAGGTAAGTACCAATCTGCACAATCGTAAGAACATGGGAGAGACGTAAGACAAGGAAGCAAGTAGCACAACATCGTCAATGGTCCGAGAATAGCAATCGAAGTCCTGCAAGAAGGAAAGGACTAAACATCCAAAATTCAAAATGGTATGATCGTCTATAGCACAGAAAGAACGAAAAGTCTATAAGAAATGTCCGATGAATCTGCATGCCTACTCCGTTGGCGAGCATGCGTGACCATCACTATCTAAAGAATAACCTGGTTGGCAGGATGAGATTTGGCATTCCCCAGTGACACAAGCAACGCCTTCAACGTATGGGATATTCGTGCAGTCATGCCTTAATAAAAATGTTGGTGGTCAGCCAAGTAGAATCAAGTGGTCATCACCATACACTTACTCGATAGGATCAAGACTGGAACAACCGCCGCAGGAGCCCAAATCTGCCATAAAATCGACACACTCAAATCCTATTTTTTCCCACTCGGCAAACGTGCGAGGGAACTGCCCAGGTGTGCTCAAAACGGGGCAAGCCACAAGTCCGTCTAGACAGAATCCACGAGATTCCGCGGCGGTCGGTGCGCCACCCATCACGTGCTGTTCGTCTAGGCTGCGCTTTCGTGGCGCAGCCAAGTCCTCAGCAACGCGTTTAGACGGGGCTGGCGCAGCAGCACGGACGTAATGCGGCGAAACAGCCACATCTCGAGCTGACAGGCGCTTTGAAGGAGAGGCTTGACGAGCAGCGAGACGCTGTAATGGACTAACCTCGCGAGCAACATAAGCTGCGGAGGGCCCGAAGGATCGTTTAGCAGGAGGGGAAGGTCCTGGCTGCCGAGGAAGAATGGGGAGCACATATCTCTTTGACGGCGTGGGGTTTCGAGCCTGGATATCAAGTGAAGATGCCACGGCGACTGCAAACGAAAAGAGAAGAACGACGAGGAAGGAATTCTTCATGATGTTGACCGGTATGATAAGGAGAAAATGGTCTCCAGCGAACGAGGAGCTAAAGGACAGGTGGATCTAAGGAATAGAAATAAAACAAGCTACGCAGTATAAAACAATCTATGCCAGAGGCAGAGCAGCTCCCACAGCGCGGGTTATCCTGACGGTTCAAAACAGAATCAATTAGTAGATGTTGGAAGAGTTTTAAGGAAAGACGGGACCCTAGAAGATTCGGCTGTGCGGCTAGCAAGTTTCAGCTCCACACCTCTAGAACCACAACGCCCCTAGCAGGATCATGCCGATCGGCAATAAGCAAACATGTTTGAACACCGATATCGATAAGACAAATATAGAGACTGCCAAGCCAACCTTGCAGTATCACGAGTGCTTACCGTCATTGATCGATAAAGACACTTGACTTAAACGTGGAGCAGGACGGTCTGGCAGTGCAGTTAATTATAATCTTAAGTAGTACGGGACAGTTAATTTATTATGTCACATAATCACGTGATATTCGTGTCCCAGTCGCGTACGCGGAACTCTTCTTCTTCCAATCATGTCTCACGACGAATTTGAACTTTACGACCTTTCAGAATTCACCGAGGAGGACCTCACCCGTTTCGATACGATTGCCACGAAAACTCTGCTGCCAAAGGTCAGCCCAACTTCGGAATCGCAGCAAGATATCTCGGCAGGCCCTGTGGTAACTCGTCTCAGTAGCTTTGGTGGCGGACCTGCGCTTGATATTGCTATCGAGTCCCGACTAATGCGAATCCTGTTGAAGAAATTCTTAAACCTACCGTCAGTACGAGAGTATCTCATCTCTCGGCTAGCCCAAAGCCCCTGCACGTAACTAGCCCGCCTGTTTCTGGAATGCCAAATCAGACGAGTAATCTCTACAAGAAGTTTTTATCTTGGAGGAATGCATTCTCCGTGACAGACCTTGTCTCACCTGTTTGGTTTGTTCATAAGTCGTTCATTCACCCCTTTCTTACATTGGATTATAGGTGTGAAGTACAATACGAGTATGGGTTGTATGGAGAGCGCCACAAACCGCTTGAAAAGCGACCCCCCTCTTTCACGTCACGAGACGGTAAAACAATTCAAGTCAAACAAAATGTCGCACAACAGAACGCTAAGACACTCAAGAGAGGGACTGTATGTCTTATTATTTTCTCGTTTTGCAGAAGAATCGACCTTCTATTTTAGTCTATTCACAAACATCTGGAGCTGGAAATGCGGCCGAAAAAAGTTTTCGTCCGTACGTCGAATGATGAAGAGCGTTGGGCGTTACGGTATGAATGTTACATCCCCGTTGCTCAAACCATTTCCTGAGTTGTTCAACAGTCTTTTCAATCTGACTGCGGGTTTAGAACAATTAATTTTTGAGGGGATAACGGTAGGTTTCCCTGACGGTGAGATGATCTCGGTTGGTGCTAACGTAATATTGTAGAGGGAACTCCCAGTTTTCGGAATTACGCATGGGCAAGTCGTTTTCGGAATTATCGTAGGTATCTCCGCATCCAGATGATGAAAGACTGACATATATTTGATCCGGCAGGATGAAGTGACTCGGCGTGTTCCATCAGAAGTAAATAAACTTCACAATCCTGTCAAACGTAGCCTGGTCCCTTCTGAATCATCTCCCGTCAAGAAGAAGCAGCGTCGGTCGCCGTCCCCGTCCCAAAACGATATGCCTGTTGTTTGTCCAAATCGGTCTACTGAGGAGACCCGTGCAGCGGATCAGCCCCCAACCGAGGAGGAAATTTGTGACAATTCTATGGCAGGCAGTTCGATCCTATGGCCCATCCATCCAGAACCCACGTTCTACGATTTGACCCTCATCGACTACAAGACTCGTCGCGTACCATCACTACCCCCAGATGAGGATACGGTATCATCACAAATGCAACTTATGCTTTATCACCGCCTGCTCTCTCCGCTCCTCTCACCGGAAACCTTTGATTTTGATGCACTATGGGCAAAGCAATCCGTCAAACCGCATCGATCATTTTCCAGGGAATTTGTAGAAGACATCGGTTTGCTAACAAAAGATGACAAAGACCTTCCTTTTCATGTAGATCTGAGTTCCATGGTTGCCGCATGGGTTTCTGTCGTCCACTCGGCTCGGAGCAGCGGTGAACGACTGAGAGGCGTCCATCCCGAGCTGCAAATTATCTACCGAAAAGCTGGGGTCAAGAAGGACTCGGTTCATGATCGAAAACAGAAGGCGAAAACCGATGAAATGGCAGTCGATAACCCCCCGGGAAGGCTTGCCCCCCAAGAGGAGTTGGATATAGCTCGTGCCGTCGAAGAAAGTTTACGCCCGCCTGCTCAGGATGCTGGAGAGGCCAGCACTTCTCGGCCTGCAGACCAAAGCATAGAGACTGCATCTGCACAAAGCGAAAAACTTTCAAATGATGAGGTTATTGACCTCACTAGCCCTGTTGGGGAAAATCCTGAGCCGACACTGGTAGTGCAAGATTCGTTGCCTGCAGACACCTGTGACAATCCCGACTTCAATCCACAGTCGATTGCCATGAAAGGTCTTGAAGCGAGTCAGTATGAAACCTCGTCGAAAATTCTAGTATACTAACGCTTACGCACAGCTCCAGTGGCTGATGAATTAACTGACTTAGAAGACAATGGGACTCTTCCTGATCGAAATGGTGACTTTCTCGTTGAGGAAGATACTTCTGGCCTTTCGACGATATTGGGCACTAGGAAGTTCTTCATGGACGAAGACCGGCTCGATGCACATCTTACAGATGTTCTCCGATGGTGGTTCGGCTTTCGTCCTCCTAGGGGCGTTGAACTCGCGCAGTCCAATCGGTGTGGGTGAGTTGTCTCATTAGTTAGCGTCGTGAAAGCTACTCACACCTCGACAGCACTTGCGAATATCTAGACAGTTGCGAATGGAGAGAACGGAAGGCTTTCGAGGCTAGTAGTGTTGCTCTCGGAAAGCGTAAGGCGACACAGTCTTCAAGCAGTTAAAACCGTTGGTCATAACCCGAAACAAGCGAAGGATCGATCGTATCTGGGAGGAACAATGTAACTATGGATGTATTTAATTTACGCGCAAACAAGGTAGGCTACTTGGTTGGACCCTCGCAGACCTAGAGAGCCGGACTTCTAGAGATGCAAGCCTATTCTTACCTTCTCAATATCGTGCTAGGCGCGGTGTCTCCCATGATGTTTCGACAGGTCTCTCACCTTCGTCTTAGTGTGGAGCATTTAATAGGCTTGTATGGACAAAATCTTGCTTTGAACTATGTTCTTAACATATCCACCTCAACCAATCCTTAGCTTGCTATACACCCGTGTCAATTTGCGGCATAATCAACAGTGATCTTCGTTCCTGATTAACGTACCAACTGGCGAAGGTTCTTACTACATGTGACATGTAGTACCTGAGTTGCATCTCCAGCCAATCAACTTCATTCTTCGTTCCTGGATGGCGAACAAGTTTAACTCGGAATGCCGATGGCCAGTGGTGTCAGCTAATCAACGCAGACCACTATGAAACCCAAAGCAAGGGAAGTTCACCGTGACTGGCTAGATCAACCACTGGGGTGATGGTAACGAGTTTACAAGGTGCCCATCACCATCATCCGCTTAGATGAGCATGACGTTGTCGCCCAAGTGCTTACATTGCATAGAAAACTGCAGTGAGTACAATGCCTCGGCAAGTTGAACTTGAAGGGGACTGTGGAAGTTTCCACGAGTTGTCATCGCAATGGTTTGCTAAACGGTGTCACCGTACTGTGTACCATGTAACTACTAGTACTAAGCAGGCAGCTAATACATAGTACTGATTCTCACGAGCGCTCCGGTTGTGACGACTGAGTAAAATTGTGGCAGTGCCAGCCAGCCAGCAAGCTAGTCGTTTCGGACTATTACGGTCCCAGGTGATGCATTGATCATTGGGGACTACATTGCCACCAACCACAACCACTGTACATACAATCACGACATGGATGGCTGGGTTGATTACATCCATTTCTCATTTCTCGGTGAACATATCCTCTTGGGTTCTCTACGCCTGCACACCGTCTGGGATTTCTTCCTCGGTACCCTCTTGACTTCCGGCATATGTTTTTCTGAGAGGTCTGTGTCACAAACTCTACCGTTCACCCACTCTGAGTGATTGGAAACAAAAGATTCTTGTCGTTTCTTATCACCAAGCATTGGCGTCCTCGTTTCATTGGTCGTTCGCGACTAGCAAAAGCAGTATGGAGAGCAGCGTTATACGGTGTTGCAACAACACTTAGACTGTGAGTTGCGTCTTCATCAATCCATAGAAAAACAATGTCGAACTGTGAATTATCACCAGAACTTATATGCTTATTGCCATGTCATACCAAGTAGGGTGAGTTCTGCTTTTTCGATGGAAGTCAAGCTGGCCTGACCGGCTTTGGGCAAGTCTCATCCTTGCCGTTGTGAGTACCAATAGTCCTGTGAGATCATTGCAGAAAATTTACTCTCCAAAAGGTTGTCATGTTGTCAGCCGGACAATTTTTCTTCGAGTATATTGATGCTGCCCCAGCAAAGTCAGTCACGTAAGTGTCTCGTTTATCGTAAACTAGCTTGGAGGCTGATCAAACCCCTCCTAAGCTATGATAAGATTAGAGATTCTCTCCTGAACTCTGAGAGTGAGGATGACTCATACAATATGTCTACACGATCATGGCAGCCCAGAGCCCACCGAACAAAATCAAAACCGGAGGCTATTCTTATTCACCCCGGTGACTCTAACCTCGCCCGTGCCGATGCTGCGGCGCAGGAGCTTGGCATAGCTGGTGACACCGAGCGAGTGAAAGTCAATCGCTATCCTGTTGATCAGGATGCTTGGGAGTATGGGAAGGGTAGAGACATAGCCCGACAATTACTTGGGGGAACAGCACGACCTCCTCAGTCCCCGCAAGATCATCCCATGTCTCCGAGTCAGATATCCAATGAGTCTTGAGCCCCGAGGTTTCAGAACTTGTAGCACGTTAGATTGTTGTATAAATGGTCCTTACAAGCTATTGCAAGCCGTACGTGAACGAACGCGAGCGAATATATTATAGGTCAAGTGAATGCACGAGTTTAGTTATCCTTGCCAACCTCCCCAGAGACGAGACCAGCTCGTTTTGGGGTACTATAACCTCCTCTACGAGGGATAGGAGCTCGAGGTGAATCAACCTCAGTTTTACGCTGCCATTGGTCGATGAGCTTTCCCACTCCCTGATAAGGTTTATCAGGCGATGGCGAGCGCGGCTCTTCTAGAGGTGTGGAAGGTTTTTGTGGGGTAAATGGTAGCGATGCTGGAAGCCCGTCCAGGCCGGTCCGTGATGATCCAGGTGTGAATCGACTGGGTGTCCCAGAGGGTAATCCTACCACAGGATTTCTTAAATTCATGTCTGCCTTGCTCTGGTCCTGACCGGCAAGGGCCGCCCTGGCTAAATCAATCGCAGATGGTCGTGATTTCCCTGAGTCAACTCCGGGACCCGACTCTTCAGGAGCGGGCGTAATGACTCTGGAGGCTGTAAATCTCGACACTAGCGGGGAGCTTGGGCTTGTGCCTGTGACGTCCACAGCACGACCAATTCCAGTAGACGAGGTTGGCATCTTCAAACCTGTTGATTTGGGATTCATCGCAGGGGGACCTGAACCTGGGCCTCTGACTTTGCCCCCGATAGCTTCGAAGCGCTGGACCATGTCTGATATTGAGGTCCGCCGAGCGCCGTGTTTGCGAGGGTTGTCTTCTGGAACAGATAGACCCGTAGGGTTTGGCGGTGTGTCTGTCTTTCCATCCGAAGTAGACTTTGACATTGGAAAGGCAAGCATAGACTGCGGCCTCGCGCGAAAGGATGAGACGGGGGTATTGCCAGACGAAGGGGTGTTTACACCAGATGCCTGCTTTGTATGAGGTAAGGGTCGTTTGGGAGACCGGCTTGGTGAACGACGCTGAGAAGTATTGGGCTCTGAGGGCTGTGACTGCATTCGTGGTGATGCAGGCCTCGGCCTAGCCATCGAAGAAACAGCAATTGATCTGCTCTTTTGTAGTTTCACACCAAAGTCCCTGGTCGGATCACTGAATGCAGCAACGGCAGGACTGTGAACGGAATCCTTTGGTCGCTCTTTCGTCTGCACCACACCTCCTCCCCATAGATCAACGAGGTCATGCACGGAACTTTGCCGGCCCCTCGTCTTTCGTCTTCGCGATGAACCTGTCTTCTCAACTAGTTTCCCCCCACCCAGCAGCATCCTCTGGCTCCTCATCCCCGTCACTTGACGAATCGTGAATCTTAGTTGGCTTTGGCGACTCAGAGATAGGGACAGCTCTCCACCGATCTGAGTCATCCTGCGATGGACGCTTCGATGGCTGCGATGCCACTCCCTGGCGAGACTCTAGATCCGGCTTCAGTGCAAGAGCAGCAATTACTGGTTTGGGCGCGACCACTGGCAGCTCTCTAGGTTTCTTCGGTGTCACAGGGGCACTTTGCTTCCGTTCTCTAATACTGATACCTCGCGCATGTATCTTGGACGGCGATGAAGGAGTTTTCACTCGATGGGGAGGCTGTTGAGCGGCAACAGCTTCCTGTGGTGATTGTATAGTTGTTGTGTTCTCCTCGATGAACGATGATCGCTTGTTCGTAAACTCGCGCAGAACGGGCGTCGTAGGGAGGTTGCTAGCTTGAGCCTGAGCGAAAGATCCGTCCTTGGTTGGGGAAATGAGAGCATCAACGTCGCCTGTCAACCAGTCTTTTGGTTTGCGTGACACTGGAGCTGGGGTAGTAAAGTCCTCAGTACCAACGTCATCGATGAGCTGTGCCTGAGGTATGGCTTTGACAGCAATACTGCTACGATGTCTCCTCGAAAGCGAAGGACGAGAGATAGGTCGATAGGATGCGGGCTTCGGAGACGGCGTGTTTTCACCAATGCTATTATCCAGTCCAACGGATCTCTGAAATTTGTCCTTCTCGGAATCACGCATCGCCACCCCGGTGACATGCACTGAGCGCGAACCATGGGTAGTGTTCGGAATAGCACGCTGAGAAGTCGGCTGAAGCGACGAGGAAGGTGCAAAGAAAGGCTCGGACAAATCAACTACTTTTTCGCGCTCCTTGTGATACTCCGACGACTCGAGCTGCCAGCTTGGATGGCCGACAGGAGGTGCCGACCCACCAAATGTTGCATCAAGCTCTTCTACTGAAGGAAATCGTGCCTCGGCAGGGATTTCGCCCCTCTGTGAAAGGGCAGGTGGGATGGATGCAGGGGGTTGTATTGATGGACTAGAAAGCCACGCAGCGTTCGTAGTCGCCAATTGTGCTGGTGGACGGGGTGAAGGCGTTGGTTTGATCGGGGCTAGTGATGGTTTCGCGGCGGATATAGATGGACTAGCAGCGCGATTGTTTCCATTAACTGCAGCAAGGCCAGTCCTCAGCTTTCGTGCCTCCCCCAGAGTAGGTGTGGGTGCTGAAGATGGTGTTAAACCTAGACCATCGAACGCGTCCTTACTCTTCGTGATCATAAGTCTTGTGGTGCGCGACCCCTCAGGCGGGGGAGCAAGCTTTGAAATACGCTCTTTCCCAGAACTCGAGGATGACCCCATTCCTGTCACAACAGTAGTCTCTCCGGCCTTTGCACCGTCAAAGGCGCTCCATAGCTTTTCTCCGAAATTGTCACCAAATGCAGTGACCCCTGGTGTTGGCGGATCATCCGAGATCGCTTTTGATGCACGCGTCTCAACACTCCATGCATCGTCCAAAGGAGGCGCGGATATCTTAGGCTTCCAAACACTCGCAGTTACACTGCCTGATTTGTGAGCCCTGATGCCCCCAGCAGGGAGGACAGTAGAAGAGCTTTTTATCTCTTTCCATGCCTTGTCCTCCTCTGCGCCAAATGAAGCATCAGGCCTTTTTGGCAGCTTCGGCGGACTAGGAGGGCGGGAGGTCGATAAAGGAGTGGTGGTGTCGTTCGGTTGCTGCGAATAATATGGCCGGCCACGGCGCATCGGTGCAATAGCCTCCAGCACCCTATCACGCGCTTGAATGCCTGTACCTATGTCCTGGGGCTGAGCTGGCGGGGCTTGTTGAGTGGCAATATCTGTGCCTGGCGCTCGACGATAAGACACAAGGTTGTCAAGAGCATTCGTGGATGAAGACTGTAAAGCTCGAGGAGAAAGGGGCGCGGGCGGAGGAATGTCGTAGGTGAAGCGCGATTTGGTACCTCGTACGGTGTGCACTTGAGCGAGAAGTTCAAATACTGTAGGTCGCTGTGTACCGTGCTCACGAAGCATGGAGGCTGCATGACAACTCAGCATATTCGGATGCGATGGAAGCGAAGAATAACACACCGATCAGTGTGTTCATTTGCGATGAGTAAACGGGATATGGCGGGATGCGATACTGTACGTTCAAAATTGCCAAGGGTCCATGTTCTTCGAAAGGAGTGGTATAATAACACAGTTTGTATAATAGCACTCCGAGTGCCCAAACGTCAGATTTCTCGTCAACAGAACGGCGAAGGTATGGGTCAACCATCTCAGGCGCCCTGTACTGTAGTGTCGTGTGTCTGTTCAAGTCTGCCTCGAGAGCTCTAACCTCAGCTGTGGTAGATGGCGGTCGAGGCGCGACTGGCGTGGCAGAGCCAAAGTCACAGAGCTTAAAGACGTTATTAGAGGCCTGGAGAATGTTCTCCACCTTCAGATCACGATGAAGAAGAGCGGGGCGAAGATTATGCATGGCAGCAACACCTTCACAGACGTCTACAAAAATCTGGAGGATCTCTGCTTCTGTGAGACGTTCGCGTAAACGTCTGTTCATCATGTCAATAATTCCACCGCCTATGTCTGAGTAAGACCACATCAGATGTGTAAATCTTGCAAAAACACTTGCCTGGACAAAACTCCATAAGAATGAAGACTTCATACATGCCGGTTGCCATTTTGTGCCACGCAGCATCGATTAGATGCACCACATTTGGGTGCCCCTTCAGTATCCTCTACAGGCAGTTTCAGTAAGCACCGAGCAAGCAGTTTGGGTTCTTCGAACCATGATATCGACTTCTTTCTTAACCTCCGCGAGCATGGCCTCATTAGGAACGCCGATGCGTTTGAGCACATGATGCGTCGTGTTATACACGGGAGTGGGAGTCCTGACAAGGTACACATGGGAGAATCCACCTTTGAATAAAATGTTAACGTTTGATGAGGCTGCCAGTTGGACTTAACACACCTTGGCTGAGATACCGCTCAACCTGGACCGTGTACTTGTTTACGGAGATGGTTTGACCTGGAACAAGAGTACCCTTGTTCTGCTGTGCATAAACTTGTGCCGCCTGCTGCTGCTGTTGCATGGTGATAACGGGCAGCGATAGAAGTGTTAAACTGCTGCTGGTGCAGCTACAGCAGCTGTCAATGACTGTCACTGCGGTAGTATCGCGTCCAAGTGGAATACTATTTTTGGCCATCTGCGCTTATGCAAGCAGCGCCGCAACAGAATTGATCACGTGTATTTTTAGTCTACATAGCGGCAATCCAGGCTAACCTGAAACTCTTTCAAGTTCTGCAGTTCAATATCAATCGTGAGGAATTCATCATCAAAGTTCTTCTACAAGTATTTTTGTAGGTGGTACTTACCCTGGTAGTTTAGCCAGCCAATCAACTTTGTTTCACGTGGGAATAGGTGGGAGTATTAACGCGGTGTTCCCGATAACCTCGATAACGGCCCACCCGGCCCAACCGTGTCTTAAAGAAGCTACTAATATATATCCCAGTGCTCACTGAGCTCTTTGTCTCATAGATACCCCCAGCTCGAACGCAATGGCGAACAATCTTCTTCAAAGTCCAACGCATGCAAGCACAATTCCCTTTTCTCGGCCCCCAACTCCCGGAGTACACCCTCCTCAAATCGGCTTCTGTGGTCTTGGGGCCATGGGCTATTTCATGGCCCGCAATCTAGCCAACTCCTTTAAATCTCAACTGCCTCCTCTCCTTGTGCACAACAGGACTGTGGCAAAGTCTCAGAAACTCCTCGCAGAACTTGGCGCATCCGCCGTCAAAATCGCCGACTCTCTCGGTCAGCTAGTTACAGAGTGCGACATTATCTTCACTAATCTCGGGAATGATGCTGTGGTAACGAGCATCTACAACGAGTTTGCAAAGGCTCTTGCTGTACGCCGCAATCATATCTTCTTGCAGGATAAGATAATCATGCTGCCATCATCAGCAATCGCCTCCAACCAAGTACAAGATCTTTGTTGAAATGAGCACAGTAAGCCTAATATCTGCTTCTGGTTTTCATGCCCACTGATGATGTCAGGTTTACCCTACGTTGGCTGGTGCGTAAAACGTTACTCCGCCACCAACAGAACTATGAACAAATTCGCTATAGGCGATCTTGACAGACTGCTGTCGAGCTTTCCGCATGTCCACTTTGTCACTTCACCTATCTTTGGACCTCCCCTAGGGGCAGATAAGGCCACGCTTGTTATTGCTATGAGTGGAGATTACCGATCCAAGAAGGAAGTCGCCTTTCTCCTTGTCCCCGCAGTGGGCCGCAAGGTGATTGATCTCGGAGGAAATGTAGAAAAAGGTAAGAATGTGTAAGAGCGATGGCGAGAAACTTGTTAAATGGGTGGAGTTTTCAGCTCCGACACTAAAGTTGATCGGTAATGGTATGATCATGGGCATGAATGAGCTCCTCGCCGAAACTCTGACGCTCGGAGAAAAGTCTGGCATTGGACAGCAGACTGTATACGATCTGGTCAAAGGTAATCTTTGGAGTGCATTTTGCTCTACCTCGACGGGGAGCTGATAATGATCGTATTCAGAAATCATGCCAGCACCAGGGTATGTACGCTGTCAATTGCATTACTTCGAATTGCTGAAGCCGACGGATGATAATAGTTTAGTGGCCTATGGTAACAGGATGGTCAACGACTTGTTTGATGGCTCCGTAGGTTTTGCCATAGATGGTGGAATAAAAGATGCCAAGTCGGTGCCTCGAGATGCTCACAATGAACATTTCTTTCTAATATAATTTTCAACCCAGTCACATCCGCCGCCTGTCCGCGGAGCTGAACTGCCCGATGCCTGCAGGTATGAACAATTTGACCTTCAGGCATCCAGAGATACTCATTCATTTTATAGTTGATAACACGCATCGTGGCCTGATCACCGCCCGGGCGATACACCAGGCACAAGTGCTTGCAGGGACACAGCAGTGGGACATCATAGACTGGAGCTCATTGATTGCAAGCAGCCGAGTTGCTGCTGGATTGAATCCGTTCGACAGCAAGAAGGTTAGTGCTTGAGTTCTCGGTTCCCTTCATGATGATAGACTGAAGTCGAGTCCAGGGAACATGTGTCGTACGAGAAGACTGAGGAACGCTAAATCATCTCAAGCATTTGAAGTCAAATTGTATGTATTATTTTGACAGAACAACCATATAAACTTATAAGAAAACACGGATGTACCTTCAATAGAGACATGTAACTTTGGAATCGTAGAAGAAATGAAAACCTCCCTTCGTCGACATAAGATGGTTGGTCGTGAGACTAGAAATACCTGCAGGTGTGCAATCCATGTTCGAAATTCAGGATTACACTTCCAAACCAGGCGGACGATATCGAGCAAAGTCATACATTCATTTGAGACCATCATGATTCAAGGAAAGAGTATGTCTGCTGTGTCAGGGGTTCCACCTACCATCAGTTAGTCCATTCGAGTAAACGTCCCTCGGTCTAGACGAATACAGGAATTCGACTCGACCGATCGAGATGTTCACCTTATGAGCCACAGGCGGGGACCAAGAGCTCAGGTAGACGCCGTGTGACAGGTGGATCGAGTGAAAGATATAATCATGCCCCTAGCGTACTGGACTTATACAATCCGGGCCGTATGGCGGCTCGGGATCTCCCGCATCTTCTTGCATGGAGCTGTCATGGAGGGATCCGGTTTTAAAATCCCCCCAAAGCTAGTGCACATAGCCAGCCAATAAACTTCGTTCCTCATTCACGTGGGAATACAGCGTTTCCGATAACTCTCGATAACCGTGTCCAAATGCTCTCAGGCTTCAAGTGTACAACCTGACTTGCTAATATATTATTATCAGTACTTGCTCTTCCCCCCACAGATACCCCCAGCTCGAATATTAATGGCGAGTAACCTTCTTCAAACTCCAGCCCTGCATGCAGGCACAATTCCCTTTTCTCGGCCCCCAACTCCTGGAGTACACCCTCTTCAAATTGGCTTTTGTGGCCTTGGGGCCATGGGCTATTTCATGGCCCGCAATCTAGCTAACTCCCGCAAATCTCAATCATCGCCCCTCCTTGTGTACAACAGGACTGTGACAAAGTCTCAGAAGCTCCTTGCAGAACTTGGTGCATCCGCCGTCAAAGTCGCCGATACTCTCGGCCAGCTGGCTACGGAGTGCGACGTTATCTTCACTTGTCTCGTGAATGATGCTGTAGTGACGAGTGTCTATAACGAGTTTGCAAAGGCTCTCGTCGTACGCCGCAATCCACCTTCCTGCAGGATAAGATAATGATAATGCTGCTGTCATCAGCAATCACCTCCAACCAAAGCCAAAATCTTCGTTGAAATGAGTACAGTAAGCCTGATAATCGCTTCTGGGCTTCACGCTTACAGGCAATGTCAGAATTACCCTGCGCTAGCCGGTGCGTGAAAAGTTTCTTGCTACTAACGTAACCGTGAGCAAGTCTGCTATAGGCGATCTTGACAGACTGCTGTCGAGCTTTCCGCATACCCGTTTTATCACATCACCTATCTTTGGACCTCCCCCAGCGGCAGACAAGGCCACGCTTGTTATTGCCATGAGTGGAGACTATCGGTCCAAGAAGGAAGTCGCCTTTCTCCTTGTCCCTGCAGTGGGCCGCAAGGTGATTGATCTCGGAGGAAATGTAGAAAAAGGTAAGAATGTGTAAGAGCGTGGCGAGCAAACCTACGTGTCTGAAAATGTGTGGGTTTCAGCTTCGACATTAAAGTTGATCGGTAATGGTAATCTCGCCGCTGCCCTGGAGCTCCTCGCTGAAACCCTGACACTCGGAGAAAAGTCTGGCATTGGGCAGCAGACTGTATACGATCTGATCACAGGTGAATCTTGGACCGCCTTCTGTCGTGCTATGACGGGAAGCTGATCAATCGCGTTCAGACATCATGCCAGCACCAGGGTATGCATGCTGTCAATTACATTACTGATGTTCACATGGATGATAACAGGTTGCTAGCATACGGCAACAAGATGATCAACGACTCGTTCGATGGCTCCGTAGGCTTTGCTATGGATGGTGGAATCAAAGACTCTTCGTTAGTGCCTCGACGTGTTCACAATGAATACAGTTCTTTCTGACACAGTTTTGCATCCAGTCACGTCCTTCGCCTGTCCGCGGAGCTGAATTGCCCGATGCCTGCAGGTATGTCGACGATCCGACCTTCGGTCATTATGAGATACTCATTCATTTGTAGTTAGTAACGCACTTCGGAGCATGATTACTACACGAGCTATGCACCAAGCACAAGTTGCTTCAGGGACACAGCAGTGGGACATCATTGATGAGAGCGCCTTGATTGCGAGCAGCCGAGTTGCGGCTGGATTGAACCCATTCGACAGCAAGAAGGTTCGTGCATGAGTTCTCGGCTTCCTGATGTTAACCTGAGGTCAAATCCAGGGAACGGGAGTTGTACGAGAAGACTGAGATATGGGATGTCATAGCGCTGAGCGCCACATCCATTTGTATTACAGAACAAACCATAAATTGGTCGCTTATATGTCAAATAAATGTACTTTCAATCTTGCATGCGTCAAGGAAATGAAATTCATTCTGTTGTGGTATAGGCTTTTCATTTTGGGTGTACCATAGGGTTAGGGTTAGACCCGAGGAAGGGCGAAAAAAAAGGCCTGCCCAGCCAGAGTGGCCGTGGCAGGACAGGAAAATATTGAGACGGTGCATGAGCCGGAGCTCATACAAACCGCGATTACCCTCTGTATGGACAGGGTCGCCGTGCTATGAAGGGTCCCCGCGGCCCACAAACCCGGGTACATGAAGGAGCCTATGCCATCAAGGTAAGTATGAAGATTTTAGAAGGTTGGAGGCTCGTTTATATAGCAATAACACTGAGTGCACGGACCACCCTGTACTTATTTAGAAAATGTACCTTCCAGAGTTGCAACCACCATATTAGGAAGTTGCACCACTAGGAATTTGATAATCTATCACGCATTCTTCGACATTTCTGCTATCTGCTTGCTGTTCGGCACTGAGGCCGAGTCCTGAGGACAGGCATTAATGCTAGTAGCTATATAATTACCTGCTGCTGCAGAGTTCGTGAAATGGGTGTATATCAGTGCACAGAAGCAAGTACTATATAGCTCCCGAGAAGGATCGCCAGGCCGACTTTATCAATCTGCTGGCACCGTGATAACTCGCTGGTCACGAGCCCTACGCTGTCACCACCCAAGCTATGGCCCCTGCTGCCTGTGTCCCACCCGAACGGGGATTAGACGTCTTCGACGGTGTTGCGGGAGAGAAGATCATCGCAATGATCTTCGCTTAGTAGATCTGGCACTGGGCAGGCACCAACAGGCACGAACCTAGGTACTCGGGCACAAAGATACTAGCTCACATGATCTTCATTAATCCGAGTAAGTTAGCAGTACGTAGTAGTACTTACTTCAACTCACCAATCCCAGCACCTACCACCGAGCTCCACACGTTTCAAGGTTTTCCCTCGTGCCTCAACGCTCAGTCACATGTAGGTTTTTATTAGTACTGAGGTTGAGCCAAATCTTATCGAGTCCCAGATCGAGTGCACTGTGATAAAGCGACGGAACAGTTGGTATCACTTCCAGCCATTCCCAAAGCTTACCAGGCACCTCATCACTTTTACATCATTCCTTGAAGCCCTGAACCTTTCTACGTAGAATCGAGTTTCCACAATCCCTGAGAAGTGAAAAAAAGTCGTTCGGTGTCTCTAGAGGATGTTTTGACACTACAAGGTCATGCTGACACCATGACAAGGCAAGTTGATGTGTGTGGTCGCGCTGAACGATATGATGACGCTGACTCGGACGTGTGCTGTGAACTACCCAGATCACTGTTACAACTGTTTTGCCTACGTAAACGCACAGGTTAGCTTCCGCGTATTTGCCCTCTCGACGGTGCTTAACCTTTTCCAGCGCAGCACAAGAAACTCAGAAGTACAGGGGTGCCCTTCCTTACGAGCTCGTGGAGAAAATCATTGTAGATGCATGGTGCTCCATTGGCGACGCACCCGCTAGATGGCGTTTCTTTCGCACCATTGCGATTTTGTCCAAGATATGGCGCGATGTGCTCCACGAGGTGGTATTGCGCTATGTCTTTATCGAGACAATGCTCGATTTCGTCGCATATGAGAGACTCCTCTCACGTTATGATCCATGCGCTCGATATGTCTCCGTCGTGCTAAACGCTGTGGACCACACACGATTTCGCGTTGACGAGATTGCAAAACATGTTCCAGAGGCGCAATTCATATGTATTGCGATCACAATGGATAGGCGATACTATTTCGACGCAATCCTCCAAAATCTCCTAGCAAAGACGGAATCACTCACGCACCTCCGTATTTGTTGGCCTCCCCTTCGTGATTCTTTTGCATGCCCCCTTTCTAGTGTCGTCATTAGTTCAGTGACGCATTTGCATATAGCGCGCCATCCATCAGCATCACTTGGTTCTATCCTTGCGTCTTTCCCGAACGTAACTCACCTTCGCTTGGGCACACCGTGTTTCCTGAAGAACCTTGTCCCGTACATGTCCACAGTTCGAGTTCTCATCCTCGATGCTCCACCACAGTACAGCGTGCATACAGTCTCTCAAGCTCCGGCTCTCATGTTCCAAAGTTCGGTCCCACTTTGGAATATTTGCGACGCACTTGAGCATGGCTTGCTGAAGTCTACCGCCAACTACCCAGGCCGGATCATCATGAATGCGGGAAAGTCGGACGCGGATAAGTCCATAACTACAGATATTGCTCTGAGCTGCCAGAGGCATGGAGTGGTCTTTGAATGCAGACGAAGACATCCGCCGTTATGGCAGCCCAGTCATTTGGATTCCAGGCGTTGGGACCATGACGCATGGAGCTAACTGCATGTAGCTACTCAAGTAGCAACAGTGGTTCTTTGATGCTAGCTATGCTACTATCAAAATCTCAAGGCCCTTCGGTACTTGATGAAGTCAATCAAGTTGTCTCGCATCTCCTCCCCTCTCCGTTTCAAATCTCGCTCCTTCCGCCTGTCGATTGCTCGCACGGCTTTACGCACCCCTTCAACGCTATCTACAAGACGCTGCACGAAGTTGCCTTGCCGAAAATTGACATCGTATGGAAGATTCTCGTCGGAATAGATGTCGATGAGAGCCGACAGTGTTTGGATCAGTGGCTCAGTGCCGTAGATCGAAGGCGCTGTGGACGTTGGGAGGATGGAAAGCAGGTGCATTGCAATAACCTAATCTTGTGTTCAGTTTCGAGAAGGGCAGGAGAACATGCGGCTCACGCGATTAGCATCAATAGATTGTGGATGCTGCGCCAGGCACTCGAGCGTGCCGATGCATTTCACGCGAATAGCAGGATCAGTGCTCGAGTTGCAGAGCTGGATCAGTAGCTGGACTTGATCTTCGTTGGGCACCTGTGACTCCTCAACACCAGAACTTTTGCCAATAAGAAGACTTACCAAGCTACCCTTCCAGATATTACCGACGCCCCAGAGCACACCCACTCCAATCTCCCACATTTCCTGTTTACGCTCTTGGCCGCGTGTGATTTCCGTGCCCACACTTCCAAGTGCTGCCCACACGCTGTCCCATATCTTTTTTCCACTCGCGGATGCCGCGGCTAATCCGGAGCTTGGGGACGCGCTCAACGAGAGAAATATGTTATTTAAGCACTCGAGCGCGCTAACATGAATTGCACTCAGTACAGATGTTGTCGGTGGGTGTGAGGATTGCCCGGCTGCAGGAGGGAAAGATAATCTGACGGGTTGGATAAGGGTAATGAGAGGTTCTACGAGCGCAGGCAGATGACTTGCGGTTGTTGTGTTATCGGCGATCGGTATATTGTCGAGGGCCATGCCATCGGTTACATCCTCTTCTATCTCAGCATCATTGTCTATCTAAATGTCAAATAATCACCGCTATTTATGTAAAAAATCTTACCTTCATCTTCTTCCGCATCAGGTTCACCTTCCTGCACCTCGGAGATGGGGTCAGGGTCAGGTAATGTTGCACACACCCCAGTTAAAATTTCTAGTGCGAGCTGGACAGTGCGTAATTTGTTCTCCAAACGGTCGAGTTCGACCTCGGTATCAGATCTATGATCTGACGGAGCACTTTTTAGAGATAGTTTTTCTATTTGAGGAGGTTCCAGCGCCTTTACACCGCATCGATAAACACCACCGGTGAACCACTAAGATCGGCAACTTACTAATTTTACCACCAGGCTCTCAGCCAGCGCTGATGACTCAGTAAGAGATACAGAAGCCACCACTGGCTGAAGTAGTGGAAGTACAATCTCCTTGCCAACATCGACTCCTGATGCGGAACCAGGGGGAGGGAAAGGTGAAACGTTGCTCAGGATACCTGATTATAATCAGCTAATGTATTTCACAAAAGAACGTTCCTCACCGCTTGACAACACTTTCAACGTGGTCATTCTATCCCAAAATACTTCTTTATCCTTCTCCGTTACACCGCCTTCATCGTGTACGATTTCGAGCAAACACGTGCTGTACGCCGCATTTGACCGAAGCTCATCCATTGCTGGCTGATTGTCATCCGTTAGGACGTACAGGCATTGCGCTGATAGCCACAGTAAGTCCTAAAAGTAGATGTTGAAAGCAGAAATATCTGCGAACCTGCGGCAATAACAGTAGCTATGGGTAATTTTGCTCGAGCGGCCAGGAAGGACATCAAAAAAGGAACAAGGTTGATTTGATTGATAGCATTCAGTGCCTTGTTGGATGTCTCCCTGACCGCGCCTTCAGCGCTGATACGATGCGATTAGAAACCGATGCACCTACGAAAGACACCAGAGTATAGTATTCACATTCTCGGTAAATTCATACACTACTTTTTGCGCGTTCTCTGGAGCCGTCTTGGGTGATTCCAGGAACTGTGAGAGTGCGCTCGATATCTGGGAAGAATTGACCTCGGCCTCGCATCATCCAATCACATGCATGTTAAACATACCTTCGGGATGAATGCTTTAAGGGGAGCCAGTATATTTTTATTGTACATTTCGGCGCATATATCGTATCCTCCATCAATGCACAGATTTCTGAGAGGCACGAGAATGTAAGGCAAAGAAATCTTCGAGGCTGGAGATGCACACCTTAGCGCCCCAGCGGCTTCGATCCAGACTTCCTCCTCGCTATCAGAAAGGCGCGTAATGAGCGCTCCGACTACATTTTTTCCTTGTAATAACCGTCGCGTAGATGGATCGTTTTGTATGAGATTGGATACCGCGACGCATGCCCACTTGCGTTCAGAAGCGTCTGGATTCTCTAACTACAGTGCCCAATGAATTCCAGAACATGGATCTTGCCATACGACGCACCTTTTGGATGATAGGCAATACTGCTTCATTTTTTGGGGAGGATGAGGCTGCTGATTCTAGACCTTTGGGAAGATGCGAATCTGGCACCCGCATGGGATTATGTCGACGCATCGACCGTTTCTTCTGCGACTTCCCCATTTCCGAGTATACAGGGAATTGAATATAGGCGACTGATGGTCCCAATCTGAAGCCTAAGAGTTAAGATAGTGAATCCGATGAGCTCAGAGGGTTAGTGATCTGAAATGTGACTACTATTTTTGGTCTTCTTTATGTAAGACTACGCTTGCAGTCTAAACAAGCTGAAAAGTAGTGGACATGTAAAAGAATATCAATATTTATCGGATAGTTAAAGACTGGGATGAACAGTTTGACCAGTGCCGCTGAACGCGCGCGAAGCAGTTCAAACTCACGGTGACCACACTTGGTTCGCTCTATTGATATATAAATATACTGCTGCGGCATTTTGCAACAAGATATTGTAATGCGCAATTGGCAAATGTCCATGAAGACAGGGTGATGATTAGGTATATAGTACAATACAATAGACGAACGTTCCGAACGCCCATAAAAACGTGGTCCAAAAAACCCACAACTAGGGTTGGTATATCGGAAGTACGCCATGCATACTAACAAACTCTTCCGGTGGAGCGGAAGGTTGAGAACTAGACGCAGATGGCAAGGAAGGCAAGGAAGGAGATCGTGCAATTTGGATGTCGCACTCATCACCGTAAACTCTAGGCGCTTCGTGAGCACTGCCTTCCCAACGGTCAAAGGCTTGGTCATCCTCCGGTATTGGAGGAGCCGAAGCCGTCAGAGTGTCCTCAAAGGGAATGGCGTTGGGCTGAGCCTCGTATGGGGGCATAGAAGGCAATGTGTTAGGATCTAATGCGGTGATATCCTGTAGATAACTGTGCCCATCAAAGTATCCAGGTGACAAACCACTTTTCGAGGGCGGTTTTGGGAAACCCGAGTTCCCAACCTCGAATAGAGAAGCCTCGGAGGGTGCGACAGTGGCTAGTTCGGTAGGGTGGGTTTCAAAATCATCATGCCATTCTGGGGCAGACTCATGTATCGAAGGTCTCCCGTGAGTGTTATCCTGAATTACGGGAGGCGCGCTAGCCAACTCCGCCATACGGGCGAGATGAGTCTTATCATCAATGGCGACGTGCCCAGTACTGGGACGGTAAGGAATGTCGTCATGGTCCGCGGGTGGAAAGTCATGACCGAAGAGGAGTGATCCTCGGCGTGATGTAGGATCACCCGAAGGTACGTGCGATGCCTCCTGAGGACGACCTTCAATCTCAGGACGCGCATGCAGTGTGGGAAATATGTAAGCAGGGGGAGACGAAACGTTACATGAGCTAGATGGGTCGGGTGATGTAAAAGGTGGTCGTGCGGGGGCAAGAGAATTCTCAATAGGAGCAGCGTGGTGGTCAATGTTTTCAGAGATAGATGCTATTGAATGTCGCGGGGATGAGACTGGGGAGGAGTGGGCAGACGCTTCGCGATGATCCAATAATATGGGAGATTGTGGTCGACTTCTGGTAGACAAGCCATGCCGTCGCCTGCGTCGACGAGCAGAATGTCGTATGCTAGCCTTCCACCGAGCGCTTGCCCTCGCCCACAAGCGATTCTTTCCGCGAGCCTCATCCTCCCTTTCACCGTCCTCTGATAGATCCTCCAGGTTTACCTTGTTTCTAGCTTTCAGTTCCAAGTCTTTCTCAATCTTTTCTCTGTTCAACACTTTCTTCCGTCTCTTTCTCCAAACGGTGCAGCTTATAATGAAGAGGCAAATTGAGACTGCCAAGACTATAGCTAGTGATAGGATGATCATAGAGTCGGTGTGATCGCTTTGGGATGTTGTAGACCAACCCGCAGGAAGGACAGAGTCTATTTGGGTGGAAGTGGAAGCGGTTGGAAGAGCCGAGGTAGATGGTGAAACATCATCTGTGTCGGGAGACGAAGAAGAGAACTAGATAAAGATATTAGCGCATAGAAGATGACAAAGAGAGTAAACGAACTGTTGAACCATACAAAGTCCAGGCATTTGTCTTGTACCAGCGGCCGTTAGACTGAACGTATCTGTCTGCCACTTGTTGTTGAACGTATGTAGTTGTAGTCATGGAGGATGTGGAAGAGGTTTTCGTGCTGCTGTAAGATGTTGTGGGTGTTGTGTTATGGACGCAAGTATCCATAAACGGACATAGGAAAGATGGAGGTGGGGTCGGTTGCGGGAGTGGGCTTCCATCTACTGTTTGTGAGCTGGCGACGATAGTTGCAAGGATTGATAAGACGGATGATGAAGGACAAGCTATAGTAACTGGTGAAGGTCTACGTTGCTGACGATCTAGTCTTGAACCGAACTGGCCATGTTTTTGCTTGGCCATGATACGACAGCAGAAGAAGTGCCAAGAGAGTCTTGCCGCTTCAGCGTGGCAGCAACTCGGTAATTTGTCGTCAAAATTTTATAGTCAATATTAGACTATAAAATTCAGCCAGCGCAGCAAAAAACGAGGATCGAACCTCTGAACGACGCTCGAACTCTTGAGAGAGAGAATAAATCTACAACAGAACTGACAGGTTGCTGAGGAGAAAAGCGGGACTAACTCGTGGGCATCATATCCAGCTTAAGTAATAAATAAATAAATAACTATTATTCAGAGTCTCATCCGTCCCTGCTAAATGAAGAATCCTATTTGACATGTGTGATATATCACATACCACTGCTATTTCTATATCAGTTATTTAAGCTCAACATTCATATTCGCCAACCATCGACTTCGTTTTCGCTCTTCCTCCCGAACTTTCCCTCTTTCTCTAAGCACCTTCTCCTCATCCTGACTCCTCGGCCGGACGTACACATCTTCAGCGCTTGATTCATAGAACATCTTGTACGTCCCTAGGCTAACTCGGATACTCATGGAATCCCAGCTTGATGTGCCTCGCGGCGATTCGTCGATCGTCATGTGCCTATTTACACACAATCACAACTCAGCTCACGTTTACATAAGTTGACCTGCCTGTGCACTAACCTTCGCAAAAATACCTTTCCTTCACGCTTTGGTTGTGACAGCCATTCCGTCGGGTGTCGTAGAACGTACGAGTCGAGATATTCTCGCCACCGGTTAATCGCCGCTCCATCTCCATTCACACTAGGATCGTCTGGTTCAACCAGTTGAATGAACATTGTTTTGGAAGACCGATGCTGGAATTACTTCATATCAGGGACACAAAAAATTCAAAATTCAAGTATCTCACATACCCAATCGAACCTGTACAGATGTTCGTCGGCACCAACGTGACGTTCCGCCTCGCGTCGATAGCGAATCATGTTTTGATTGGAAAGGGCATCCATCTTCCGCGTTTGTTGAAGTAGTATCCAAAGCTCCTGACACTTGTTATCTGACAAGAGAATTTGCACCTGTTAAAGGGAAACTCCGTTCAACTAAATTTGAACGAGGAAGAGAGCGCAGTCACGATGGCTCCGCAGTCCAACATCACAGGAAGCATTATATTTACCTGCTTGATCAATGAAGACAGTATCTTGTCTAACGTGAAAAGGTAATATGCCTGGAAGATGCGCCGGGTCAGATAACGACTCAGGAGGTGAACGCACAACTTACCTTGTTGCCGAAAAACCATCGCATATGTTCCTCGAACGTTGCCTGATCAAGCTCATTATCAAAGAGCTTCTCAAACGCCTCCAACATGTAAAGGTATACGACATCAGTGGCGTCACGGGCCTGACGATTGCATACAGCCTCCATAGCCTGTGCAAGTATAGCAGAGGGTCCATTCGGATCATCCAACCCCAACTCAATAGCAATAGGATTGCAGTCCGCAGGATTTAGACCTTTTGCAGTTTGACGAGCGCCCTGTTCCTTACACACGAGCAGACGAGAATAAATCAACTATATGCGATAAAATTAGCTCACGTCAAGCATATATACGACTGTGAGACTTTACCTGTAACAAACAGAACACAGTATAGAACGTCGTGTTCCCGAAAAAAGGTTTTCGTCTAGAGCCCACCGTCTCCTGGAATAGGAGGGGCTTGATTAGCTGACGCGTCGCGGATCCACTGATCCGGGGAGCTATTTTGGGCTGAAGCCAACCTTGCGCTTATGCTGTCCTCCAGGGTGGCATCAAATAATACACGCTCGGAATGAGGCGAGGTCCCTCTTGATTTGGATAACGAAAATGTCTCCAGACCCTCTGACCCAACGGGGTTGTCTTGCGAGGATTTCAGTAACCGCTTACGAAGGTCGCCCGCGGTCACTACGTTCCCCGAAGGGCCACGTCCACTCGTAAACGGGGTTCCGTTATCCATTCCGCGAGCCATCTAAAGCTTGTTGGTCGGTCTCCTCATCTCGCGGATCGTCCAAAGGCGTGTACCCAGCATTGAACTCGTCGGCAGGGCACATACATAGGAGGGGAATGAACGATCGCAACCAACCTTCGACTCCACGCCGTTCCTGTAGTGTATAGTGCGCATGGGAATGATCCAGGAAAGAGTAAACCAACTTAAGCGAGTCTTGAAGGACAGTCATGTCTTTGAAAGGAAAATCCAGTTGGTGGCCTGGCAAAGCAGTAGCGAATGAGGGTGGACCCTGCTGCGCGCGCGCATCTGCTTGCTCAGCTTTGACTGACTCGATATTTCCTACAAAGTGTTTGGCAGTGACGACCTTCTTATCATTCGACTTGAACGTGACCCCTTGATGATCAAGAGATCTGTAGAAATTTTTGGCATCGACCTCCCGCCACGTTTTGTTCCATTCTCGTTGGACGCGTCGCCATTCTTCATCTTTCTGTTTCAGCCGAGCGAGGACAACAGGCACAGCGACGCTGGGACACTCCTGAAGAGCTTGGATGACCTCCATTCCAGCATCTCTGCCGTAGACTTTCTTCAGCGTCCGGTGGTATATGTTCTTGCTCAAGCCACCAAAGTCAGGCTTGAGTCGGAAAATGGAGCGTTCATCATTGGTCATTTCTTCAATGCGAAAGTTAATGGGCTCTATAACAGCGATCGTGCGTGCGAGGGCTTCAAGCTGGACATGATATTCGTGTCGTTCCTCTTCGCTCTTGTGCAGCGCTTCTTCAAACGAGTTCTTCTTGTGCGCGATAAAGCCTGCCTCTTCAGATGCCCATGTCGGATGTGATACCCATTCGTCATTGAGCACGGAGCGACAGAGTTCGTCGCGACCTGAACATGCCAAATGAACTTCCTGCAAACGAGAGCGCTTCAGTCAGTCAGCTGGAAACAACAGATATTCGATACGTACGCTTTCGGGTAACCGACGATAGCTTGGACCTTCACCATCCTCAGCTGGCAATGCAGACAAAGCTTCTGGCGGCCCGGTGCGGATACTCCCGGGAGGACCATGTTCGATACTGTCCTGCCGTTCATCGATCCCAACCACTTCCCGAAACTGCGAGAGTAGATCGCCATCGCCCAAATACACTTGAGCCATGTTCACAAGTGTCTTCGCATTGATGATGTCCTTGGAGTACATGTTCAAGAGCTTGAGGAACTCCTCATATGTATCCTTGCTCTCCAACGTGCGCTTTGCACGCTCAAAAAAGATAAGTTCATCAGGTGCTGACTGAACGTTGGCAACTGGCTGGGGGCCTTGTAACACTAGATTATGCATTTGGGGTGGCGGTAGCATACTAGCATGCAATTGCAGGGGATGATGGGGAGGAGATTCCGGTAACCCGTATGAATTGAACTGCGGAGAGTCAGGGTCGGCCCCTTTGTGCATGTGCTTGGGCTTCTTGGCCTACATAGGGAGAATGTTATTGACGAATGACGTGGAGTTAGCGAAGCACGCACTCGACTTGGGACAGTCCGCACAGCTGGCGCAGGCGTGGTCTCTTTCTCTGGAGCTTTTCTCCGTTTTTTAGGCGGAAGCTGCGTCTTCTTGCCGTTCTTGTCACCTGCATCTACCCAAGGTGTTGGCACACCTGGACCACTAGTTTGCTGTGGAAGAGTGCTGACAGCCCCGCTCAGGTCAGGTAAAAAACCTGTGAATTCACTGAGCAGATCTTGAGCATCCTTAAACAGGGCTTGCACTTGCACGTATACTTGCGACTATGCCCAAGCGTCAATACACATCATCTGAGATAACGCACGTGACACATACATCTTGAATCTGACGCTGCTCCTTCTGATATGTTTGCAAGATTTCCAGGAACTGCTTGTATGTATCGGGGTCGTCGGAATAGCGAGCCTTGATTTTGTTTAGGTACTTTATTGCATGGTTGAATTCCTCTGATGATTTGTTTTCTACTGCGTTTCGATTGGACAAATTGCCAAGAAAGGATGCAGCAGCAGTTGTGGAGGGTACTTGAAGGCTTGGGGAATACGTATCTACAGACTGTGGCATGTGCGGAACCAGAAAGGGAGCCATCGATGGTGTCATCGAACGGGTCATTGGAAACGCTGGTCCAGCGGTTGGTGGAAGGGGAAGGGAAGACTTGGTTGTAGCGGGGTCACGAGTGACGCGGGAGATCTGCTCGAAGGTGCTTGTGCTCTGAGTGGTAGTCCCTAACGGCGTTGTAACGGTGATAATATTAGGGTCGTGCGGGTCTGCTGACATCTCTATTCTGTAGCCAGGGGGAAGAAAAGTGTTGAATCCCTGAATAAGATATGGATTGCCATGGAATAGCATCGACACGCGCTCGATCACTCCAGGTGTGTCAATTCTGTACAAGAGAAGATCATTAGCAACATGAGGCTGGAAGGCAGAAGAATAGACGATATAAAAGGATGCTTCCACAACAACAACCACAACAGGAAAGGCGCGTACGCCAGGTGTAGTCCATGCCCTTAGGCGGTAAGATAACCGGACGTCATGAAACATTTTCCGCTTCCCGAATCGCACTTCCACGTCTAGTATTTAGATTGACTTACACTTCGCTCTTGAAGTCCTTCATGATGTCCAAAAAGTGGTTGTATACGTCTGGCTTGTCCTGAAATTGAACTTTGACCGCGTCGAGGTAGCTGAGCGCATCGGTGACGTTAAGCGGTCTGTCTGGAGACTTCTGCGCTGCGGAACCATGGGATGCGCTATCGCCTTCACCAGCGGTGCGAGGACGGGGTGTTCCAGATTTTGGAGTACGGAAACCCATCTTTGATGAAATGAGAAGCTGTGCAGTACTGGAAAGAGGTTCCAATGAAATATCTCTAGGAGTGTTGGAAGTTGGAAGTGGGGTGAGGTCGTCGGAATCGAGTTGGAGGGATAGAGAAGGGATGGTAAGCTTTGGTGAAACGTAGGAAGAGGATGGTGGTGGTATGGGAGGAAGAGGGACGGTTTGATTGAAGTTCTGTGATGGAGATTGTGGTCTCGAATTAGGTGTGAAGGGTGTTTGGGTGTCCATCATTGTTGTTGCCCTTCACAGTAAGTCTGTAGTACGGCACACGGTGACCGAAGGTAAACTCAATGCTGCACGTGGGAATCTTCGGAACGGTCAATTCAATTCATTATTTATCTTATCTTATCAACACTCCTATCGTATGCCATCAACCCCTTCATAGGTTCTCTTATTCCTCTTGAGAGTAAAAGCACTGGTGTGCATAAATCCGGAAGGCTGCAAAAGCTCTTCTCGCGTCTTCGTCACATAATCAATAGCTTCAGGTGTCCCAGGTGCTGGAAAGAAGTATGGCGCTGCGTAAGGCTGTGTTCGTAATGGTGGGTCTGGGTTTTTCGAAGGACGAGCTTCGGAAGCGAACACCGTTAATTTAAGACCGGTGGAATAAACACAACTTACATTGATAAAATGACCCTGTAGAATTTCTGCCTTTGAGGTGTGTCAATCTTTGCTTCGACGAAGCTATTGTCCGACATGCATTAAAAGACGGGGAAACTGAAAGGGAATGTCTCTTGAAAACTTTGTGGGCTTCCGAGACTTCACCGCGATTAGACCGTTGAACAGGCAGTTCCGTTGCAGGCATCGGAGAGGCTGGTAAATCCACACGCGCATGACTTTGCGGTACCTCCCCATCAACTATGCTGCTATGCATGATATTATTTGACCTGGTCGATAGTGGAGAGGATGGAGCCGGTGAAGCAACTGGCCCGGGAACGGGTCGCTTAACACGACGAGCTATTGTCCTTTGTGAATTTCATCGACGTCTGGAGGTGGTTTGAACCAAAACACGAACACGGATGGTATTAGTGTTTGAATGGACATAGCCAGCAGACTCTGGTGTCCGGTGAATAGATTTGTAACCATGGTGCCGACCTCAGAACAGCTGCCACGCACCAGAAGAATCCCGAAACTAGATAGCATCACACCAACTGTCTTCAGGATGATTTTCCGGAAATTCATCGAGAGACATGCAAGGTTGTGGCAAGGTGCTGCTTGTAGGACGTCACGGTATGGCTCGGAAAAGATAAGACATAATCAAATATATAATGCCACTGATAACTGTGATGCACGGCTGAGCGGCCAAGCGACGACTAAAGCTGCTGACTCAATGACCGGCTTCGCGGAGACGTCACTGCATGGCTCGGGATGGTTGGGAGAGATGACCATGAAACAAATGGTAACGCCAACGGAATGCTAACGCCCGTCGGAAATTCCCTTTCATTCTGTATATAAGACTGTCACGAAGCTTGCATACGAGTTTTCCCGCTACAGCTTGCAGGTTCCGGTTAACGTTTGAGTCAAGAAGATGAGTAGTCGCGTGGGAATAATTGAACACGTGTTTAGTTGGCATGGCCTTGTCCTATGAACGTCAGAGCTCTTCATTCTACCCTTCTTCTTACCAAAATTACTCTGACCTCGACATACAAATCATGCCTCCTCGTGGCAGCGAAGGTTTAGATTTCACGCCAATCTTAACACATTATCTTTTCTTGTTTACGACAATTCTTGCCGTGGTATGTATCAAACTCGACTCAATTTTCAAACTAAGCGCGTCACAATATAGTTGGCATGGTTCATCGCGTTTATCTCGCAATGTATTGTAACTGCTCAATGTTAGTATAATAGCTTGCTTTTTCATACTTCCACTGACTAATTTATTTCCTCTAGTCTTTGAACAAGCGGTTGGCATTGGGTGGTTCGGGATATTCCTCCAATTATTCCTAACCCTTGGCGTATTGCACACCTTAGCAAGCGATTCAATAGCCATGCATCGCTTCCAAATATCAGTCTTTGGTGCTATCGCAATCGTTATGGCTGTCATCACCGTCAGTAACAGTATTTTTACTGGACGGGCTGCGCTGGACGCTATGGCTGCCGGATGGCTCATTATTGCAATCGTGGACATCCTTTGGGTGATCTATTTCACATCAGAGGAAGATTCTCTCGCATTCCACATCTTCAATTCTATGGGCACCGGCGGCCTCACACCACCATCCCGTCGTCGTAGGACTCGCGGTGCGAGCAACATTGGCACCAATGGCTATGCAGCCAACTACTCTTCTGGCGGCGGTATCGGTTCACACGATATGCCCTATGACAATGCCAATAAGATGGGCGGTACCGGTCCCGGGGTTAGGAGTCAAAACAGCTTTGTCGGCGGTGCTAGTGTGGACGGCGCACCCCGCAGTCTTGGCCCCGCAGCTGTGGGCAGTGTTCATAGCACACCAAATCCTGCACCGGTTTCCCTAAGTGGCCCTGACAACAATATGGGTCCAAACTCACCGTTGATGGGCCCAGGTGCTGCGGGTGTAGGCGCAGGTGGCGGTATTAGTGGAGGTAGCCCGAATATGCCTGAAGCCAGCACGGGCGGGACAGAGACATACGTCTACAAAGCAAAAGCATTGTATGCTTGTAAGCCAAGAACTCTTTCACTAATATTCTTTTTCTCATCACTTGCACAGACACTGCCTCTCCAGATGATCCAAACGAAATCTCATTCACCAAGGGTGAGATTCTTGATATCGTCGACAAGCAAGGCAAGTGGTGGCAAGCAAAGAAATCGGATGGTACGATGGGAAGTGCGTATTTTTGTTCTGCACTGCTCGCTAGCCCCTTGACCCTAATCATTGCGTCGCAGTTGCACCATCAAATTACCTTCAGGTCATCTAATAGACTGAGCTGGGAATTTTGGTTTTTACTTCTTTATGCTACACCTGACGACCATGGACACGATGCGTGCGTGATACGAGCGTTACGTTCCTTGTAATAGCACTGAAGTGTCTTGATGTTAGGCGATTCGAGCTATATTATCCACTTCCTTGCTCCACCTCCCTTGTGTTTTTTATTTGGCGGCCCTATTGTCTCAACGATACCACATTCCGATCAATGTTTTCCTGTGTCCTAGCGATGTATATGTTGCTCATCAGACCATGCTCAATCAATAATAACCTACTTGTTCTTGACATTCGTATTACATGCCGGTGATCGGTTGATAACAGTATTGATAGTGCGATTGATCAATCCACGACTGGCACATTCACATTCTGGTTCACGGTGTTCTAGACAATTAATTGGACTAATCCTTTCAAATGGGGGCGAGTGCTGCCTGAGACTAGACCAACCCACAGCTTAGTCAATGGTTCCATATGATGTCAGACTTTTTTGTCACTGTAATTGTTATCGATCTTTTGCGGAGTCTACCGGAGAATCTTTGGAGAGGTACCTAAAAAGAACTGTCTCAGTCACGGCGGCTGCGCAGCGACCACTGTGGCTCATTCTTCCCTTCAGTGATGAGCACTCACACAGCAACAGGGCCAGTCAATCGTCTGGCGAACTTCTTGCGACCGAGAAAGCAGTCAACCGCAACCGAGAACAAAAATGTCACAAGACCAGAGAAATCGATTCAGGTACTGAGTGTCGAGAATGAAGCCCTGAAAAACGCGAACGAGGCATTGAAGAAGAAGTGCAGCGATTTACAAGATCGTCTGCAACGAGTCGAAAAGAGGCTTGGGGGCAAGGATAAAAATGGAGATCTGGGCGTTGATCAACAGGAGGTGGAAAGCGTAGGCGCCCAGGGTGGCGATAAGCGCTGCACAGTCAGCAAAGAAGCGCAGGCGAAATCGGAACCGTCATCTCCCTTATCTTTACATCGTCCACCTGGAATGTCCAGACGTGGCCACCGATTGCTTCCTCCGGAGCTGTGGTGGACCATCATTCGCTGGGCGACCTATGCACCGCCGGGTTTTGATACGCCAAACTTTGGGCCATTCCTTGGATCCTTTGATCATGATAATAAAGGAGAAGCGGAGGCTAAGGCTGTCAAGTGCGCAGTGGTTCAAGTGTGCAGCCTTTGGCGAGACCTCGCTCTCGGCATTCTATATGAGGATGTCAAGGTCGGACGTGGGGCAGAATATCTCGTGGAGGCGTTGGGAAAGACATATAGGGGTGAACAGCTCGGAAAATGTGTCCGCCGCCTTGAACTTCCTTACCCTCACACCGATACTCCAACCAACACTAGCTTGGATCTCGCACTACAAATTCTGCAATATTGCCCGCAATTGGAAACATTGGTGAGGCCCTTCATGTCGGCACTTCCAGACTCGGTACGCTACGAATTCCCTACTCCCAGCCACTCCTTCTTGAACCTCAAGAGGCTCGAGTGGTGGCATTACAATGATGCTACTCGTTCTGGGGGAATCAACTCGCTCCTAGACGTTCTGCGTCATTCTCCCAATCTCCAGTATCTCGCTGTAGGAGGGGAGATGTGGTCTTCCGACCAAACTGGCAATGTGCTGGAGCTCCCCGCATTGAAGACACTTCGTGTACGACGCATCAATCCTGTCTTCGTTCACCAGATCTGCCAATGGCGGCTACCTTCACTTGTCCATGTCGTTGTGGATTTCCCCCTAGAACAGAACGCACTCGATACCATATGGCAGGTATTTGGTGCTCGCCTCTGCACGGTCGAGTTCGCAAGGCATGTCGGATTCTTGCTTAGTGATCAGACCACTCGCTTCCTCCGTGGCTGTCCTCAAATCAAGACGTTCAATTACTTCCTTAACTTCACGTCACCACCACCTATCTTCGGAGAAAATTGCGCGCTTCAATGCATATCTTTGCATGCATTCCCATGTGCCATGGTTACAGACATGATCACTGAAGCTCGAGAGCGCCTTAGGCTACACCTCGCATTCCTCTCCGAATCATCCTTTCCAGAGCTGCGCCGCATAATTCTTTATGGCGATTGGGGAGACATGCTTCGTGATCCTCGCTTAGTAGAATTCATGCAAACCATGATTTCCAAAGGCTGTTCGATTGAACGTGCCACTGGGGGCATGCATTCTTGCAATCAATTATTGAGCGCCTGATCGTAAGTGCCAATCGACGAGTTGACGTACCATTTTACTCATATGCTTGTCAGCCACAGACGACATCTCTAGACGCTCGTGTATTCATAGCTGGGGTCGCCCCTTTTAGATTCTTCAAAATTCGTTCACTTCCTTTCCCACCTACCTTCGAACTAATGCGCTGGCTACGTTAGGCTTAGTCGAAATCTGTTCCTGTCCCCGTCGTGTCCTATATTATGGGGTGTACCGGTATATCATCCACCATGTGAAAAATTGCAGGGTCCTCAGGGATTCACACAAGATCACGTCGTATTTGGGTTTTAGGATGTGTGCAGTGAGTTCGCGTGCGCAATATGGTATCTATTCCGAGCAGGAATCATGATGACTTATTCGAGTCTGCCGTGTGCCCTACATATCTCATGTGGTCAATTTCAATCATCCAAATTTGGAGGTTGGTGGGCGTTGGGCTACGTGACGTACGTAGCATTCATCACTGACGGACAGGACACCTGCTGGCCATCGATCTATTTACGATGCGGGACCAACCCTTGACCGAACGGTGACGTGTGTCCAAAGTGATGAGATCCAGTATCGATTGTTTCCAGAGGGCTCGGCGTTCACCGGTTTGTTACAGCATACAGGGTTTGACTGATGCTGGTCTCCAGAGCAGCATTCCCTACGACCTTGTTGATCGTATCATCTGTCAACTCAATTATCGAAACGACCGCATGGTGTGGGTAGCTTCAGCGGGCCTACCGAAGTGTTATCGAGGAATATACTATCGTACGTTCGAGGAGACAATAACGAAGGAGCTGTCGCAACTCTGGGCAAGCAATTATTAAACTTATGGGACCCAGTATGCCGCCCAGATCAAGATATCAGAGGCGGCTAAGAGACCCAAGCTGCTCAATCGTGCAAAGTTCGCAGCTTCCTTCGGCGTTGATTAGTATCTTTGCCCTTGCCGCGCTATTGTTAGAAGAGGTGCTTGTGCACTCTGTGCGCAGCTCTCTCCGAAACGTTCCCGAAGATGTCCTCGTTGCAAGCAGTGCCGAATTTTAATCATTCCATTCCCCCACAATGTTGAGCCGATATGGCCATGATCTGGTACTTGAGAGTTCCGACACATCGACGTACAAGCATTTGGAAACTTGATGCGGATGAGGACCGGAAGATGTTAATGAATGCAATTGGAAGGAATGTCTGTCTTCATTCGCCTATGGTCTGTCTATGAGAGGCTACGTACTCCCTGAAAGCTGCTGACTTCTCGCTCTCTAGAACGAATCGGATGAGCACTTTGAGTTATCCGAAGATGAGCGACTTACGTTCTCGCCTTCAGGTGGGCAATTTCATCTAGTGGCCCTTCTCCCTCGTCGCTATTACTGGAACCTTCATCATGGCCATCAAGTGCCCCGAGCCCCGATGCATCCAATATTGCTTCTAATGGATCGACCGCGACGGTGGCGGGATGAGAGAGAGTTCCAGGATTGAATGTATCAGAGCCTATCGGGGGTACATGCTCAGAGTAACGTCGCGCATTCGCAGGATTCGATGAATTCTAGCGCAGTTGGCACGGGTTATACAGGGTATAAGGAGGGTACGAGTGATTTATATGGCGTACCTCTGAAACCGGGCGGGCAGAAATACTCATTACCTTCAGGATAGCTAAAGCGATAATAGAGAAGACGACATTTGGAAGAAGAAAGACCATAACGCTCGTTTATGCAGTTTGTAGGGTGAACTTTAGGATGTGATAATGATGCGTGTTTTCGGCCTGCGATACACTATTAATGTGTGCTATAAAATATACAGGAACAGAGAGAGAATTACTGGTCTGGCAGTGAACGGGACCGGTACCGCGTCGAGGTCACGTGCCTCTTGATGTTATGCGCTGGCCTATCGGGAACCCGGGATCACACTATCAGGCTCTCAGACTTGCTTCCAGCTTTCTCTTGGTTGCGGTGATCAGTGCTGAAACAGCCTTATGTGCGAGGCCGTCCTACTTTACCCAAGACCGCTTGCTCGTTATCCAGGACGCCTCCTCCTCCTCCCTCTTTTACCTCATCGACCTCCTCTAAAGCCTCTTCCTTCGGAAATATGGTCCCGCATTTTTGTGCAGGCTCTCTTCGAGGATGATAAAGATGCCCAATCACACAATGCGCACAGTAATTTACGGCATTCGTGTTTATCATTGATGCTAGTATGCAAGGGTTTCAAGGCGAGTAGCTTGAGTTTTCGATGTGCTTCTTACGTACAGGAAGCAGGCGAGTGTAGTCGCATACATGGCTATCTCGGTCCATTTCATTCACTCTGTCTCACTATGCTGACACATCTTTGCGGTAGGAAGTTGCAATGCCGCTCTTATATTCCAACGTGTGCTTGCACTCTGTGAATTCCTTGCAGAAGTTTACTGCACATCTTCACTCTGCAGACCAGATGTGGGATTCTATCCGCAGAATCCCTTACTCTACCCCCGGGCGTTGGGTGCAAGTGCTTGATCTTTCGGAACTTCTCGCAGAGCTGGATTCCTCGGCGTACTATGCAGTTAACGCACTTTTGACGCAGCTTTTCCCACTGCTGCCGTTCCTCGCAAAGTTGACTTTGTACTCTGGATTTCTGCTGAGCTATCGTGCACTTGCGTCTCTCACACACAGAGATGGCAGCTCTAATATTCGTGCACTGAGGCGGAATTTATTATGATCCCTTCATATATTCCGCGGTAGCAACTCGGTGAAGACCCTTTCGTTCAGTTGCTGCGGGTATGCGTAAATCTGGAGCTACTGGAAGTCACCGGGGTTGGTTTGGATGACACTGATCTCGAGTCACATCTCGATAACACCGAAAATCTCAAAATACCACATATAGCTGTCCCGCTCTATTTACCGCACCTGCGAAGCCTTACTCTATTATCCATGCCTTCCTCTTTGTTGATGTATGCTCTTTTGCACTCCCCCCTACCACGTTTACAGAATCTATCACTTACTCCGTATGATGACATTCCCTTTCCTGCATCACTCTCGTCCCTCTTTCTTGAGAAGCATGGGCAGCATCTTCATACCATCTTTCTCTCCACTCCGAAGTCTTGGCCTACACACTATCATCCATCACCCACTACTATACTCCACACATCCCCACATCTCAGGCACCTCTCTCTGGAATATCCGCTACCGGCACTTACAATCACATTTCAAACGCCATTGACTGGTGTGTCATCATCATTTATCCTTCCCCTCCAGATCTTGTCAATTCCCCGACCCAACAGTGACTTCTGGGTCACTTTGGAGAGGCTCCTCCCCTTTCTTCCTTCCCTACAAATTATACGCATGCGCGACGTAAGGTGGCTAAGGCATGGAATGACTTCCCGTGCTCAGGAGGCTGGAATACAGGGTGAGATGAGGGAATGGGACCGTCGCTTGACTCGTAGAGGCATTCGACTGTTGGACGGCAGATGGAAGGAGTCACGGGGCGTGTGAATGCGGAATGTTCAAACTATTGGAGCTAGCTATCGTCTTGTATGTTTTCGTGTTTCCAGCTCTCTGCTCCTTGCTGTATGTAGCTCTTACCTCTCACCTCTCAATATGAACCTTGTCTCTGCGATTCAAAGAATTACACGCTATCCTGTTGTGAACATTTTCTAAGCTGAAGGAGACAATCTTACATGGTAAATAAATCACCTGAGCAAACTGCATTGTCCCTTCTGAATTTACGTCAAGATACGCAAGCAGCGAATGCCTCATGACTTCGAAGTACCTAAAATATCACCTATCTCCTCCACAAATTTCTGATAATCATCCTTCTTCCCAACATCGGGCTGTATGCCCTTCGAAGATCCTTTTTCATTCAGGGAGGCTGCTGCAACTACAGGTACCGGCCCAAATTTATCCATCAATGAGCTCACAAGATCCGGTCGCGAAGCTTGTGCTGGTTCCGAAGATTCTGACCCTGCACCGAGAGAAGGAGCTGCGTTGACCTTGGATGACGCCATTCCAGCAGCAGGCTTTTTCCGCTTGAGGGATGTCGGAACGAACGCCGTAGCCTCCTTCTTGAAGTCCCGTAATTGCGGCGCGGCCGAAACCGTAGCTGCAGTTGTATTATTATCAGCAATCCCTATAGGGGAAGCGCCAGGGGCTGGCGGAGGTTTTTGGGGAAGTGATGGATGGGGCGTAAGGCGGTTGACACGATGTGCTTGGTACGTTTGGTGAGGAATGGCAGAAAGTGGATCTTGTATGGACGAAGCAGACTGTACACGAGGGAAAAACCCAGGAGGTGGGGGAGGCATATGGGGTTGCATGAACGCAGATATGGGTGGGTACGGTGAGACACCGGGCGGGAAGCCAGGAGGAGAAGTATGTCCAAATCCTGAAGGTTGATGGGGATAAGACGGCGGGGAACCCTGGACAGAATTAACAAACGGAGGAGGCGGTAGTGGCGGAAACGGAGCGACGCTGAAGGGAATGTTTGGTGGTAGTGGTGGTTCTATGAGATTAATCTGAGAATTGAGCGTATGTTAAACAAAGAATGGAACGAACCTTGAAGAATGCTTGGTGGAGGTCCTTCTGGCATCGGAATGTCATCATCGCTGTCAACCATGACATTGTTGTTACCAGTTGGAGGAGGACCTTCAGGCATAACGACGTCGTCATCTAGACATTGGAAAAGGTAATGTTGAGCAACAGATCAATATGAAGTGAATTAACAGTATTTGCTGACCGCCATCAGCTTCATCGTCACTGGCTGTCTCATCAGGCCTTAGGGCTACAGTAAGAACATCAGAATTAATTCACACCGTGTATTATTAGGGTTGACTTACGTCTCTCCATGTAGGGCATTCCTGGAGGGGGTACACCATAGGGATTCATGACAGCATCATAGTAGATGCTTCGTTCAGGATGCCGAGGCAAGCCATGTTTGTTGAAAACATTTCGTTTCTGCTCGGCAACCGGTTCCTCTTTGTTGACCTCGTCCTTGTCTCTACGAGCTCGGTAAACAAGTTTACGTTGTTCAGGATGCTCTTGGACGTATTCTTCTTTCTTAGCCATGATTTTGTTTAGCTCTGCCTTGAGTTCTGCCAGGCGATATGTCTCTGCACCAGAGGGCTCTGCCACTCCCTCAAGCTTCTCAATTTCATCCTGGAGATCTAACAAAGTAGCACTGAGTCGAATGCTATAGTAGATGAAAGGGCGAACCAACCTCTTGTGTCCTTCTTGACTAGGGCGAAGTCGCGAGCTTTGGACCTCTCTGCCTTGTTCTACTGCAGTGAGAATAATTCCAAAATATGCGTTTAGTCTAGATATGATCGTCGAGGGTGTATGCTCGCCTTTTTAAGTTCCTTCTTTCGTTGAGCCTTTCCTAAGGGTCAGTGCCATTCATTACGGGCCTGTGTGTAATACATGAGGAGACTCACTAAACGCATCCGCTGGGTTCAGATTCTTTCCTTTTGCCATGACGGCGTCGGCTGGACTCTTGATGTGCTGTTGCGACTGCTTAGTAGTCGCTTGCAACGAAGAATAGTACGGTACCGACACGTGACTCGGACAGATAGTCTTCGGAGTCATAACGTCTGACCGATTTCGTTCATAAGTACCATCGTGGTGGTCTCTATCCCACTGGTAGGGAAGAACCCCACGAGGGATCCAGTTATTCCCCAGTTCTACTTAGTAAACCGACGTTTGTTTCCACCGTTTTGCTCAATGACGTCGCAGCTGAGAGCACAGGCCACAGCGCCGAAGCGACCGCCGAAGATGGCCTCAAATCAGTCCTTGAACCATCTCTTGAACTTCACACTTCCTCCTAGACAGATTCAGCCTCAGAATGTGCCCAGGAGGAGTAAGAAAGCTGTTCATTCAGCTGTGTGGAACAAGGAGAGTGAGTATCGTCTTCTATATTGTATTGTGTTACTTCTTACAATGTCACAGGGTTCGTGAATGCGCAGTACCGGTTTGTTATGAACCCAAGCGGGGATTATACGGTCCACTTTGCAGACCCAGACATGTGAGGTTTCCAAGATGTCCCTGGACCGATCACATTTAACTGTTGATCTCAGCTTTTTCCAATGGCACGATATATTGCAGGTCATCATTCCACAGTCCTCAGCCTTGGCATCTGCCGCTGTTGTCGGCAGGGAGCATGCTGTACAGGAGGAGGGGGTCAAGACCTGTCCCATCTGTTTGTCCCCTCCTACTGCTCCGCGAATGACAAAATGCGGGCATGTCAGTAAATGCCTTCTACTACATACCAACGACTGAAGATTATTTCCCAGGTATATTGTTTTCCTTGCATCTTACATTACCTGAGCATGTCGGACAAACTCAAATGGGCACGATGTCCGGTCTGCTTCGATACGATCAACGAGAAACAGCTAAAGAGCGTCAAGTGGTATGATGGACCTCAGTTCCATGAGGACGAGCCTGCTGTTGCCAGTGGCTCCTCGTATGTCACACAGCTTTCGGACCATGACACGACTCCTCGAGCTGGATCCACAATGCGCATGCGACTGATGCAACGTCCTCAGATGACAACCCTTGCATTACCACGCTCACATACTTGGCCATCAGACCTAATTCCACCTCATCAGGCTCCTTTTCACTTTCTTCCCGATGTATACGACTATGCCAAGTTCATGCTTGCTACTCCTGAATATCTGATCGCTGATCTTTCCAACGATTTGGACGCGCTCGCCGTAGAACGCCGGATGATGGCCAGCGTGCAAGATGAACTCAGTATTTCCTTTATTGATGCAGCTGATCAGAAGCTTCGCCATCAGATTGCTAAAGCAACTGCATTAGAATCGCCGCAGCTGAAGGAAGCCATTGACAGAACTCGCAAGGATCACGACGACATCGTACGACGCCACAACCTTGAATGTGCGCGAAAGCTTGCTGGGGAGATGAAAGGAGCTGCACTCCCCGAGGCACCAGAAGAATTTCTCGCGACAGGTTCGAGCTCTGGGATTTTCGTATCTTCGCGCACTCCCCTGTCGATCCCTGCCACTCCCAAGTCGACACCATCACCAGCACCCGTTCCAGCACCCCCTGCCGATACTTCTAACAATCGTAGTCACAGACAGCGCCGTAACATTAACCCTCCTCCCCCGTCTACGCAGACCTACTATTACTACCAGGCAGCGTCTGGCCTGCCCATCTATTTACATCCTCTCGACATCAAGATCCTTTTCTCGCACTTTAACGGCTATGCCTCATTCCCAGACACAATTACAATCCGTGTAGATTCTGCCACTGAGGGTACTGTCAACGACGACCTGCGCAAGAGGTGCAAGTACCTTGCACACACACCAGAGGGTGCAGATGTCGTTTTCATCGAGGCAGACTTGGAAGGAGTTGTGGGTCAAGAGGGCCTCAAGAATTTTGAAGGGGCGATCAAATTCCGTAAGTCAAGGAGGAAGGAGAAAGGTAGGAAGGACGACCGCGCACGTGCACGCGCGGAGGAACGCGAAAGAGAGAAGGTTGTTGCGCCGTGGACGGAGTCTGTATTTTCCGTACCTCTCGATCCCGTTCTTCATACCATGGAAGTGGAGGGGATAGCGAATCATGAGTCCCCCATCCCCCAGATTAGCGGTGCTTGGGGTTCGAGGAGCTTTGCATCTGCTGCCCATTCCGCATCGGGCGCAGATCTCAGACATCCGAATACAAACAATCGCAATGCGAGTCAGGAGATTGGGGATGAGTGGGAATTAGACGTAGCTTGGCACGAACTTGAGCAGCGAAGCACAGCTGGACAAGGGAACAAGAAGAAGAAGGGAAATAAACTTGTCGTCATGGGCGGCGGAGCAGGGGGGCGAAGGCGATAGATTTTTATACGGGAACGATTGAGTCACGATCTATTATCTCTTTGTAACAACAGCCTGCAGCGTCACTTATTTTAATTGTTGAAACCACCCAATGATTGTTTACAGCTATTCGGCATTTGCGATGCTTCGTTGAGAATTTGCAAGAATGCATAAGTATGATAAGATCCGTATTCAAATTGATGATCCTAACGCCATCAGTATGTTTAGACGTTGTATGCCACCTCAATGCCACCTCACATGGCGTCTAAGGACCGAGACATGGTTGTATATACTATGACGCCAGCCCCACTGTTGAACGAGGAGATTTTGAAGGTACGAGTCATGTCAATGATAGCTCTGAGCATTGCGTGGACAAGTCTGGCCAAAGCATTGACATATACTTGAAAAGTTCAAAGAGTCCTGGTGAAGGTGGTGTAAAATTGCGCCTCAAAGTCTTAGGTACATTTTCCAAACCGCTGGCAGAGAATCGGATGTCCCAGGACTATCAATGTTGAAAGCGTTAGAGCCACGCCATGGTGACTACATCAAAATCCGTCCCTCAAAGACGTACGTCAGGTCACGAGTCTGCTATAGGTTAGATCGAAGACGCATCGGTATAATCTTGGCTACTGGAATCTGATGAAGGAATGACATCAGAGTCCCTGCAGGGAAATCTGATGCTGTAACACCGAGAAGCTCGGCACAAAACCTGGAAGAAAGCTCAGTGATAGAGCATACGATAGTTGCATCAGTAAAAGTGACGGCCTGCGTCAAGACCCACATAGCTGTATTTGATTCAGAATAAATGGGTCTCCGAGTCACGGGTTGAACGGTACTGGAAATACTTGCACACGACCCTGTGCGCAGGAATAGTCAGTGCTAGGAATTTAGCAATATCTTATCTGCAAGAATGCGCGCCGACAATAAGAATCACGGTTGATATAAGATTGACCTCCTGACAGCGCTCGTATTGGTAACAAAACCGTTTGAAATGCGCCATACCGGCGTGCCCAGTAAACAAGTGATTCTAGGGTGCGCAGAGGCGGCGGTTAGACCGTTCTAATGAGGCGAGAAGTTCGGAATACAGGGCCAGGGCTGCTGTGACTGTACAACGCTATCGAGAAAAAGGTTAGCGCAAGCAGGTATGACAACATGACGCCGCTGAAGTGCGTCAAGATTTCCCCGCCGGGATAAGAAGGGAGGGTCCAAAGCTATGTCAACTGCAGCTTGAGTTCAACGGTCAACGTTTTGAATTGATCAAAACGTGACGTTCGCGAATATATTTAGCGCCACATGCGTGTCATGCCTACTACTCCGCGAAGTTAGGTAATTCCGAAAGGAACGTTTAAATTTGAACGTCGTTACCGAGTCGTGACTTTCGTCCCTGCATGATGTCACTAGTACTTCTCACAATAGACACAGATGCAGGCCATGACATTTGTTACTTGGCCCGTTTTTGGGGTTGTGTGTAGGGGGATGATACGTGTTTGGGAATGCAACATGTCAGATGCGTTTACTTCTTCGCAAGACGCCGAGCGAATTGTTCCGGTGACAGACAGCCGTTATCATGATGTGGAGCAGATCAAACGTCATGAGGGCAATTTCGAAGGCAACTGACTGTTGCTGCCAATTCTGCTCGTAATTTTCACTATATCAGTTCTGACGATGCCTTTGTTGCGAATGTCTAAATGAAAGCCTTGCTCACATTGACCCTATTTCTTTCTGGGGAAGAGTCGAACCTGAGTAACTTGCAATGATGGCAGATTCGTTAGGACCTCTGAATTCAGTGTGCGGACATTGAACACGCTAGCATTACACGAGGATCATCATGTAAGACTTAGACAAGACAGGTAAAAGGCGGTGTTTATGAACAACGTGTCCAAATGAGCTTACAGAGTTGCGTTGTCAGAGTGATGAAAATAAATAAAAATCCATCGAAGTCTGGGAAGTAGTAAAGAGGTCAGCTGTTATCAAGCATTACTACGTTACAAGAAAACAAACGAACATTACATGTTCACTTGATCCAATGGGGTGGTTTTGTGGGCCACGAAAAGTGAACTGAAGCCGACTGGTTGGCTCTGGTGGACAATATACTAACATCTGGTAACACAGAAGAACGTCGATGCATGGAGGATGTGATCCCGTAGGGGGAGCTCATGGACATGATCAAGTCGGCGATTGACGGCACTGGATGGACGGTCTTGGAAGTAGTAGGGCGTATTCAGAGTGAATGCTAAGCGCAACAAGTTTGGAATACGAACCGCCACTGATCTCCGTTGCGAGTAAGAAATAGGGTATGGTATCCTTTCAAGAACGACGAGGTCGCTCAGTGGTGGGTGAGTTGTAATATTGTTTTCGTGCTTCTTCCTCCATTGCAGCCAGCTTGCGTCTCGCTTTCTCTTCTGCAATTCTCCTGGACTCCAGTCCACAATCCGAGAGTGTAGTCATGCAAGGTTTTGGAGTATAATATCAATGGATCCTGTTCAAAGCTAGAGATTGAACTGGACATAAGCACTGATGCAGAATCAGGAAGAACCGGGAAGCGGGCGAGGGAGAAGCTTTCGGAAAAACAAAGATACGAATGAGATACCACAAGAGGGGAATACTTATACGGTGAATGCCATGAGTGTGATGCGAACCCATCCGGATCACCTGGGCCGTCCCACTCGCTCCACAACACACAGACCATGTCACCGCGGTATCACACCTGCCGTTGCAACCTCCGTTTATTATTACTCCGCGTCGTTGAACTCACGTGGCAACGCCAGGACATAATCAATCTAGCGACTGGCTGCCTCTAGCTGCCCCTCCAGGATAGACTGGACAGTAGGGCTTGAAGAAAGGAATATGTCTCGGACGATGAACTCTTCGGGTCTGTGATGCCTACAACTTTAATTAGAAGGGTCACTTCGAAAAATGATGATCTCACACTGTTTGTACCCCAGTTTACATCATATCGAACGATGGAGTACTTCACACATTTACCGAATATTGGCGCTCGTCTCATGTTTCCTGCGTTCTATGTCACTTGACTCATCTTGCAACAGAATACGGGTCACTCATCTTTTAGTATACCCGGGACCGTTCACATTTTGTGCACCTCCACGGATCACGAATATCAAACATCATATTTCGTTTGTAATGCAACAGAATTCTAGTGATATAAAGGAACTCACAAGATCAAATTGGTCGCTCAAACTTAAAATTCGGATATCCCTGAAACGACACAGCTCGGGTCAGCTCCCACATCAGTCACTACCTCTGCAGGCCCAATCGCAGCTGCGATTACTCTCTAGATTCCCTACCACTGGGTACTGAGCGGATATTACCAAGCGCCCTGGGGGTTCTATCAATTGTCCGGAAATTGAAGGTTGATTCGGGGTTCAACGTCAACGTGCAACAACAAACGTCATCGGCTCAAAAAATGCGAAATAATAATAGTGGAAAAACCCTAGAAACGCTTTTAGAAACCCGCACACTTTCAGTGGTGCGGGCGGTTTGAGCGAAAACTTGGAGGACCGCTGTACTCCTATCCCAAATTTGGAGAATGAGGTTCAAGAAAGTCGTCTTTGATGTTTGATATATGGTAGTGGAATAAGTACGATCTATAAAGTAACATGAGTCCACCAATGTTACACCAAAAGGTTCGGGGATGGCGGAAATGTGAAACGAGTGTTAGCCAAAAGAAAGCACGAACAACGCGTCACGCGTGTGTACGCGTGGATGTACTCCGTTTAGGCAGGATGACGTCACTGGCATGAACATCAAGGGTAACATGTATATCATGATATTTCCGCAAGTCAATTGCCTCCGTTTTGGCCACCCCCGCTGTATCGTTCGGAAGCCAGATGATCGGTGGCGGGGCAAGCAACTCGGGCGCATACATGATAGCCGACATCTCTTCGGCATGGTCCCCAAAGGATAACGGAGGAAGGTGAGGAGGAGCATCAGGATGCGTTCTGGCTGCCCGTTCTGTAGCGATTAGATCATCCAGAGTTTCCGTTCCTATAAGACTATATTAGTACATTGATGATGTTTCAGACAAACGTTCGTACGAAGTGGCAGCGGACCACGATGACTTGAAGCTGATGGCATAACCGCTAACGTGAGAGACATCATTTCGAGGACAGAAGCCATCGAGCCCCTCGTGCGGTTCCCTCTAGCGGTGAGCATGCTACGGTTCTCGTCATCGGTATCAGTGCGGTTGTCGGATTCCAACGCCCTGCGAAATACTCTGAGAGACTCTTGGGTGTTCTCAGGTAACGCTTGGAGGCTTGCAAGCCTCGTTTTGTACATGGTGTACACTTCCACTATCCCCGCCACAACGAGAGCTATGCCCAAAAGTATTCCTCCTTCTATCCAGAGCCGCCGACTGAGCAAAATTAAACCGAGGAGTAGAGGCTGTAGCGCGAGGAGCGTGCCTAATCGCTTCAGCAACCAGATCTGGAGAAGCCCCCCAGTCTCCGAAAGAGTTCGGGCGTAAACATGTCCAACAAGGTATCTATTAGCTGGAGGGCGGTCATTTCGCTCTGCGGAATGATAAGGCACAAATGACGCACCAACAAGAGTCAAAAATAGAAGAATCACAATAGCCGGCCCGATCAAAGGGAAAATGAGAGAGAAGGCCGATGCAAAAACCATGGATAGTACACAAGCACTTGCAACATAAGAAGCATCGTAAGTTGTCGGATATACAGCTGGTCGATGAGATAAGTTGATCGCAATCGAAATTGAGTCAGGCACCATACCTCGGAAACGCTGTCTTGGGGTGACGGCGTCTTGTTCCGAATGAAGAACAGACCACAATCGGACGGGTTGTAACAACATTAACCCAGGGAATAGGACAGCAACATTGATAACGAGAACAAAAGCGAAAGCGCTCATATAGACACAACCGGTTGCGACCGTTTTGGCAATGTTAACCTCAAGCATGAATGCCTCCAACGCGAAAAGTAGGGCACCGGCGGTGATAGTAAATGCGGCGACCATAACTGTTATGGTGTAAAACACAAGTTTGACCGCAAGCATTCGGACTCCGGACACGGATACGACACCACTCCATCCAGCTGCCCCTATATCATACCCTGATGAGCATTAAACAGGATGAACATGTGTGAATATGCTGACATTTTACGATCGTGAGCGCAATCACAGTGAAAAGCGTAGCACCAATTGCGGGAGCAAGGGAAGTTGCTAATCCGGAGACAAGGTTCCCATGGTGTGAAAGGGGCCGAAAGAAAGGTAAATAATGCTCCACAGTAGAAGCGGCGCCGAGAGCAAGTCCCGCAACAGCTGTGACTATACAGAGTTCAATACCGATATCCCCCCAGAAAACATGACTTACGGCCAGCGGCAAGGAGTATATTGACCACCACCATAACCAACCAAAAGGCTGTAGAATCCAACAGCGTCGTTTCGTTCTGCAGCGTGCCCCAACGCACGTCTTCCTTTGCCCTACCCTCTATGGGTTCCACAGCATGCATGTGGCGTAAACCACGCCCGATGATAATCCAACCCTTGACTGGCGCGCCATCAGCGATATCTGCATAGGAATCTTGCTGAGCCTCGGCAATCCGCATGTTGATGAGCTTCAGCCGGGAACGCCATTGGTTTATTTCGGTATAGACAGCACCGAGGTTATCATAGTTGAGGTCAGAAGCAGGTCGAACAAACGGCTGTCGCGGCTGTAGGCGTAAATGAGGTGGCGGAACATCTTCAACGGGAATGTTGTCTTTCGGTCGAATCCTTAGTGGAAAGGTCTCCCGGCGGTCGGATGACGTGTCGAAAGGTCTCTGACGTTGGCTTCGAGGCGCAAGCCCTTTCTGTGGTCTGGGTGCTGGGCCAGCGCGAGGTTCCTCGCCCAACGGATTGCCAAAATCAATCCCGTGCGTGAGGACGACCCAGTCGTCATCAAGAGAACCCCGAGTGTCTAATGACGAATCCACAGTCAGATATTCAGTGCCTGTCCCAGTTCCACCGCCACCACTTTCAGATGACCCTCCGCCATGGTTTGGCCTGTAGTACTTTGGGTCAGGAACTGATGTCGACGGCTCTCCGAGTTCCTCCGTCTTTACATGGCTCCCTGATGGCATGGCATTGTAGGATGCCGAACATCTGTCCTCTTCCTGGAAGCGACTGCCCACAATTCGTTGTTTGAATGAATCCGTCAGACTAATCGGCGTGCTGATGCCGTCGGCAAGTCTCCCGCCATCAACACTTTTCAGGCCACGTAATTTGTAGTACTGTGATGGGGCCACGAACGAGGTAGGAGTGAATGATGAATTAGCCTGCGCCGGGTTGTGTCTCCGATGGCGCGGACGGTGTCTCTGGAAGCAACCGTTAGCCCAAGAGATATGAAACAGTACACCGAGATTATTACCGATCCAACTAGAGCACGAGGCCTGCCTATGTGAGGTCTGGATGGCGTTTCCTCACATCCACTAGGAATTTGGAGATCAGCAATGGAAGGGTCGGGTGTTGAAATCCTGAAAGATGATATGTATCTTGTTTCTGCAACTTCGAGGTTGTCCAGAATTTCGTCTCGTTCTTCAATGAGCAGTGCCAAATTATGGGTATCGCTGGAAAATGTTGCTCCATCAGTGCACATGAATATTTGTCTTACACACCTTCTTACCATACAGTGAACAGACTTTGGACGTCAACCTCCAATACTGAATTCTGAGGGTTCTGACAGTAAGACTGAGTTCGGCGTGAGAGCTGCGGGGGTCGGTTGTTGGACCGAGAAGAGCCTCCCAATGAAGAACTAAGTCCAATTTTGCCAAGATAATCCTTGACACACTTCTCTCCCCATCCTGCAAAACCGGGGGCTTTTCTGGAGCTCAGCCAACCCATTTCCTTCCCTTCGCATCGCACTTCTAACCAGCGCCGGCGGAATGCAACAAGATTGTTGATTTCTTTCAGTATTTTATATAACGCCGGCAGCGTAGCCGCAAATACCGCCAAAATGGCAAGAATGACGATGCGCAGTCGAGCTTTCGAAGCCTGGTTATCGCTGTTAAATACATCTAGTACTGAGTAGGTGGTGTTTGCAGAGGCTGAGCTGGCTTCAAGTAGCTGCAGGAGACGTAATAAGCTGAGATCTTGAATTGTGGAGTAAACTCCGGTAAAATTAGAGTCGCCTGTCGAGTGCGCAAGGCATGGCGTAGACACGAGGTATATCGGCAAGGCGCCGCCAAGGCCCACCAAACTCCAGCCAAGCACGATGATGAGACATGTCCACAGGGTTCGTTGGCTCAATTCCTCATCGGATGGAAATAGGCGAGCGTCCACTAGAGCTGACCTTCCAGCGTCAGGGACGTCTGAAGGTGTAGATGGAACAAGCGGTACAGAGGGAAAGAGAAACGCGCCGAGATTCGAGCTCAACCGATGCGGTCGCAGCCTGCAGGCAAGTTAGCATATGTAACTATTGCATAGATACCAGCGTCCTACTCTTGTTGCACGAACCACTCTCTAAGCGCATATATTTGTCGGTAACGTGGACGTAGTACAGCAAACAGCAGCTGCCAGACCAATTGAGTCTATAGGCACAGGAGAGGATTATCAAGTGATGACTCACCCAAATGGCGAGGCCGACACTCGTTGGAAGCACCATGGTCGCGATTACTCCGTCCGAAGCTGCATCTAGGCCATCTCCGATGCACACAGGCTGAATCTGCGCAGCACTTCGATACGAAAAGACATGGGATGAAGAGTCAGATCCCGAGACAACAGCAGTTGAATATGATACAGATGTTGTGGTTGATTGGGTTACTATGGGGTATGAAGGGATATACATCGCGGGGTATAGGCTTGAAGACAACATTGAACCACCAGGGTTTGGTGTTACAGATAGCAAATTTGACATGAGTGATAGTTCATCAGAAGGAGTAAGTGAATGAGTAGTTCCAGAGGCAGTTTCGGACCACCCTTGGCTTTGACCATCCACTTGAAGTCGTCTAGGTCGTAGCGCCAAACCGGCGTCTGCGTGAATAGTCATAAGAGCCCTCGGCTGGGCGGGTATACAACAAGTAAGTAACGAGTAACTCAGAGTAAGCACGGTGGAGATTGACAATTTCGTTTGACCGGGTCGTAAGAAGGATCAAAAATTCTGAATGAACCAACAATTATATGCCCATATTCGGTTCGGTAACCGAGATGTTTCATGCTCACACCAACCTTGTTTGTTCCTCTTGAGAACCATGCTACAAGGACTTGAAAATATAATGTTATCCACGAGTAGGACGCCTCGGGTGATGATTATTGTTGCGTCCTGTGGAATCCGACTTCGACACCTGCCCGTACCTTACGGTTTACCGCGATGCGATACTGAGACTACTTTACTGCAACTGTGTTCCTTCAGACATGATACTGTAGTTTCCAAGACGACACATTGATCAAAGTACAGCCGCACCCGATAAGTTATGAGTAAGAACACAGACCAGTCTCAGCGAGAACAAAAACATCGCATGGTCCCGACTCCCGAAACCGGACGTCTCATTTTCAAGTGTACGTCGGCCTTTTGGCGCACCCTTGATTGCGAAATACACAGATCATGAGAATATGAATACATACAGCTGCTTTTCATTATTAAAATGTACATGTTTCTTGGACAGACACAAGAACTCACTCATGAACACGAACGGGTGCTCAGCACGATGCATAAGACTTGTCATAGCGCATCTCGATGAACAAATACCCCCTGTCCGTCCTCAAGAATCACAAATACTTTGTGACCTCTGACCCATGGAGCAGGTTCTTTTTCAACTGAACTTGCCGATTCGTATTTCGAATGGCTCCGTTTCTTCTTTTGCCTGTATTTGAGTGACCAGGACTTAAAACGGCATGTTCCTTGTAATGGCGATTCTGCACCCTACTCTGTGATCCACCCATGATACAAAGGAAGTGACTAGCTGTTGGACGGTAGAGCGTGAGCATTGAATGCCTCATATCCGAACTTGAATCTTACAGTTGCTTCGGAGGTGCGTGAAAGCAGGAAGAATTTACTGGTGGGATCAAGCAAAGACGATGTATATAGATGCCATCACTACGATCAGGGCTTTAAGATCTGAACAGGTTCTCCCTCGCAATTGCGGCGCTGGTGATGTGCGGCGGTGCTCGGGAAATTTGGCTAACATTGGGCCAGTATGTCAATCAATGTGGCATGAGAGCATGAGAGATCCATCAGATGGTGGACAGGTCACAGCTCCAAAGTAAATTTATCTCAAAAACTGTAGGTGCCGGTGAGGCTTGAACTTGTCGGCGAGCGCAAAATCACATTTAGGGTAAGTATTTCCGAGCAGCGAATCCTGTTCAGTGGTATCAGTAATCATACACTAGCTACAAAGCTCCTTACTGATACAGAACGCGAGTCTGAATCTGCAGGCATGCTTCGACTTTGCAAAGCTTATAATCGCCTGAGCGGCCAGGACAGGGAAGTTGGATGTTTGAACGTTTGACAATGAAATCCTTTCTGGCATGAATTGTCTTTCTGATCACCTGACAATCATCCACGTGGCGGTATTGAAAGCTGCCGCTACTGCGTACTGGTCTTTCGCGTGAAATCAAGCAGAGATATTCAAATGGCAAGTATTGCTCTGAAGCATGTAAGTTTTCAAAGACCAGTCTTTTGTGCTGCTGATACTGACAGGTCGGCGGCCCAGGCAACCGCGCCAACAACATTGCAGCAAGCACAAACGGCTGCGTTGCTCGCGCTGCTCAACCTGAATGCTCCCTCTGATCCGAGTCCCGTTCAACGACCAGGAACACCGTCAGGAAAAGCTTCGACTGGACTCAAAGTTCCGGCAATCGCTGGACCTCCCGTATGGAAGGTATTGGTGCTAGACCAGCAAACGAAAGACGTGTTGGCAACTGTTCTTCGAGTACAAGACCTTCGTGACGTGGGCGTCACGCTCCATGTGTAGGTACCAATCATTTATTGTGATATTACTCGTATCTAAGTTCTGCATAGACAATTACACTCTTTACGCCCTCCACTGTCAGACGTTCCGGCCGTTTACTTCGTCGCCCCTACGCTCGACAATGTGAGACGGATAGCTGAAGATCTCGACAAATGCTTGTATGAGTCCTTCCACCTCAACTTTGTAGGACCCCTCCCCCGTGCCTTGCTAGAAGAGCTGGCGGCCTCTGTCGCAAGTGCCGGAACAGGTGACTTGGTTGAACAGGTGGATGTCTTGCGCATGGCATTCTGTTTTCAGTGTGCTGATACACATTTCCAGGTTCTCGATCAATATTTGTCATTCATTGCACCCTCTCCCTCACTATTCTCATTGTTGTCACCGCTCCCTCCTACCACGCCATCTAGTCAAGCAGGGCCTTCCCAGGCACAACCTGTGACATCTTACACACTCCTAAACTCCCCATCATCCACCGAACAACAGATAGAAGAAGAGATTGAACGCATATCCAATGGTCTCTTTAGTGCTGTTGTCACGATGGGTGAGTGCGCTATATTGATGTATCGTGAATGGGTGACGTGAATATCGCACGGGTAAGGCCATGTTCCGATCATCCGCGCGCCCAAAGGCAATGCTGCGGAGATGATAGCAAAAAAACTCGACATCAAAATACGAGATGCGATTCTTTCGGCCTCCCGAACTCATGGGGCTACATCATCATTATTCGCGCAAGATGCATCTGGCTTGTCGAATTTGCAACGACCACGTGCGTTTGTTCTATTTTTCGTGTTAAACTACTGAAACCGTTCCAGTGCTGTTGATTCTTGACAGAAATGTTGATCTCGTTTCGATGATCTCGCATGGATGGACATATCAAGCCCTGGTATCCGATTGTCTAGAGATCAAGCTGAATCGCGTAGTTGTCACTCAACCACAGAAACGCTCATACGATCTCGATTCGAAGGACTTCTTCTGGGCAAAGAATGCACCAAATCCATTCCCTCAAGTTGCTGAAGAGATCGACACGGAACTGAACAAATACAAGCAAGATGCTGCCGAGATCACACGATCTACGGGTGTCAGTGATGTTAATGACATTTCGCAAATGTATGTGCTCTTAAAGCTTCACTATCATGTTTATTGACATAATTTGTAGTGATGTATCTTCCAATGCTGCACACTTGAAGACTGCGATCACACAGCTACCTGAGCTGACTGCGCGGAAGGCCGTTCTCGACACTCATATGAACATAGCCACCGCATTGCTGGAGCAGATCAAGAAGCGTGCGCTTGACGAACTTTTCAGCACTGAAGAGGCCATCAACAAACAGGTGCAGCCCTCATCCAGCTATCTCGGTAATCTTGCGTATTAATTGATATCTAGACCGTTGCTTCAGTTCTAGAGATGCTCCGCTCTCCTCGTCCAAGCGGCATCTTGACACCGGAGGATAAACTGCGCCTAGTTCTTGTCTTCTACCTGTCTTCACCGGACAATGCGATCTCAAAGGACGATATTGTCGAGTTGGAAAAGGAGTTAAAGAGTGCAGGAGCTAATACTGAATCATTCGAATATGTCAGACGTACGAGAGAAATCTCGCGGATGACAGTAGCTACTGCTGTTGGAGGAACTTCGACGCCCGTACTCGGTGCAGGCCAAGGAGAACTCTTCAGAGGCTTCACAGCATTCGGAAATAGAGTCAGTATCATCCTTCGCTCTCCAGACCGATTGTAACACTATTATCTAGCTCACTGATCGACTCAAAGAAGGGGGTCTGGACAATCTTATCTCAGGTGTCAAAAACTTCCTACCATCGAACAAATTGCTCCCTGTCACTCGAATTACTGAGGCGATCATGGACTCGTCGGCAGCTTCGAACCAGTCGCTGCAAGAAACAGATGATTTCATTTTCCTTGACCCCCGAGCCTCTCGACACACCGGCCTCGGTCTTTCAGGAGGTCCAGGCGGTCCAGGAGGTGGTGCATCTGGAACAGGTAGAGCGAAACGGATGGCATTTGCAGAGGGCATGGTATTTATTGTTGGAGGGGCAGGTTATGTTGAGTATGGAAACCTGGAGGAATGGGCTGTGAAGACCGGAAAACGGGTCACCTATGGTGGTACAGAGATTATTGACCCAAGTGCATTCGTCAGTATTCTTCAGGATCTTGGGAGAACCACTGCATGATACAAGATCGTACCCCCTAGCTAATAATACATTGGACTTTGAAATAGATTATGAACGTGATGATGCCAGAAATGTTCATGAATGCTGAGTGGTGAAACTATCAATCGGAGACCGATTACCCGCCAGGCTCCAGCTGATCACTTTCGGTTGTTTTGGCGCATAGCCAGGATCTGAACAAGGCGGATACTGGGGGGAAACCCTTAGCCAGATGCCACGATGCAAAATTTGAAATCACTTACAAGATGTTGATCATGTCGAGTTCAAGGGCAACAGATTCTTTTACGGGATCCCTGGGAATGACACCCGTCTCCGCCATACGTGCATGCTGCAAAATCTTTTGGGTGCTGGAGGGAATAAGTTAATGACCGTATATGAAATGAATTGGAACCATACTCATAGAGTACGAGCCCACCAAAGACGGCAAGACCTCCATAAAGGGAGAGAGTTTCTGCAACAGCAAGGCCACGCATACCCAATGGGAGAGCAAGTGGAGCAAGTGAACTCAAAGCGACAACTGTGACACCAGCCAGCAGTGGTCCACCCATGTACAGATATTTGTCATTTCTAGATGCTGGTTAATTTCAGTTACTCGCAACAAGTACGAAACACACTTGGCTGTGGCGCCCACGAAAGAAAGAGAGCCAACCACGCCGCACGTGTAGAGGGCTGCGCGAGATAGAATGGCAGGGCTCAGGAAGAAGAGTGGGCTTAGGGTTGCGGCTTGACACGCATTAAATGCCTGTATCACAATCAGCTCGGATGCTAGAAGCTGGTGTGATCAAATATACCAGCCAAAAAACGTGCTTCTGGAAGGTCTGCTCTGGTGGCGTGTAGAAGACACCCATCATGGATCCGATGCTACCCGCAAGACTGACACCGAGTACCACCCCTGCAAATAGAGCTTCAGAACTCTTCCATGCTACTCTCATCTTCAAGCTCACAAGGGTTCGCGGACATGATTCTGAAGGCGGCACCGGACCTAAACAAACTCCGAGCGGCGACTGCAGTCAACGTCAGGCCAGCCCCTGTGTACATGAAACTTTCATGCAAGTAGGATTGTTCAGCTGGGCTCAATCTATCGCGCGTGTCTCTGTTCAAGAAGCCTTCAGCTAGGATGACAGTGCCCGCAACAACAGCCTAATGAGCCGAAGTGTGTCAATGAAAGGAACATCATGATCTCAGGCTATATTACCGCTGTGATTCCAAAACGCTTCCAAGCATCTTGGGATGAAGAGGCTGTCACAGTGTGCGCATCCGTTGTGACAGAACGCGAGAAGCGGTAGAACAGAGTGGGTGACAAGACGGTCGGGCGGTTTTGCAACACACTCCGTATATTCGCATTGTTTGACTGTGCGCGCGTCGAGAAGGGCTGTGCACGGGGTCGTATAATTGCATCTGCCACATTACGGCGCAGAGAAGAGCGTAGAGACGACGACAGACCAAGATACAACATTATAGCGAAAAGAGACGAGGTAAACACTAAAGAAATGATGCAAACACTGTGGTAGATAACGGAACGCTTGCCGGCGGCATGCGACCTACGTCACCGCGATGGCACCAATCAAGAGCAGAGCAAACTGATTAGCAACATTGGTACATAGCGCAATAATAATAATGTAATGCAGTCCAGGTAAGAAAGATGATGATCAAGAACTCTGAAGCGCCGGCACCTTGCCGGGATCAACAATAGCGACCATCTGACGTTCCAGAGCCAACGCAATCAAGCTGGTATTCCCCCAACTCTGCCAGTCAATCTCGAATATGCCAGACTTCTCGCCCGTATACCACGACCATTTCTTCTCCTTCGACTGAATAGCTCAGTTTTAGCAGATGAAATTTGGGAGAGACAGACGACTCGCCTTGACTTCGTATACCATCAACGAACCATCACCTCCGCCAGTGACGAGGTGGCGCCCGTCGGGGCTGAAGGTAACGGCGTAGACATGTTTGGTGTGATCCGCAAAGACCTTGGTACATTCTCCAGTGACAGTATCCCACAGTCGGGCAGTGGCATCAAACGAGGCTCTGGTACATATGTTATGAAGCGAATATTCACCAAGGCCACAGCCTAAACGTACGTTGCAACCAGTTCATGCTCACCAGGTCCAGTGACAGGGCACCACTCTATGGAGGTGAGACATTGTTGGTGGCCACTGAATATTACAGGCGCTGGTAGAGCTTTCTCGGAATGTATGTTTTCGATGTTCCATATACGTGCAGTGCTGTCGTCCGCACATGATGCTAGCCGTGTTTGAGAAGGATTGCACTTAATGGAGTTGATCTCTCCTGCGTGGCCCCTTGAAGAATATCAAGCCTTTCAACGCGCTTTGTCCGCAAGAAAACGTACTCAAGAGTATGCAATGGCCCGGTAGCTGTCAAAGATACGATTTGAATGATTTTGTCTGCGCCGCAACTTGCGAAAGTTGAATCGTCCAGCCACTCCACATCCAAGCAACAAGCATCTTCCCCTCAAGTTCAACAGCGCATCAATTGTTGTAGTTCAATGACATACCTCCGTGATTACGATACTGTCGATGTATTCTCTTTTGCTTGACATCCCAGACACATGAGGTGGAGTCTAGACTAGCTGTGGCGATCCATTGGCCAGAAGGTGAAAATTTTGCAGCGAATATGGGACCCTACCGAACATGGATAAGAAGAAGGAAGGATTTACATTCTATCATACCTTATGGTGACTATCCCTGAAGTATGTGTCCCCATTCGCTGTGCAAATTCTGAGGATGGAATCATAGGAGGCGATAGCTACGAGTGAGCCATCATGATTCCAGTTCAATGCTGTCAAATCAGCCTGTGACTCAAAACTGAAGTCTGTTAGAGTTAGAGTGGGTTGTATGGGGGCTGTGGGATCATTGTTTGGTCCATTGGGCACTGCCCAATAATTCACAACAGCATCACGCGACCTGGGTAGTAAGAAGTAAATTGCACAAACAGAAGATTGATACCAGAGGAAGCACACCCGGAGACTAGCTGGCCTTTTGTAGAAGGATTCCATGCGACAACGAAAACCTAGGAGAAGGTCAAGAATAGGGTGTCGAGAGTGATGTATTGATACCTACTTCGGTCTTGTGAGCCTGTAAGAACCGGACGGCACCAGGACGTGCTCCGATAACACCAGGCTTGGGTTTAAGCTTCTTAGTGGAAGGTTCTGGTAAGGCTTGCGGTGCGTCTGACTTAGTATCCTTCTTTGGCTTTGGGGCGGGTGCACCTGTGATAATTGAGGACAGAGCCGAACAAACACTAGAATGAACGCACCGTCGACGTTCATTTGCGCGTCTTTCTCGTCCTGCTCCTTTCTCGCTCTCTTCTCAGCGCGGGCATCTTCAGAAGGGGTCGTTGCCTTCCTTTTACCAGCAGTATCACCATTCACCTTGGCAGCACTGGATTCTCGGAAAATATTTGTGGAAGAAAGTGGCTGGAGTGAACATGCGTGAGGGTCTAGGAGTGAAAACGGAGCTGAACAATTTGTAGACAATTCGTCTCCCTTCCAATGGGCCTCGACCTCGGAGTAAAGGAGCGCTTTGCTGAGAAGTTCGATGAGTTCGCCGCGTGGGATATGCTTCTTGATGTGAGGAGACTGGTCGAGACGACCCTCCATTCGTATGGCGAAAGCAGAGTGCTGGAAGCCTGGGCCAACGAGTCAGATGACATAGATAGCAAGAAGAAACATTGGAACCGCACCAGAATCCAAAAAATAAGCATGTATGAGGCAATTGACCTGATCCGCTGTGATGAGAAGGGGCGCCGGCATGGCTGCTGCTTTCAATGTATATATGTGTGCGTTCAATCAGTTTAGCAAGGTCAAGCAATTATGTAGCGGAGTTGCAAATCGTCACTTGTCACTTTCGTAGCTACTAGTACATGAACTTTGCTTGAACAAGTTGAAGCTTGTTTTTATGTGCTCATGGTAAACCGAATTTCTCCTCATAAACTTTCTGGTGACTAGCCCTCGTAAATGACATACAGTAGCCCGCCGGATCTGACATTGCGTTGCGACGAATACACGCAGGGAGGTAGACACTTACTATGACCCATCATTGTCACGGTCTTCGCAAAGAGTACATGTGTTTTGAAAACCTCTCCGTGGAAGCGGATGCTTAAGCTTAAGGCATATTTGTCCCGTTGCAGTGCATCCATTCCGACGGGTAATCAGAGCTGTCTCGGTCCGCAGAGATTCACGTGGCGTGAGTCCATATGCCAGAGATAACCACACTAATCTTTCTCACTGACACTCAAGGTTCACAGACAGTTCGATCTTGCGCATCATGTCTGAGTACGATCGAATCGATTTCGAGATGCTCGAAGAAAATGATGATGATTATGATGGCCCCGACGCATACGTCGACGAGGAAGATGATAATGTCTTGGATTTAGAGGACCTACAAGACTCGATACAGGCCCGGGAGCGCACCGGAGTCGCACAGGAATCACCCATGTTGCGCCAAATCTTCCTATGTGAGTTCACTCGCTACAGGGCTTGTTTCGCTCATGCGCCGCTAACCTGTAGCGTTATTTAACTCACAAAATGTACATCGGACTGACTCGGACACTGGTGGTGGCGGTAATGGAAGTGAACCCCGACAGCTCAGGACCATGAGTATCCGGGACTTGCAGCGTTTGCTGAATTCACGTTCTGTGGAGTCCCCTACTGATTACGAAGAAGATGACGATGACGACGACGAAATTGAAAACGTAGGAGAATGGCACCAGACGTGGTTCCCTCCGCACAAGGAACCCCAGCAGCTAGGGGTCGAACTCCTCATGGGAGGAGAATTTGGTTCTGTGAGTTCGAAGATAAGGAGCAGGAGAAACAAGAGGAATATTTCGCGAATGATCCTCGACCAGTCCTCTAGACCCCGAGGAGCAATTTCTAGGGAGAATATGACTAGTGTACGTTACTTTCCTGTATCTCATGCAACCACCTGAACCAATTACAGGATCTCATTCCGAACACGAATGGAACTGCTGTTGCGTCCTATGCCGCCAATGTTTATTGTGGGCAATTCTCGAAAGGTCGACAACTACTTGTTCCCTTCTTGGTTCATTACTTGATGACATTCGACAGATTATTCGTTTTACTACACCTGCTGTCAAGGTTTGTGGTATGCTGCTCTTGCGAGACAGCAATTCATTCTCTTCTTGAGATTTTCGCCTTCACATCTATGACATGACTTCGCCTCCTTCACCATACATGAAGCGACCAAGGAACCTACGGCGCAGCGCTACAGGTGTTTGGGATGACAGCGACCGCGACCATGATACAACCCTCAAGATATTGAAGACTATACAGGGGTGTACTGGTCGTTGGACGATTACAGATTCTCACTTGAGTCCTGACAACGAAAGGCAAGTAATTGTATCTTTCTTTCAAATCATGCTTACGTTGCCATAGAATGATTTATTCATCGATTGTAGGTGTAATGGCTCTGTAATTTCCATTAATGTTAACAGAAATTAGTCACCCACGGTGTACATGACAAGCACACTTGACTCATCAGTCACTCAGACTCCCATCAGGTTTCAGGATCCTAATCAACGTCAGCGGTCTCGCACACACTGGGGCTGGGATGAAGACTCGTTTGGTATCTGGAGCTGCAGGTTCTCTGCAGATGGAAATGAGGTCGTGGCTGGTGGCAGCGGTCAAATATTTGGTAGAGACCTTATTTTATTTTTGAGCTTTTGATTTCTCATAGCCGCACCACCTCAGTCTATGATCTCTTGGCTGACCGTAGGACAGTCAAGATTATTGCACACGAAGATGACGTGAACAGCTGCTGTTGGGCTGACACTGCATCAGGGAATGTGTTAATCAGTGCCTCTGATGACACATTTTTGAAAGTTTGGTGAGTTCTGCGCAGGTTCGTCGACCTTTCTTATACTAATATGAGCAAAAGGGACCGGCGTTCATTAGGTGCATCACAGAAACCGTCAGGAGTCTTGGTGGGACATACAGAAGGTATCACGAACGTCTCGGCCAAAGGCGATGGTCGTTATATCATCTCGAACGGAAAGGATCAGGCACTACGGTTGTGGGATTTGCGGAAGATGTGCAGCAGCGAGGACTTTGATAATGGTGCTAACCGTGACTATAAGTTACGTGGATTTGATTACCGGTGCGTTGACTCAAGTCTCAACTTGAGTAAGAATGATGCTCAACTGTCTTGCTAAGCTATGGTCATTATCCGAAACCAAAACATGCTGCACACCCACGTGACTGTAGCGTTATGACCTACAGAGGCCACGCTGTCTTACGCACACTTATCCGGTGTCACTTTAGTCCGGCTGAGACGACAGGTGGACAATACATTTACTCCGGTTCGGCAGATGGGAAAATACACGTTAGGGTCCCGTTACAACCGACTTCCTTATATCTAACGCATATTACTTATAGATATGGTCACTCGATGGACGCATAGTCCAGGTTCTCGATCGCTCGAAGACGTCGGCTATGACATTTGATCCCTCCGCGGAGGAACACATACTCCCCAATAGCACCCGCAACACAGTTTGTGTACGAGATGTCAGCTGGAACGGCAATGTCAGCTCATCTTTCCCCCTTTGGTCAATTTCGCTGATAAGGATTGTTACAGGAACCAGTGATAATGAGCGCTGGTTGGGACGGGGGTCAGTCATTGTCGAAGAGCGTTGTTGCGCGTCATGAATGGAAAGGTCTCTCTAAGATGTCGTACGGTCTGGAGGATTGGATGGAGAAGCAGAATACAGAGCGCGACGAACGGGCTACACGCACCAGACGAACACTGCGAGTCCCAGGTGCGTTTGATGCTGGAGAGAATGACTAGAGGGTGTCGAAGACAGGTGCGACGCCTGTGATGTTTATGCCTTCACTTGGATATTTACATGTTGTACAATCAGTCATTGTATCGCGTTTACGGTAGTCAGTTTCTCCTGCATACAATGAACTACATGCACGTTGCAATCACGAAGATGCCCATTTATTCCATTGCAGCTCCAGTGATAGACTCGATACTTTATCTGGCTGAAAAGGACAAGTAGGCGGAAGACATTAGACGCTAGACTCACAGAGATGCCCTTCGACGCACATCCTATTGAAATGTTGAACTCTGGAAGATGTGCCAGTCCAGGTTGTGCCGAGGCTGGCCGCCGCCGATTGGACTACCGATTCGGAGGGGTTCTCGTGACGTTACACTTGTCGAAACATATGTTGCCTGCGTCCTAGTCATGATGCGAGCCTGAAATTTACAGAATTGTGCGAAATGACCGAGAGTATAATCGACGAGCCTGAGAATCTGGTATGATTCGCAGAAATGCCTTCTAATCACAGAATACCAGGAATCTCATCTCGATGGACTCCCGGGACAGCGTTCCTTCTTCAGCGTTCGGGTCTTGGAAGGCAGTGTGAGAGAAGAGTCTCGCGACACTACCATCTTGCACTGAATCAAAGCTGAGACCATTAGCATGATGAAACGCGCCAGAACTAATCCACCAAACCATTTCGAAAGAGCAAATTCTTCAGGGTTCATTTCTCTTATGTATTTCCACTGATGGTATGGGTTGTACACGACTCTTTGGGCCGGGAGTTGCCCTTGCGGTCAGAGTATATGTGAACGAAAGGCACTGAGTCGATCTTTTCATCGACATAGCGCAAGCGAGCAGTTTACAGCTGTATGTGATATAGGACGCCAGAGGTTGATGATCATAGTTGGAAGCGTCCGAGTCTGCGAAGGAGGGAAGAGACTTCTGTCGGTGGGAGATGCAGATGAACACGAGCAATGGTTGTTTGGTCCACACGGACCGGTGGAACTGGTTGGCATATCTGCAGGCTAGTATCAGTTAATGCAGATGCAGTGACAGGAAAACTTACTAGAAAGATGCCCCTGGCAGGAGACAGGATTTATCCAAGACATAATTGGCCACGCAGTCACTGCTCAGGCTGAGAATGCAGCTGCGGAGTAGCGTGGAACGGAAGATCATGGACCATGCATATCATGATGGACGTCGACAAGTGGTACGCAGAGTCATTACAGTTCCAGTGAAACCAGGGGCTTTCCCTTTCTGGCACGCCCCCGGGCCGCGCACCCTTGACTCACTCTACCATGTCTGCCAACGCTCAGCTCTATGGATTCCCTCCAGGATACTTCGTGATTCGTAACCTTGCGAATGGTAGGCTGTGGGACGTCGGTGGAGATGATGTAGAAGATGGCGTCGAGATTCTACTCTGGCCAGAGAAAGAGAAGTCTTTAGTCGAAAGTGAGTTTGCCTTTCGTACGTGCACAATCGAACTCTAACAAGACTCGGACATCAGCCTTGAGAAATCCGGATGCTAATAATCAGGTACGTATGTCAATCCTGTGCGGGTACTAGCATTGACCAACGAATCAAACAGGTATTCTTCATCGATACGTCGGGCGCTCTTTGCTCGAGATCATCAGGACATGCAATCGATATCGAAGGTGCGACGTCAGCGTCGTTCATCTGCTGCAGAATCTTACTGTAGATCTAGCGGACCGTTTGGTAATTCGGCATCGCCGACCCATCTCCCAGCCATATCCAAATGAATACTCGCATCCTCTACCGCGTTTCTCCTACTCTCGAGAAACGCAGCATATCACTGCATCTTTCCAGTGTGATCCTACATACCCTCCGCCAGCCGCGCAAACTTCCACCGCGTGGATGCGAAAGACATACGTCCTGTCAGCAATTCCAATTCCTAAACCAAAGTCACTGTTGGACAACGCATCGGCTTTCCTAAGTTCCGCTGTCACAACCCCAATATCGTTTTTCTCCGGTGGCACAGCACAGCGGAAAGCAACTCCTGAAGATGTTTTCAGTGGGGATATAGACCTCACCGAAGACGAAACTCTAGAACAGGATCGAGGCGTAGAAGGCGAAGCGGATGACTCTTCTGAGCTCCTCAGAAGACTTAGAGTTTTGACGATCGGTCAGCGGGATGCTCCTGCAGAGGGCGAGAATGCTAGAAACCGCCGTCAATGGCAGATTTTGCCCTTGCGTACGTCAGCCGCTCATCGGAGACCGTTGACGTGACTGGAATCGATATTCGTATGGTGCTTGTCTTCCATTTGGTTTGTGCGTACACTCTTTGTAGTTTACTTGGGAAACTGTGTTGTGCTGGGTATGGATCGTTTGATACTGGTAGCCTTAGTTTTACATGTGGCTGGCAGAAGTTGCAGCGAATCACGTGCGGTTTGACCTTCGTCTGTAGTGCCGAGTGCATCCTTCACGGGACCCGCATCCTCTAATTTTGCGCATAAATTCTAACTTCATTCTGAACGTCGACCTCGCCTCATGCAAGCCTCATGCACATGCTTCTTTGAGCAGCTGATCATATAGGTCACTTTGCTTGATCTTCTTTGTGAAGAATATGGCGCCTGGATCTTTCCTGAAGTCCCTTATCGGAACACATGCCATTTGACTTCGTCTGTCGGACTTTGTCCCATTTTCCAGATAAGAATTCACTGGTCTCACAGGTCTCAAGTCATCATAGATCGTCTTCCAAAGGAACCAATGTTACCAGAATGGCTTTGAAAAGACTCCTTCAGTTTGCAATCAGCGCAGTTTCTCTCAAGACCGTATTCGCGCACCAGGTCCCTTTGGGCGACGCTGTTGAACAGCCTGAAACGTGGCTGTCAAAATATGGTCCCCAGATTGACCAACCATTCTCTGGACCATTGGCATTTTCTCACATGACTTATTCCCGCTGTCTGGAAGATGAATCCGCGCAGTTTGATATAGCAGTTCTCGGTATGCCTTTTGATACGGGTACATCCTATCGCCCTGGTGCTCGCTTCGGACCCTATGCGATTCGTTCAGGCAGCAGAAGACAGAGGGAGGCTCGCGGATATAGCTTGGCTTGGGGCAATAACCCGTACGAGCAAGGATCAAAAATAATTGACTGTGGTGATGTGCGCCTTTTTCAGTGACAGGTAATTGGCATGAGCAACTGACGAGGGCAAAGGTTCCTATCATTCCATTCGACAATGTTCTTGCCATGGACCAAATGGAAGTCGCGTATTCCACTTTATTAAATCGTCCTATTGCCTCCAGCCAGTCTGTTTGGGCGAAGGGTGCTCAACTTGCGAAGGACGGACGTGAGCGCCCAAGGATCGTCAGGTCTGTCCAATTAAAACATCTCTAAGCAAGCACCTGATATCATTCGAAGCCTTGGAGGCGATCACACAATCGTGCTTCCAATTCTTCGTGCTCTTAACAAGGTATATGGACCAGTTTCGGTTATTCACTTCGATGCACACCTTGACACCTGGAATGGATATCCGGGAACGGTGACTGAGCAGTCGCGCATTACCCACGGAACCTTCTTTTATGTAGCCAACGAGGAAGGCTTGGTTTCAAACTCGAGTATCCATGCTGGTATCCGATGCAAATTAGTGGTAAACAAGGCTTTGATTTTTATTGTTATCTCCATTGAACACCTCTGGATTCAGGGGCTGGGAGACATTGAAAATGATGAATCGGTTGGATTCCACTTCATTACGAGCGATGACATCGACGATCACGGGGTTCCCGCGATCATCAAGCGCATTCGGGAGCGTGTTGGTGACACACCTGTCTACTTGAGGTATGTCCGCTTTGCATACGGCTTAGAATGTTGCTGAAGGGACAACAGTCTTGATATTGATGTCATTGGTATGTGATGTCCGTGCTCGATTTACTCATTATATAACATATCAAATAGATCCTGGTCTTGCACCTGCTAGTACGTCCTACCACCGACATGGCTGAAACAAAGCTTAAATCTTTGAAACTTAGCGGGAACTCCAGAGGCGGGAGGCTGGACGAGTAGAGAGGTCAAACGAATCATCCGTGGCCTGGCTGGATTAAACTTCGTGTGGGTAGCCCGGCTATCATTCCTCCATAAGTCTCATTCCTTGTTTGCAACACAGTGGCGCCGACATAGTGGAAGTCGCTCCTGTCTACGATAATGGCATGTTTGACAGCAGCCGGTTGTTTGTGACTGGGACTGAGACATTATTTTACAGCCGAAATCACAGGCACAGCGGCGGCCGACCTTGTCCACGATTTTCTATCGATGTTCATGTCTCAATCGCCTCCCACACCTCACGCACTTCCGGGTTCTTGGCCTCGAGACGAACTTTGACGGCCCTTCTAACTTTCCAAGCTATCTTTGTCTGTTCCCTACATCACCACGTGCTAATCAGGCGCTGAGCAGATAACACAGAAATACTTTCGGAGCATGTAACAGTACGTAACATAGAATATAAAATGATCTCGGCCCCAGAGATCTATCCTGATTTCGGATTGCCCTTATAAGTTGGTGTTGAAGTCGAAGAAAAATCGCAGGTACTATTGACAATGAGATACCTTCCTCTCGCGCTACTTCCCGTTGTTTATGCGCAGCAACATGCCTTCGAAACCAAGCAGCAGGAGCCATGGACAGCAAAGTATGGCACACAGACAGACCTCAGTTACACAGGACCTCTGAGCTACTCCCACCTACCCTACATACGTTGCCTGGATGATTCGTCGACAACCTTTGACATCGCTGTTCTCGGGATGCCATTCGACACAGCAACTTCTTACAGACCAGGGGCACGTTTTGGACCATTTGCAATTAGATCTGGCTCCAGACGTCAATCCGCTGCGGACAGCTACGCGTTGGAATGGATGATGAACCCGTACAACCGCGCAGAAGTGATTGACTGTGGAGACGTAAGGTCACAACTGTCTAAACGTATAACGTATTGACAGAGCGCTTTAACAGGTCCCTGTCAGCCCCTATGACAACGCGTTAGCTGTTGATCAAATGGAAACTGCGTATACCACGCTTTTGGCACGACCCGTGAATGGAAGCGCCAGTGCGCGCACTGCAAAACTTGCGCGTGATGGAGTGGAGCACCCTCGTATACTGACATTAGGTGAGCCCTGGACCACGATCTCGTTGGCGAATATGTAATTGATCACATACTGGTAGGCGGAGACCATACCATCGTGAGATAGCATGATGCCTTTACATCCCCCAGATTTCACATGTCAAATGTTCTCTAGGTGCTTCCGATTCTTCGATCTCTTCATCAGGTTTATGGACCTATATCTGTCATTCATTTCGATGCACACATCGACACCTGGCCGAGCTTGGGAGGCATTACCAAGCAGTCCAAGGTCACGCACGGGACCTTTTTCACATTGGCATTTGAGGAGGGACTTATGTCCAATACCAGTATTCATGCTGGGATCCGGAACAAACTACAGGTCAGGGCGTTCCTCGTGCCTCAAGCTAGCTCGAGCTGACGCACTTTGAATGGACAGGGCCCTGAGTTGATCGAACACGATGAAGAAGTTGGCTTTGAGCTCATCATGGCTGATGATATCGACGACCTTGGAACAGATGAGATCGTCAAGCATATCCGACAACGCATCGGCGACTCCCCTGTTTACCTGAGGTGTGTCCCGAGCAAAGCGTCGCTGATCATAATATTGATGTTCATTGCTTCCTGCCTCAGCTTTGACATCGACACCATCGGTCTGCAGATGTTCCAATTGATCGCTAACCATTGTGTACTTATTGCTATTTGACAGACCCTGGTCAGGCACCTGCAAGTGAGCGCAGTATCACTAGAGCAGCTTTAAAGTTATTGACGCCTATGTAGCTGGTACACCCGAGCCTGCTGGATGGACTGGTCGAGAAACCAAGCGAATCCTTCGAGGTCTTGCTGGATTGAACTTTGTGTAAGATTCTTTTCATCATTCATGGGCCAGCACAAGCAGTTGACGACTCATTTGTAGTGGGGCTGACATCGTCGAGGTTGCTCCAGCATACGATAATGGTAAGATCCATCTCCTGGATTTAGGAATGAGGGAACTCACAGTTCAATCCAGCCGGCGATATCACTGGTATCCTTGCTGCCGGCCTTGCAAATGACTTCCTTGCCTTGTTTGTCACCGATGAGCCGCCTAAACGGCAAGTAAAGCGAAGGTAAACACCCGCCGATGAGCTTTAGAACCCAGAAGATGGCTTGCTGTTAGTACACACATGCTAGGTTATTGTTTCAAGGCAAGCTACTATTTCGCAATATAACACAGGGTATCGAGATAGATAAAGTCTTACAGCCAAATCTGATACGGTCCATAGATAAAAAATATGCAGTAGATATATCAACTCCATGAAATCATCATGAAGATACTACACATCGTATTCAATTCTTCCACTGCGCAGGCGTTCGCGATGGACCATCCTCATACATCGGTGGGTTGTCGTTGTACATCTGTGATGGAGGGGACATCACCACAGGGCTCGGCGGTCCCCTCGGGCCCCTTACAGCACTCGTGTTCGAAGGTGCCGCATACGCACCGGTAGTGTTGATTGGCGGCGGAGAACTCGACATATTAGTCGAACTATGGTAATTGGAAGTATAGTATGGGTCCGACGGCTGTGGAACACTAGTAGTGCTGGCAGCATAGCTCCGCTCGCGCTGAGGAGGCTGGGGGTTGTGTGCAGTAGCATATGAAGCCGCAGCTATCACACCCGAAGCATTGTATGAATCTGGGTTGAAGGATGGCTGAGTTTGCTGTGGTTCCCAAGGGTTATAAGGGGCATGTTGCTGCGGAGGGGTGCGCGCTGTAATCATGTGAGAAATAAACAAGTGCTGCTAAGCTATTACTCACAAGAGCCACCTTCCACGTGGCCATATGCCTGCGGGGAGTATGGGTCACTATAGTAAGCGCCGGAAGCATTTTGCGCTGGGAAGGTGATTGCAGCCTCAGGGACAGCATACGTATTAAGAGGCGACATCGAGTGAGTCGTAGATGTTGGCGGATAAGTACTGGAGGACGTAGTCTGAGTGAGGGTGCTACTCTTCCGGCGTGGCGGCGCCGCATATGGAGAAGTGTTGTTATATTCATCAATAGCGCGTGTGCCGCGAGGAGCCTGCACATAACCTCCCCCAGCGTAGCCGTTTGCTGATGGACGACGACCATAGGACCCCATGCCAGCTCTTCCGGCGGTGGAGACGCTCTGGTTGTCTCGGAATGGCACGCCATCCTCCTCGTCCAAAAATACACCATCATCAGAGATTCTTGCTTTCAGTGGCTGGGATGGATCGTATTCCTGGAATGGCGGTAAACCAATTTCGCCTTGCTGTTGTCTTGCTTTTCGATCTACTTCCGCTTTGACGGCGTCAAGACGCATTTGATCTGCGTATGCATTCCCACCCATAGGGTCACCCTTTGGACGCCTTCTCATGCAACACCTTCCAACGCCATAGAAACATCCGCTGAGGAACAGTAGGATCCAGGCGACAAGCGTGATCCATACAGCGTTGCCAATGGAAGCAGAGCCACCTGAAACACTGTTCATCCTGGACTTGGCGATAAAAAAGATAGCGAGGTCAAAAACGAAAGCAGTAAGGGCGACAGTAGCGGCAAATCCTGATATACAGCTGCTGAAACAAGTCATGGCCATTTCACGGACGTGAGCGAGTAGACCAAAGATGGCGGCTACCCCTGCGAGGCCAAAGGCCACGATATGCAGGACAAGGGCATACGTGAGCCACTTTACAACTATAGTAGGAATTTGGAGAGTCGTATTATCGCCTACCAAGGCATTGATGTCTACATATGCCAAGGAAGGCGGATGTCAGTATGAAACCTACAAGGTTTGGAAGTTGACTTACTGAGCTCATACCCCACTGTTGCACTAGAACACGAAACGTTCCCCGAGATATCCGAACAATACCCCAAGGTTCCAAACGTGATGTAACCATTGGTGCCTTCGGCGGCAAGGCTTGCCTTGAGGAAGTATACAGATTTTATGAGAGGTACAGAGAAGGATACGACAGCCAACAAGATGGTGGCTATGAGGGTTATCAGGAAGCCAGGAGTAGCTGGCCTAATGTAACCCATAAGGAAACAAGAAGGGCGTTAGAAAAATATTAATGGTTCGTGAGGCGCTAATCTTTCGAAGGAGAGCGCAGAATGTGGGTAGACAGGAAGAGCGGTAGACGGATACATAAAGGGGAAACTTCCGTTTCGTGGTGGCTGTGTACCCCTAAACAGCTGTGTTCGGGGCTGTGCTGTAAAAACATAATGTAGAGCAGAGCCTCAATATTCCCAGTACATTGTACAGTGCATTTTCCTATAGCTGGGTGTTCACTGCATAGAGAAATCCTTAGTTATACTTGCTTGAAAACGTCTCTCGCGCGACCTTCAGAGCCTCTTCAACCTCGGCGACGTTAACCCCAACACCTTGAGCACCATCCTCCTTCCCTCCAGCCTTTCCGCCGAGGATATCGCTCACTTTGGATGCCCATGTCCGAGCATCGAGGCCTCTTGACCGTGCGGATTCGGAAACGTAGTTTGCATGTGCGACCTTACCGCCCTCTGCGTCGACACTGAAAACGTAGACCGTCTTGCCAAGCTTCTTGCCTTGCATAACGACGTTTTGCAAGATCTGGACATCATGTTGAGTACAGCCAGCTTTCGTGGATGATTGTTACAACATGCCTTTGCATTACCATCAACCTCAAGAATGGCAAAGTAGACCTCTGAGTCAGGCTTCTCCTCGAAGAAGGTGACCAGAGCGTTCAAAGCCTGTCAATGTATCGGTCGACATACAAGAACAACAGGTAAAAGGGCATACCGCCTTGTTTATCGCATTCTCCTTTTCTTTGATTTGCTTATCAAGCGCCTTGCGAACAGTCGCCAGACGGTCTTTAAGCTCTGCTTTCAGAAGAACTGATATATCTGCCTGTCCAAGTTCCTGCAGAAATATCAGTCGACAGACAGTGCAAGAAAGACAGCTTATAACTCACCACACTGAGAGCCTTGAGCCCGGTATCCTTTTCCTTGCCTTCTGTCAACTCGAGCTGCTCAAGACGGACCTTAAGAGAATTGGCAACACGGGACGCCTCATGCGCCTCTTGGCCAGTCACAGCAACTATCCTCCGGATTCCCTTCGCAATCCCAGACTCCTCCGTGATAACGAAGTCTTTGATATCGCCCGTTTTCACAACATGAGTGCCACCACAAAATTCAACACTCGTGCTCCGCCACTTTGGGTTGTTGATGTCTTCCGCGACCTCGTCTACATCGTACCCGAGCACAACAACACGCACAGGATCCGGGTATGCCTCGCCGAAGACCGCCCGCAGGCCGGATATCTTATGCGCAGTCGTGAGATCCAGGTCCTTGCCATATACCCTTACATTCTTCTTTATCCAGTCAATGCTCATCGACTCGATCTTCATGAGCTCTGGGAGGGAGATCTGTGCTTTATGCGAAAAGTCGAAACGGAGCTTTGTCGGTGCCACGAGCGAGCCCCTCTGGTCAATGTGGTCGCCGAGCACCTCACGGAGACAGAAATTGAGTATGTGCGTTGCGGTGTGGTTGCTGCGCAGCGGCCAGCGGCGGAGCTCATCGTAGGAGGAAATGACTTCATCACCGACAGAAAGTTGGCCGTATTTGAGAGAACCGGTGTGGAGAACGTAGCCGTTGTATGCCTGGACGTTTGTCACCTCAAAATCGGTCGCGCCGTCGATGACGATGTTGCCAGTGTCATACTCCTGGCCACCAGCCTCTGCGTAGAAGCTTGTGCGGTCGAGGAGCACGCCAAAGTTTGCATCCGCTGGTATACCAGATGATGACGAGATGAATTCCTTGTGGTAGTAAATGCCCTTCACTGTAGCAGTGATATTGCCAAGTTCTGCAAAGGTGGTTGAGTGAGGGCAAATCGTGGATAGGAAGTCACGCACGGAATTTGGACGAGTCATCTGTTTTGGGTATCGCGTCGTTCTTCTCCAATGCAGCGAGATCATGGACATCAAGTTTCACAAGATCCGCCTTATCCTTTTTGAATGACCCCTTGCTCGCGAGCTTTGAATGTTCTTGGGCATCCTCAAACTCCTTCTCATTGATTCCGAGGCCAAGCTCCTCCGCCATGAGCCGTGTAAGGTCGACGGGGAACCCGTACGTGTCATACAGTCGCCATATGTCTGCGCCGTTAAGCTCCTTAGCACCCAGATCTTTCGTACGTGTCGCGTATTGGTCAAAGAGCTTCTCGCCCCGATCAAGGGTACGTGAGAAGGACTCTTCCTCCTCGTCAAGGATCTCTTTGATGTCGCCTTGCTTCTTCGTAAGTTCGGGGAAGACATCACCCTGGTGTGCAAGGTATAAATTAGGTCGAGTGGATGCGATAGATGTGCTTCACTGACCATAGTCTCCACGACCACAGGCATCAAAGAAGAGAAAAATGAACCGATGGGTGCACCAAGCTTCTTCCTGACATAGCGTGAACCACGACGAAGGATCCGACGAAGGACATAACCACGGCCAACGTTGTTGGGCACACCACCATCACTCAGCGCAAACGAAAGCGTCCGTACGTGATCAGCAACGACACGGTATGCAGTATCAATACCATCCACATCATCGTTGCCAAATTTCCCGCTATACGGTCTTGCTCCAGTTAATTCCTGTATGCGGGTGAAGATCGGGGAGAACACATCAGTGTCATAGTTCGAAAGCTTGTTTTGGAGGACTGAGACAAGTCGTTCGAAACCCATGCCGGTATCAACATGCTTGCTTGGGAGTGGCTTTAGTGAGCCGTCATCGTCACGGTTGAACTGTATGAAGACGTTGTTCCATATCTCAAGGACGTTTGGGTCGTCACCATCCACGAGGTGTGCAGCATTACGTCCACCAATGCGGTCGAAGTGTATTTCACTAAGGAAGATCAACGGAGGAAAATAAGAAGTGGGAGATACGCACCTACAAGGCCCACAGGGTCCGGTTGCGCCCATTTCTGTTGTACACGCGAATGAGTCACAACGTTCATTGATGATAAAACATGACTTACCCCAGAAATTTCCTTTTGACGCGATAACGTGATCTGGTGAGATACCCTGGCTTAGCCAGTGTTGTTTTGCTTCCTCGTCGGTGGGTATTCCATTTTGTGGGTCTCCAGCATAGTAAGTAACATATAATCGGTCTTTGGGCAGCCCGTATACGTTGGTTAATAGGTCCCATGAAAATTCGATGGCTTCTTTCTGTAAGATAAATGTCGGCTAGGCCGAGCCGTCGGAAAACAAGCACCAAACCTTGAAGTAGTCACCAAATGACCAGTTTCCAAGCATCTCGAAGAATGTGTGGTGGTAGGAGTCTTTGCCAACGTCCTCCAGGTCTATACTTGCAATGTTAAAGTGAGCGCCGTATTTTCCATGGACCTACGCGTACCATTATGCTTGCCACCTGCGCGGATGCACTTTTGGCTGTTGAAAGCACGCTTCAGCTTGCCTCGCTCGGAATTGGGATCGACAGTACCCAGGAATATGGATTTATACTGATAGGATGTGAGTTCTGATGCATAAGCCTACGGAGTTGGATGCACCTGGTTCATGCCAGCATTTGCGAACAGGAGAGTAGGATCATCGTAGGGTACGGTTGAAGAAGATGGAACAAAAGTGTGGTTTTTGGAGCGGAAGTAGTTGAAGAATTCTTCGCGCACTTTGCGTGCAGTCCATGGGCCATCATAAGAGGAAGACATTCTTAGAGACAAACGGAGAGTAATATGATGAGATGGACGTCTTGATCGAAGGAGAGATGAGTGCAGAAACGCAAGTCTCATCTAGATTTAGGTTCCCGCAATTAGAATCATGATTCATATCGACTCGAAACTCATCACGTGATAGAAATCAGTCGCGTATTTACTTTTGTACATAAATCTTGCATTTTCCTCACAAACTAGGCTAAATTTTGGAGGGAAACTTTGCGACGATAAGGATCACGATACGAATCAGCTCGGCGGTGTTGGCAGTTGCTGACCAGTGGAACTGACTAGGCTGACCGGTTGCGCTGACCAGCCAGTCACTGGTGCAGTGCGGACTGACGCTCGGGAGATAACAGCTTGCACCGAGTGTTAGACACTGAGATCTACTGGAGACCAGATAAATCCTGCCTAGTGGAATGGACAGGCTACATAGATTTGCTCTGTGAACGGGAAATGCGGATATGATTAACCAGTTACACGAGTGCCCATAGTCCTACTAGTCATCGCTGTCAATATCATGGTTTGTGGTCACACAGCATGGTGACGTGACCTGCCCTGAAGTCGATCGATAAGCCAAAGACCAAAAACTTTACTTTTGAGATCAAACGAGCCTCAGACTACGGCCTCGGTGTGCATTCGACTCACCATCCAACTCGTTTAAAAGGATCCCCTTTCTTTCTTTTTTTCTCATTGCATCCTTGTAAAATCTAGACACGATGGTGTACGTATTCGCTTAGATCTATGTTTCCGATGTACTAATCATCGTTTATGATCATAGCAACTTCACAGTAGGTGAGCACATAGATCGTGCAAGAAAACTCGATCTCTTTCTTAACGATTCTTTGAATCATAGACCAGATTCGTGGGCTCATGGACAAGCCCACGAACATCCGTAACATGTCCGTTATTGCCCACGGTGAGCGAGATCCTGCTGATGATCACATATCAATCTAATCTAAATTACTTACGCAGTCGATCACGGAAAGTCCACCCTCACCGACTCCCTCGTTTCAAAAGCCGGTATCATTGCTGCAGCAAAAGCTGGTGACATGCGGTTTACGGACACACGAGATGATGAAAAGGAGCGTGGTATCACAATTAAATCGACAGCCATCTCCATGTACTTCGAAATGGGCAAGGAAGATGTCGACACCATTAAGCAGAAGACTGAAGGCAAGCCTTCGATTTAAATTTTGCAAAATCTTGCTAATGAAATACTACTTCAGGCAACGAGTTCTTGATCAACTTGATCGATTCACCAGGTCACGTCGACTTCTCATCAGAAGTCACAGCTGCTCTCCGTGTCACTGACGGTGCTCTCGTCGTCGTCGACTGTATCGAAGGTGTCTGCGTGCAGACAGAGACGGTGCTTCGTCAAGCACTTACGGAGCGTATTAAACCCGTCGTCATCATCAACAAGGTCGACCGTGCTCTGCTTGAGCTCCAAGTTTCAAAAGAGGATTTGTACCAGTCGTTCCAGCGTACCATCGAGACGGTCAACGTCATCGTTTCGACTTACCATGACGCTGCCCTTGGTGACGTCCAGGTCTACCCAGACAAGGGTACCGTTGCTTTCGGTTCAGGTCTCCATGGATGGGCTTTCACCCTCCGCCAGTTCGCTGGTCGCTACGCTAAAAAGTTTGGTGTGCCTAAAGACAAGCTTTTGGCTAAGCTTTGGGGTGACAACTACTTCAACCCTGCCACTCGCAAGTGGGGTACAAAGAACTCCGATGCCGATGGCAAACCCCTTGAACGGTCTTTCAACATGTTCGTCCTTGAGCCCATCTTCAAGATTTTCGACGCCGTCATGAACTTCAAGAAGGACCAAATCGGTCCCATTTGCGAGAAGCTCGATGTCAAGCTGACGTCTGACGAGTCAGATCTTGAGGGCAAGGCTCTCCTCAAGGTCGTCATGCGCAAGTTCTTGCCCGCTGGTGACTCCCTCCTGGAGATGATAATTATCAACCTTCCTTCCCCCGCCACTGCTCAACGTTACCGTGTTGAGACTCTCTACGAAGGTCCCATGGATGACGAGTCTGCCATTGGTATCAGGGACTGCGACCCCAAGGCCCCCCTTGTGCTCTACGTCTCGAAGATGGTGCCCACTTCAGATAAGGGACGCTTCTACGCCTTCGGTCGTGTGTTCTCCGGTACCGTTCGTTCTGGCCCCAAGATCCGTATCCAAGGCCCCAACTACGTGCCTGGAAAGAAGGAAGACTTGTTCGTCAAGTCAGTTCAGCGCACGGTGCTCATGATGGGTCGTTACATCGAGCCCATTGAAGATTGTCCTGCTGGTAACATCGTTGGTCTCGTCGGTATTGACCAGTTCTTGCTCAAGAGCGGAACTCTCACCACCTCTGAGACTGCACACAACATGAGGGTCATGAAGTTCTCCGTGTCCCCTGTCGTGCAGGTCGCTGTTGAGGTCAAGAACGCTGCAGATTTGCCCAAGCTTGTCGAAGGTCTCAAGCGTCTGTCGAAGTCTGACCCCTGTGTCCAGGCTTGGATTGCTGAGACCGGTGAGCACATTGTTGCTGGTGCTGGTGAACTGCATTTGGAAATTTGCTTGAAGGTAAATGCCTATCTACTCTCTGGATTTCGTTAGTCTGACTCTTATTGTAGGATCTCCAAGAAGACCACGCTGGTGTTCCTCTCAAGATATCTGACCCTGTTGTTGGCTACCGTGAGACTGTCAAGGCTGAGTCCTCAATCGTGGCTTTGTCCAAGTCGCAGAATAAGCACAACCGTCTCTACGTCAAGGCAATGCCTCTCGATGAGGAGCTCACCAAAGCTATCGAGGCTGGTACCGTTAACTCCCGTGACGATTACAAAGCCCGTGCTCGTATCCTCGCTGATGACTTCTCTTGGGATGTCACCGACGCAAGGAAGATCTGGTGTTTCGGCCCCGATACCACTGGCCCCAACTTGCTCGTCGATGTTACCAAGGGTGTGCAGTACCTCAACGAAATCAAGGACTCTTGCGTGGCTGCCTTCCAGTGGGCGACAAAGGAGGGTGTCTGCGCCGAGGAGAACATGCGTGGTATCCGCTTCAACGTTCTTGATGTCACTGTATGTATACTTCATACCTACTTGTATTGCATCTTCTTATGCAGCGATGACAGCTGCACGCTGATGCTATCCATCGTGGCGGTGGACAAGTCATTCCCACGTGCCGTCGTGTCTGCTACGCTGCATGTTTACTTGCTACCCCTGGTCTCCAGGAGCCGGTGTACCTCGGTAAGTCCCGCTCGCATCGCATTTTCGCGGGTACTGACATCATTCACAGTCGAGATCCAATGTCCTGAGAACGCCATCGGTGGTATCTACAGCGTGTTGAACAGGCGTCGTGGTCAGGTCTTCAGCGAAGAGCAGAGGCCAGGAACGCCCATGTTCACCGTCAAGGCGTACCTCCCTGTCATGGAGTCCTTCGGCTTCAACAGTGATCTCCGCTCACAAACAGCCGGTCAAGCCTTCCCTCAGAGTGTATTCGACCACTGGGAGCTCATGAATGGATGTGCGTAATTGCAAGTGCGACATGTAAAGACTGATGCTAATGAAATCTATCAGCTCCTCTCGACAAGGGCAGCAAGATTGAAGAGCTCGTGAGGGGCATTCGTGTGCGCAAGGGTCTCAAGGTAATGGGTGACTGCACGCTATCATGTAATATGACTGACCCTCGATATTTAGCCCGAAATTCCAGCTCTCGACCACTACTACGACAAGCTGTAAAGTTATTGTACGAAAGTGCTCACGACCAAACTTCTGGAATCCGTTCCTTGTAGCCATTCATATTTCACTAAATTCAATTGTTGTACTCTTGTATGCTTGATGATTTGGACGGCCCATACCTAATAGTTACATGGCAATCGCTGAGAACGTTGGTGAGGTGACGCTGCATGACATCCCTCAGATCCGCATCTTCATCTTCTACCGGTAGCGAGCGTCTTGAGTTCCAGGACCCTATTCCAGGACCCTATAAGGGTACTGGTCTGGGTGTAAAATAGTGTCACACCGATCATCCCGGACCTTTTATCTTTTGTTTGTTGTTATTTGTCATATCAGTGGCGTAAGATAGTTATGGATCTCCTGTTCTTACGCTTCTTTTGCAGATTCGTTTATTCGTGTCATGGCTGCCAGTTCCTCTTCACCTTGTCCTCCTGCTGACTTTTTGGCACCTCCTGTCGCTCTTGTTGTGTCGGATCAAGAAGTTCCAGATGATGGAATCTCCGTTGTGTCAATGTGCGTTGTACGCAAGTATTTTGGGTACTTTGGGATCACTTGAGCTCGTCTGCCCTCTGTTAGACAGTTCCCTGCTGGCGACCTCCTACCAGTGACCACTCCAAGTCTTGCTCATCTCATTGATAATTATTCGACTTTCATGTGCGATCAATACATTGAGATTGTGCGTGTTCATTCAATTTGGGTCTTGTCTGCCGATTGCAAGGATTGTGTTTGTGATTTGTTGCATGTACATACTTGTGATTGTTCATGTGGATCTAATCTCATTATGTTTAAGCATCTGAAAGTTGCCAGGTGCGATATATCTCATCTAGTCCTGCCTGTTCCTTTTGAAATTGATCACCGTGCTCAACGAACCCTTGCTCGGCGCCATTTACGTGCTAAGCGAGCAGATGATCAATGAGCGTCTTCACCATCTGTGGTTGCTCAATTAGAGGATCCAGAATTCCCTACCATTCGAACATATGGTGAGAAGTTAGACATTATTCTGGAGTGGCAGCATAAAATGAGTCCTGATGTCCAGTGCAGAGGAGCGTGTGTGGTATGCGCCCATAATGTGTGTGTCTCTGAACTTATCAGTGTCTCTCCTCACAAGGTTCCTTTCCAGCTATTGCGAAATGATTGCCTGCCTGAGCACACATTGCCTCAAACTTACGATTTTGAGTTGTATGCCAGGGCGATTTTGTATCCAAAGGGTCTGAGAGATTGTTGGTCACTCTCTGATTTGTTGATGTGTTGTTCTTGCCATTCTGCTCTTGTCTGTAAACACCTGCGCCAACCTGTCAATTCGCTCGCCAATTTCCAGTACTAAGGCCATGAAAGATTACCTTTGGAGATTCGAGATGCATTAAAGTTGGCTTCTGTATATGATTTGATGCTTATTGTGCGCGCTCGTGCCTCACAGATTACTCATTATTATGCATATAAACCGTCTAGTCAGTATAATTGGCATGGAGAAGAGGGTTCCCAACGGTATAATCGTGGCAATGTCGCTATCAGGCTGCAGGAGTCAACTGAGCTTCGTCATTTGTTGCCTCCTAGTCATCATGAATTGCGTGATGTCATGTGTGTAATCTTCAGTGGTCATGTGCAATGACCTTTGCATGATACAGTCAAGCAGATGCGGCCCGTGTTGGTGATGAAATCCATTGTCAAGACCCTGATTGACTTTTTGCTTGCTAATAACCCTTGGTATCAACAGTGTGGAGTCGAGTATAGTCAGTCAAATATGGATGAATTGTTCGACGAACATGATGGTGATATGGACGTGAGTGTTCCCAAAGCACTCGAGATATGTCATTTGCCAAAGGATGACTATGTGGGTGAGGATGGGATTAGTGAGCCTCATGATGTATCTGCACCTGATGATGCAGACGATGGTGATATTGTCCTCAAAGCTGTCGGATTTACTAAGGGGGATCACTCTGCAGTTAGTAGGGAGAAAATGAAGTTGCATGCTCTTGCATATGTACTTGATCATAATCGTTTTTTATTGTCTCAAGCAGGTTTGCGCTTTCTGTCTGACAATGACCCAGGTTTGATGTCTTTTCTGTTCCCACACCTAGACCCTTGGGATATTGGCAGCTTCAATCATTGTGGACGCACAGTGCAACAGCATATATCTATGGAAGCTCAATTGAAAAATCTACTTTTGCAGGATGATTCGCCATTCATGCAAGATCCGAATTTTGCATTTATATGTTGGAACATGATGCAGAAAAGAGAGGTTAGCACGAATACTTCCTTCCGCATTGGTGCAAGTTTGCAGAAGAATCTAGCGGCTGACTTGAGGGACATTGGTCCTTCACTCACCAGTTTGGCTGAAAAATGGACTCACTCGACCAATGCAAAACCGTCGACCAAAGAGGAGAAAAAGGCAGCTAAGATTCTTCGCCGTCTGCATGCTTCCACGAGATCTTTGAAAGGTAGCACAGGCTATAAGTTGTGCTGGCGCAATGAGATTCGCTCTCTAATGAAGAAGTTTAGTACACCAGTGTTATTTGCTACTGTCAATCTGCATGATCTTACCAGCAGTTTGATTCCTGTTATCTCAGGCATTGAAATTGAGGAGTGGTCGACAATGAGGTCTTTTGCGAGGGCTAAGGTCATCGCAAGTCGCCCAGATGCTACTGCTATTGCATTTGATCTGCAAATGCAATCTTTTATCGACATTATCCTAAGATATAAACATGGCCCTGGCATTTTGGGGCATTGTAAGGCATATTATGGTATGGTGGAGGCACAGAGCAGAGGCACTCTGCATTGTCATTTTCTTATCTGGATAGCAGGTAACCCTAGTCCGTCGGATTTGCGTGAGCGGATGTCGACGGAGAATGGTTTTACGGACAAAATGTTCGCATGGCTGGAAAGCATTATCAGTTGTGAATTACCTGGAGATATAGGTCCGCTCACTGAAAATTCTCAAGACCAAGCAAAAAAGCCTGTTCACCATCCAGATGAGATGGACTCTTGTTTGGAAGTGCCTCCCCAGGCAGCTGAAATGGATGAGGACTCGTTTAATTATGAATTTTCAGATTTTCTTTACCACCTAGCTATTGAGTGCAACTGGCATGTTCATAACAATACATGTTTTAAGCATGTCAAGAATGGCGAGAAGAAAGATGACACAACATGTCGAATGCGTCTCAATGGGTCTACTCAAGCATTGTCAACAATTGATCCTGAGACAGGCTCCATTGAACTAAGGTGTTGGAGGGGAAGGGTGAATAATTTTATGGACTTGATCTTATTTCTGATGCAGTGCAATACCGATACACAGTATATAGGATCAGGCAAAGCAGCGAAGGCGACTATATTTTATACAACAGAATACATCACAAAGAGTGACCTCCCATTGCATGTTGGTCTGCAAGCATTAGACTATGCAACTAAAATGTATGAGTTGAACTCACCAAAGGATGTAGATGTCTCATCTAGCAAAAAGGAACGTAACTTAATCACTAAATCTGTGAATGCAATGATGGGCAAACAAGAAATGTCGCATCAGCAAATCATGAGTTATTTAGTGGGCGGCGGAGATCATTACAGCAGTCATACCTTTCAGACGTTTAAATGGTTTGATTTCATTAATGCCATCGAAAGGTTGGACCACGCAATGTCGCAAGAATGCGACGACCCTGACAAAAATGATGAGGATGTCCCTTAACTTAGTAAATGACAAGGAGCAAGTCTCGGTCAGCATAACCCATGAAAAAATAGAATTCTCGAGTGACTTTACCGATTATGCTTTATGGCCGACAGATTCGACTTTCTCTGAGTTATGTCTATGGGAATACATGGAGAATTGCATCAAAAAGAGAGGGAAAATACTTGACAGTGAAGTCAGCCAAAGTGAATGCAGCGAAGAAAGCGATATAGAGAACCATTGTGTGAAGACACGAGGTCGCAAACGGCTTCCTAGGGCATCGTTTGCGCTAGAACATCCTCAATGTGCCTCACACATAATGCACCTGTGGAGCAAACCTGTCATTCCTGTCTTGATAGGCGATAATATATCGCGCCCAGACCGATCAGATGAGGAATATGAAAGGTATTGCCATGCTATGCTGTTATTGTTCAGGCCTTGACGCTTGTTGGAGTCATTGAAAAGTGAGGAAGGCAGTTGGTCCGAAGCATTTGAACAAGAGTCTTTTTCACCTAACTTATCAGTGATCATTAAAAATATGAATGTTGAAAACGAGTGTAAAGATGTTAGGGATGCGCATGCAACCTTAGTCTGGGAGCAACAAAAGAAACCACATATCTACAGTCATGAAGGTGAGGGGGATGCGCAAATTGACATTGATGCCTTCGACGAAGCATTGTTCGCTGACCCATCGCTTGACACAAAAGAAGATCACAATGAAATAGATGATGAACACCTGGTCTCAACAAATAATAACGCACGGGATATACAGTCTTGTTTAAGGGCGGTGTGGTGTTCAAACTTTCTGTAGCCTTGCAGAGGCACTTTTCACTATGCATCTCTTATTAACACTTTCCTTAGATTAGGTTCGCACTTTTGCTGCTTACATAATCATCTTCCCTTTACCTAGGACTCTACAGTCTTACCTAGTTTCCTTGTTTCCAGTTCTTTGGTTGCTCCCCATTCACTTGGGTTATTTAGTAGCATTCCCTAGTTGTAGCTTTCCTAGTTGTAGCTCCCTCAGCTCACCAGATAGCTCCTGGAACATAGTTTTCTTACCTTGACTTGGAGTACCTTCTCCACTCTCTTTCTTTGAGCCTGAGCCTAGTCAGAGATCCTTTAGGGTCAAATGTTCTTGCTAGCAAGAGTAGCAGCTAGGAGAGCAGGAGACTCATATATTTTGGTTTGGTGCTTTTACCTACAGCCTAGCCATATCTTGTCATCACAGCGGCCCAAGATGGTGGATTGTTCATTCTACCTGGCCAATCTCCAAGTAATTCAACTATGTGGACAAATAAGGACATGTCTCTTGTTGATGACGATTCACAAGGACAATTACCTGAATATGCAGCTTTCATGAAGGCTGTGCGCAAACGCAAAAGGCCGATGGGCATAGACATTGAAGACCCACATAGCAAACAAGTGCGATGTGGCAGAGGAGAACAGGAGCCTGTCATATCTTTGCAACAAATGGAAGAAGATATCAATATCACATCGGTGTATCACAATCCTGAACTTACAGACAGTGACAAAGAGGTAATTTTACGAGAAATTATCGAGGAATTTAAATTGAGCAACAATGAGGAGCAAGAGATGAGCTTAAAGATAGTCAGCGAGCATTTCATTTGAGGGGATGTAGAACAACTTCTGATGTTTATCACTGGCATAGGTGGGCCAGGAAAAAGCCATGTGATACACGCTATTGTTGAGATGTTCTGGAGGTGTGGGGCACCTGAGAAACTAACTTTGAGTGCGCCCACAGGCAGTGCAGCTGTGTTGATTGATGGTTATATGATACATGCATTGACATTTTTGCCAAAATGTCACTTACCTGTGAATCAAACTGATTTGGAATCTATTTGGCGAGCAATTGAGTACCTTGTTCTTGACGAAGCATCCCTTATGTCTGCAGAATTGTTAAGTCAAGTATCTGAGTGAATCCACCAGGCTAAATCATGGGATGAATCAGTGTGTGATAAACTGTATGGGGGCGTCAACATCATCTTTGCGGGAGATTTTGGTCAACTATGTCCACTGAAGTCCAATGCATTATACAGCTATAAACTGGTCAAAAAATTAGCACCTTCAACCACTCAGACAATCAAAGGACAAACCGCACTTCATGGTGCATTTCTATGGCGACAAGTTAATACAGTAGTTGAACTCAAACAAAATTGGAGAGCCAGAGAAGACGCACCATATATTGACTTGTTAAATCGAATTTGTGTTGGACAAGCCCGAAAGGTTGCTCTAAATCTCAATTGGCCTAGCAATTATGATACATTGAAAGGCCGTCTGCTCAGCACAATAAAACAACATTCCACTGAAGAATTTGAGGGTTTTAAAGATGCACCAATCATTGTCACCAAGAAAGTTCTGAGAGATGCAATCAATGACTCAAAAGCACGCACGTTTGCACACAACACAAATCAGCAATTTGAGATATACTATGCGCGAGATAAGATATATGGCACGCATGTTGGCATTGAGCAGCAGAAACAATTGTGGAAAATGTTGAGTACACATACCAATGACGCAATCGGCGAATTACCTTTGATTCTGGGGATGCTGTTCATGTTGACAGAAAATACTGCAACAAGCTGTAGAGTTGTGAATGGAAGTAGAGGGACACTGAAATCAATCATGTACAAAGTTGATCCTGATGGATATCGATATGCTGCTTGTGCTTTAGTCCACATTCCTGAGAGCAATGTACACCTACCTGATCTAGAAGAGAGCATTGTGCCGATCTTGCCCGTTGCCTCCAGTTTTAAATTTCCACTGAAGGAGAAGAAAATCACAATAAGGCAAACACAGTTACCCAATTTGCCAGGATGGTCATTTACAGACTATAAAGTGCAAGGAAGTTCGTTGCCACAAGTAATCGTCGACTTAGCATGTGCCAAATCACTGCAGAGCATCTATGTGATGTTGTCATGTGCTGTAGAGACTCGCGTTTCTGCAGGCACATATGGGCACATTTTGCACCTTTTCACAACTCATGACAATTGGCCTTCAATGCACGACTCGCACCATCAGCTATATTCGACTTCTATCATGTCCCTAGTCGTTTTACACGTAACACGCAGCTTTCCCGCGAAACGCGCCATAGGCGTGACACATTCCCACACAATGCGCAGTATTCCCGCATGCGCACCTTGCATGCTTTCTTGCGCTTGAGCGCCCTGCATCGCCTATCATCCAGGAACGTCCCTCTATGTCCATCCACCTCATTGGTACGTCATATCCCTTGCCTCGTGGTTTGTAACAAGCATTGCAGCGCTATTACATGTCATTACGTATTCATAGCACTTATTGCTCCTATCCCTTCCGCTTCCGATGCGATTTCCATAGTATAAAGTTTGCTGACTTACTACTCCATCATTATTACTCCCCTTTGCTGTACTTCCCTCGCTATTGGGTTTTACTTTAAAGTAGTAGTCACCACTTGGGCGCACTTTGTGTTTCCAATGGTTATTGTTATCCGCCTATACTAGACCTTTATCCGCACTCATTATAACACTCGCTCTGCATTTGCACTTGCTTTGCACATCCGCTTCCTTATCCATTTCCTTATCCAGTATTTTCTGCACAACGCTGCGCCTTAGCGCTCACGTTCCCACGCTTGCGCTTACCTTAGTGCGCTCTCTCGCGCTTCGCGCTCACTTCGCTTTTCTTCTTGCGCTTTTGCGCATCCATCACACTTCAAGGGTCTTTCTTTCATCTGGTTCTGTGTTCAGTAGCAGTCCCCTTTAGGGTCGAACTGTTCTTGCATTCTGCGAGTATAGCAGCTAGGCAGAGCCAAGGCTCACTTATACTGGTTGAGCATTTTTAGATATTTCATATCAGCCCAGCCAGGTTGAGATCACCTCAGCGCTTCCAGTGTGCGCAATGTTGCGATCCTCCGATGGTTCTCATCAAAGACACTGTATGGTGATTTACAAGGTGATGCGTGAGAGGAAATGAAACAATTAAGATTGCTGGCAAGCAAAACATATCAAGAATACAAGACATGCCACACTGAATCCTTTCGCAAAACTGAAGGAAATACCACGCAGGTGACACCACATAAAAAAGCCACAGAGACACATGCAGTATAGTGAGAATGACTATGATAATGATTGAGCAGTCACCTTGAAAGCCTCGAAGAGGAGAGAAACTCACCATGTCCTATCAACTTAGGCACAGTGCGACTTACTTAATCCAAATATGTCTAAGCTGACTAAGCTATGTCGGATGACGTTGGTGGCATGGCATATCTCAGATAACGACAATATCTTGGAGCCATCTCTTCTTTTTGTACATCAAAATGTCTTTCCTAGCAGGTCAGTAGTCTTCAACTTTTATAAATTGCATCATTGACACTGGCATTGATGCAGCTTCTGGAGATACAATGGTGTTTGAGCTCTGGCCATCTCCGATGAGAAAGGAGATTCAGAGACTTCAAGGAGACCATGATTTTGCGTCTTGGGAGTTGTTTCCTCCCTCCTTACAAGATATGGCCGATTGGGCAGATGTTTATCAAGATCACGAGAAACAAGATTCCTCAAGGAATTGTCTCCTCATCTACATGAATATGCAAGATGCCAAACCGGGTGTTGTATAGCCGGTTGCTCTGTGCCTCCAAGGAATCTTGTGAGAGTGTCGTGTAGATAGATTCAGGAACTGGTCTGGGTAGGGAATGCTACACATTTTGAGTGAGTCAACCAAACTAAACATTGAATAGGGATGAGACGGAGGTCACTCGTGCAGTGCAACACATCAATCTTTCTTCGGGAGGACATGAAAAAGTGTGGGACACCACAATTAACTCACTGAATCTGGCCTGTGAATATGTTAGCCGCTGATTGCACATGCCCATGCAAGGGACGTCTTTCAAGGGAGACATATATCTACAGAGATGAGCATTCAACAAGGTAAGCACAAGCCAAAAAATGTTGGCTATACTAAGTCCTTTCTAACAGCGAGACAAACCATGCGAATCCAAAGACCAAATACTGACGGAAGCTCAATGTCCTGGAGGGAAATACTGGCACATGGAAAATCTATGGAGCATAGTGTGTCCGCTACCTATTGCGAACTTGACAGAAGCAGGCAAAATCTTAGCCATGGACTCTGTCCTCTTAACTGAGGGTGATTTCGTGGATGTTGGCGCCAAGCTGGATTTCATTATCAGGAGAGATCGCCAGAGAGGAATGACATTGAGATGCTTTCTCACATGCACACACATTGTGCGAATGATTCCCGCAAACTATGTGAAACATATGAAACTGGTGAGTTAACATGTTTCACAATGAGATTGGAAGGTATTGATGTATAATAATAGGACAAGAAGACGCTTGATCGAAAACACGCCATGACACCACCTGCAGAAGAGAGGGCACCCAAGAAGACCCACATTACTCTAGCGCTCGACACGGAATAAATCAGACGGCACAATAGTATTGAGTAGACATCAATTTGCATTTGTTTATCTGTATCTTTAGGAGTATTTAACCACCAGGATAGGGACTATCGACATCTTGCTTTCTCATATCACCATGACTAAATCTAAGAACGACGTGGCCACTAAATGAGAGGGAAATATGGAAGGACGTCCAAACAAGAGAGTCAAACTCACTAACACAGGTGAGGAGTCATATGTCACATTCGAGTGCATGAATATCTGACCTCATCTATAATAGGAGGTGACAACGACAGTGGTGCTACAGACAATGGCAAGTGTGGGGATAACAAATACGAAAGCATCAAGTAAGCCACTACTTATATATAATTATACAACAACCTCATTATACACAGTCCATCCACATCAACGCTCAATCACGAGACAAGTGCTCCGGAAAATCCGCCAACAACCAGCAAACGCAGAAGTGGAGCAGTCCAACCAGGATTGGCCGTGCGTAGCATGATTCCTAACCTGAAAAATTGCTTGATCGATGCTACGGAAATCAAGGAGTATGATGAGATATTAGTTGAGCAAGTGAAGTGCATGACAGTTTACCTTAGCTGAAAATGTGACCCAGCCGACTACAAAAACTATCAGAATACACCAATGCAAAGGCCAATATATATGCATTAGGAAGGTTGTTGCCAACTGCGACATGGGGACAGTATAAGCCCATCAATGACCGGAGCAAGGTCTTATGCAATCCAGCAACTAACGAACCACTCACCATCTGGGTTGTTGGACAGATTGCAAAGATGTGGTTTACTAAGTTTGGTAACCTGGAAAAGCAGGCTACCATCATGATTATGCCACTCTCCAAATCGCTGGCACAGCAAAGCACATTGTTACTCGCGAAGATGTCCAGTCCGACAACGAGTGAGCGACGTGATATTTTTCAATGAGATGGTTACCAGTTACTAGGTAGCAACCAACAAGCCACACAAATCATTCAAGCTATCAAGTGGCAAAATGCTAGGGGAGGAGACAGTGAGGATGAAGTAAGTGCTCTACAAAAAGTCTCGCAACTGACACTGACAATATTAAAGCCTGTATTATTTGATGCAGTATATGTCATCAGAGTGGCAGGCTCTTTGAAGACACAAACAGAACGACCTCTCTGGAAGCTGGTTGATTTGAAGATGGGAGATTTGATTCTCTTAGAGATGAAAATGACGAGGTATTCCAAGAAACAAGAAGATAAGTGGCATTCTCGTGCGCAGTACGATATGCTTGCCATTTATCTTCTAGATATATGTGAGACACCAGAAGAAGACACTCTGGGTACGAGTCTGATTGATGGATTAGCTATTTGACATGGTGTTACATACATGGTATAAATTTAGGTTGAAGTATACTATCATTGATGATGTATGAGACATTTTCGTGTGTTTAAAAGAAAGATGATAAATCGGAGTAAAACACTCTGACTTGACACTGCCATGGAACAACTAGTAACAGAAGCTGACTTATCAGGAGCTATAGCATATAGGGAACAATGAGGGACATACACGCATCACCAAATGTATGAGGAGATCAAGAAAGCAAATCCCGAATGGTTGCTCAATCCTAAGGTACGCTGCAAGAAGAGATAGAGATCCGAGCTGAAAGATACATTGATAATAGCGCAGTTAAGAAAATGTGCAAAGAGTTAAAGACTGAAGCAACCAACAAAGCGTGTATCGCAGTCAAACTATCAGACACAACTACCATATCCACCAGCATTACACAAGGACTCTTGCTCCTGCTAGCAAACCTTAATCCCATCAATGAGACTCGGCCGATTTCGGACTTAGAAGCATTGCACGTCATAGAGCATCACTTGCCTCAAGGAGAAGCCCAGCCACCACTTGTATTGTTCCCGAGGAGACAGGACATAAATGACTGGTATTTCCATGTGCATCACACATCGAGATGTAATGACGACTGCAGATTCCATCCTGTCATGCTTGAAATATTCGGGAAGCAAAGATGTCCACATGGAGATATTCTAGTGGTAAAGGATGGCACAGGTTACATCCCCGATAGTCCTGAATTTGATGTAGACTGTGAGGAATTGGGGAGAACTTTATGGTGGTATATCAGGAGTGGGATTAATCCTGTACAGGAGGCGAGTGAGAGACGACTAGTGCGTTATATTCAACAATTGTAACAGATTAATGTACAAGGCATGAGAGACATAGACACAATGTACGACAGAATTTCACAAATGCTGGCCACTAACCCAGGAGCAAACAAGGCTAAGAATAATGACATTACAATGACAGGGAAGTAAGAGAAACAAATAAGTCTACGCACCAAGACAAAATGGCGTCCGCGAGACCCTTATCCTCATAACTCATGCATCAATAAGTCATCAAATCATGGCCTACATGTTTGATGAAAAGGACATTTCCATGCCAGCTGCAATCACGCTCCGACGAGATTCTATGCCAATTGATCAGGCAGGTAGATATCAGTTCAAATTGAGCAGCTCAAGTGGTCTGGTCCATATGCCCTATTATGGACCCAGCCGGTGCGAGTTCAGGGGTGGTTTGGATGTGTCAATCGATTTATATTTGATCAATTAGCATGGAATCTTGGATTGATTGTATCTCAATCAAATATGAACCGATTGATGCAACCAAACCACCCCTGAACTCGCACCGGTCGGTAGTATAATGGGGCATATGGACCGGTCCACTTGAGCCGGTCAATTTGAACCGATATCTACCTGCCTGATCAATTAGCATGGAATCTTGTATTGACTGTATCTCAATCAAATATGAACCAATTGACACAACCAAACCATCCCTAAACTCGCACTGGCCGGTAGTATTATATGACATATAGACCGGTCCACTTGAACCGGTCAATTTGAACAGATATCCACCTGCCCAATCAATGGGTACAGACTTGTGTATTGCCTGTATCTCAATACAATATGAACCAATTGACAAAACCAAACCACCCCTGAACTCGCACTGGCCAGGTCCATAATATGGCATATGGACCAGTCCACTTGAGCTGGTCAATTTGAACTGATATCCACCTGCCTGATCAAGTAGCATGGAATCTTGTATTGGCTGTATCTCAATCACATATCAACCAATTGACACAACCAAACCACCCCTGAACTCGCACTGGTTGGTAGTATAATAGGGCATATGTACCGGTCCACTTGAACTGGTCAATTTGAACCAGTATTCAACCGGTACACATCTAACAGGGCATCTATTGTACCCCATTGACCGGCACACCCATCCCCATCACACCTTATTTCCTGGCCCACCCATCTTCTACTGGATCATATATTTACCTGATGATTGATGTACCAGAGGATAGGCTTGTGAGATTATGAATTCACCTGGTGACATACCTACCGGATGGTAGATTTGACCAAATCTCTGGTAAATATGATTCTTCCGGCCCACTCATCTGCATTGTAACCCGGATTCACCATTCATAATGTCCTATATACTAGTACATTCCTATACCACTGTCTATACTATATACCCTCGGCCCATCCCTTTGCCTCGGGTACACACATTCACTTGGCCCATCCCTTTGCCTTGGGTACACATTCATCCGGCCCACTTGTCTCCATTGTAACCCAGATTCACCATTCATAATGTCCTATATACTAGTACATTCCTATACCACTCTCTATACTATATACCCTCGGCCCACCCATATATCATGGTACAATTATTGCCATGGGCCCACATGGGATGGCCCGTCTAAGATGGGTAAATTCACTGAATGGGCTCGCATAATGAACTACATAACTGTGCAGTCCCTCATGTGCTTGTATCCACGTTGGACATGCGAGAACAAAGATTCGTGAATCCATGGCTATATATGCAAAGCAAGACAAACTTGAATGCGGTGTAGGGGCTCATGCCCCTACAGCCACATATGGCCTATATCATGGCTTGGGACAACAGGGCATCACTGCCAGGCTCGCACCATCATCATATCTACCTATTCCCTATAGAGCGCCCCACTTTCCCGCGAAGCGCACCATAAGCGTGCTACTTTCCCGCACCAGCCGCAGTGTTCCTGCGCGCGCGCCTTGCGCGCTTTCTCGCGCTTAAGCGCCCTGCATCGCCCATCATCCAGGAGCACCCATCCACTGTCCATCCAGCCCACAGGTATGTAGTAGTTCACTATTTTTACTATCCATGTACCTTTCATTATTACCTACACTGTATGGCACCATTTCTCATGGGCCAGTAGCTATTACATAGCGCTTTACCTCACTGTGGTTCATTTTGTGTTGAGCCGAGGAGGCATTAATTACTACACTCTTCTACTACCTACTACCACCCATCTAGTACCACTGAGCACCAGTATAGAACCGCACTTTAGAGCCACAATCATTATCCACTTCATATAGACTTTACCTTGCATTGAGAGCCGCTTCCCCAGCACTTCGCGCACTCTGGTGCTTTCCCGTGCTTAGGCGCTCCCTTAGGCGCTCATTCAGCATGTCTTGGATCATTTCTCTGCTGCCATCTGCTTCCCCGGGTCGAACGATTCTGTTAAGACCGTAGCTCAAGGGTAGACAGATCCGAAGGGCTTGGCCTCAGCTCGTGCGCTGTGCCCCTTACCCGAGTATGTGCCCTTAATTTCAGAATGAAGTCCAGATGGAATCCGACAAAGTCCGAAGGACTTCCGGAGGCTAGCTACTCTGGTGGAGTGCTGAAGGACTTCCCATGGTAAGTTCCCTAGATAGAAACATATAGAGGATAGGCTGCAAGGGACAGAGTCCAAAGCAGGATAGGATAGGAGGAGTGGTCCGAAGGACAGGACGTCCGGAGGTCCGAAGGTAATGGCGTCCGAAGGGTACATCGTCCAAAGGTCACGTCGTCCAAAGGTTACGATGTCCAAAGGTCCGAAGGTTTAGGAGGACTGGAGGAGCAGACAGGATTAGGACAGGAGGGGAAAGGCTACTACGGACAAGGTCCGGAGTAGAAACAAACAGAGGTAGACTACACTATGGTAGAGTCAGATAGATGGGGTTTAGACAGAAGTCTCGGAAAGACAGGAAGTGCCAGAAAGGCAACACTTCGGTCTAGGGAATCAATCCCTAGACTTCAGAACTGAAACATAGGAAACAAATCCGAAGGTCCGGATTTCCGGCCTAGGGAATCCATCCCTAGGCCTTGATGGAAAGGCAGAACTCAGATGGATGGAAGTCCGAGACAAGAATGAGTGAAGTCTAAGATGCGAGAGAGCAAGTCTATGTTGAATGAGTGCAATCTAAGATGCGAGAGAGCAAATCTGTGTTGAATGAGTGCAATCTAAGATGATATTCGAACTAAGGAAACTTTACAGGAGTTGTACAGAGGTTTATATACTGGACGGGATTCGAGAGGATCAGTAAGCTGAACACGCTGAACACAAATGCTCTGTACGAGCATGTGGAAACATATTGGTAAGTATGAACAGAACATAAGTAAATGAACTCGGAGATGAACAGAGTACAAGGATCAATAAGCAAGACGGAAACACAGATAACCGAAGTCCGGAGTCAAGGGGATTACCATAAGGAGATAGACGCTGATTTAAGGTTTGGGCTTCGAATATGAGTATAGGTCGGATCCAGAGGTCTAGAGATATCAGATGAAACGTCTGGATATCGGATGAGTGGATCTGGAGATCTAGGTGAAGACGAGACTAGGATATGGATCATGGATATAGACTGGTAGTCTAGTGAAGGTAAAGTCTGAGATGGAATGAGCTCGGATCTGATAGGATCAAGGGTGGATGAAGCAGGCTTAGTTGCGGAGGTCCGAAGGTATGGATATATGGATGTACGAAGGTGTATGGATCCAAATTGATAGTGGACTGGAGGACTGAAGGCATGGATAAGGGTATGGAGTCATGGATAAGGGTATGGAGGTCCGGATGTGCATCCGGAAGGCGTCCGGAAGACGTGGGAACATCATCGGACGTAGGTCCAGAATATGGGATATGACAGATTCACATCACACCTCGACCAACACTTAGAGAGAGTATAGCCCTATCTCCCACCTTGAGCTTAGAGCTTTATTTCTTTCATTTGCTCTGCATTGCACCTTAGCAGAGTTGTTGTACCCACAGCGGTAGACAGCTTGATGAAATACGTACGGAGAGGATTCAAAATTAGCACAGATCTGTTCTGATTGGATGTCCACAACTGTGGCGAAGAGGTCCAGATTAATCAGAAAAATGGATATTGCCCACACAAGCTGAGGAGCACGGTAGACAAGGAAATTTTACAATGGGACTTTGAAGTGGCAGAGACATTGGGCGGTACAGCAGTGACTTGCCAGGACATGGGAATCATGGTATGGTGCCTGGGAGGTGAAGAGTGTACAGAAGAGACGAAGGAAGAAATGATGGTCTTGATGTTTGTGTCAGCGTAATAATTGACTAACAACATGCTATGAAGACAGCTATGTAATGAGGAAATCAAGATTGACTTGGCGAGATTGTGCGAGAAAAGCTGAACATCAAAAAGTGCCAGGGAAGGGTCCTGGGATGCCCGGAGGGCTGTTGCTATAAGGGTACTGGTCTGGGTGCACAATCGTGAAACACCGATCATACTGGACCCTTTGTCTTTTGTTTGTTGTTCTTTGTGTGTTTTGTGGCTTCTCCATTTTACTTGTCCCGGTCGCCGACTTCACAACCTTTCATGGCTACCAGTTCATCTTCAACTTATGTTCTGCTGTCGCTTCATTAGTTTCTCTTGCAGTCCTTGTTGTGTCGGACCAAGAACTTCCAGATGATGGAAGTTCTGTTGTGTCAACGTGCATTTTATGCAAGTATTTTGGGTACTTTGGGATCCATTCAGTACACCGTCTTTTTTCCCTCCCCTTTTCTTTCTCGCTTGATTGCCCTCATCATGGCTACCAGTACTTTCCTCTTCTTCTCATTCTTTTTATGATGCCTTGGCTCATCCTGTCGCTGTGGTGGTCTCCGATCAAGAATTTTTGAATGACGGATTCTCGGTCATCTCCACATGCATTTTACGCAGGTATTTCGGGGTCACTCAAGTTGGTTTGCGAATCAGTTTCTGTCAGGCAATTAATTGCCAATTATGTATTTTAGTCTTGGACATATCATTGATCATTCCTCGACTTTCACTCGGGAACAATACATAGAAATTGTGTGGGCTTGTTCAGTCTGTGTCAAATTGGTCGATCACAAGGATTATGTATGAGATCTGTTGCGCATACACATCTGTAACTCTGATTGTGTACTGAATCTACTCGTTTGTAAACTTTTGAAGGCTGCTAGGTGATTTCTCTCATGTCTGTTCGTGGTGAATTACATCACTGCATGATCACTCGTTTGGTTTTTTTTTTAGTCAGAAGCACTGGATGATGAAGTACTGTGCTGGGAATTTGCGCCAAGTTGAAGCCAACACAGATGTTGGGGGAGACAATCACTACATGTGAAGACATAGGGATCATAGTGCAGTGCATTGTCAGCTTGAGAGACCTGAAAGCAATGGGATGATGGCGAGAAATGGATGCACAGTCAATAGCAATACTAGTCAGTCTGATATATCATTATGCAGATGCAAATGATGGACTGCACGAGACAATGTATCGAGAATGATAAATGAAAAGGGTCCTGGAATGCCCGGAGGGTTGTTGCTATCAAACATGGGTGCTTAACGTTGTAAATTCGACAGGTACTTAAAAGGCAGGTTGCATCGCAGGAATAATAACCCAATGATACCTGTCTACTCAGACATGGCAGACATTGACCTCTCCACCATTGCTGATGTACGAAGATACCTGTTTAATATCCCTTTCGCATCACATACAATAAGCGCGCTGACAGGAGGCTTCACCAACTTCACATACAGGATACACCTCAACAACTCATTTGAGGGCACAGTCCATTAGTAGTGTCATATCCCCAGGCAAATACCTGCTTGTGGATGCTGGCTGTGGGACATGTGATGCACTGTTAGTGCCATACTGTGGTGTCTGTTACCACTTGAATGAGTGGTGTCAGGCTGATCAGCGGTAATTTTTTTTTTCATTTGAATACTTTGTTTTCTGACACATGTCTAGGCTGCGGACCCCAGAGGAGTTATTCAACCACCAACACGCATCTCTTCACAACATCATTGAATGCATCTTTGGAGTGATGAAGCACCAATGGCACATTCTTCAGGTGCCGCCAGAGTATCATATGGACATCCAAGCACGTGTCCCCAATGTGCTCTGTGCTTTGCACAACTTTGTTCGCAGATTTGACCCCGACATCTTTGACGAAGAAGCTGATGATCTGTTGGAATATGACTCTGAGGAAGGAGCAGATGAGTTGAATGAACTTGGTGATGGTCCAGCAGATACTCTAGAGAGGTGGAGAGCTGATAATCATTGTGATCAGATTGCTAGGGAGATGTGGGAAGATCATCTTGCAGTGCATGGCATGAGGTGACCCAGTTAATTGAAGTTATACTACTAGTTTGTGTGCTCTGTATCTTGACAATCAATTCAATTGTTTGCATGTATCATAGTGTTTGACAAGTATGCGACAGAAGTATACAAAGCAAGTTAATCAATGGTATCAATGTGCATGGCACGAGTTTCACCAAGCCTCCTCTTCACCCAATTGGCCCTCAGATTGTCACCCTTCAAGTATAAAAATGCTGTGGCCTGATCTTTGTCCCTCACGAACAACTGTGTCATGTCCAACTTGTCGTCATCAGATATGTATGTGGCATCACTGATGATCTCAATGGTGCATGCAAAGTCAGAAGTAGGTGAAATAGGGGCCGCAAGAACTGGAGGTACACTAAGATGCTTACTCATGGTCTCCATTGCGGTAACAAGTGATGTTATCACTGCACTACCCTCCAGCTGGGCTCTGGCAGTCGCAGATGGTGGGTGAGAGCGCTTGCCTGATAGAGCATCGACGTCAGAATCCAGTGCACTGGCCTTGCACTTGCCCTGGCTGGTGCTTGTCAATGCTGAGGGTGGGCTTGTCGAAGGAACGTGTGATGTTGTGGCAAGAGGATCTGTAGAAGTAGATGATGCAGGAAGATGGCCCATGTCCACAGAAATCTCCTTGGTGGCTATAGATAGCTCATGGAAGTGGAGCTCTGCAGGAGGGCGAGTGCTAGTGGAAGGTATCATCAAAGGTGGGGGCATGCTGGTAGCAGATGCAGCAGAGCTGGTGTGATTTTTTCTCTGACGCTGACGGACATAAATTCCTGTGGCATTCATGCCAGCCATCAGCAAGTCAAAGATCTCAAAATGTTCAAATCCTTTGTTCTTGAATTGTTTGGCATTTGGATTCGACTTGAAAAAACAGATTAGGATCCAGAGCAGTGATAGGGAGCACAGTACTCACTTTGACATATTCAGCCTGGTGTGCTGATCTATGGTTGCCCCCCCACTTCTGTCCATGTGAATCCTGATGACGATCCACCGACTTTGAGTGCTTGAGTGGCATGATAAGCCTTCTTGAGACTAGAAAACTTTGTATTGCAGGCTGAGTTAGTTTTGGCCCCACCTTTCTGGTTTTTGAAGTGCTCTGCAAGGTGCGCAGAAACATCTGAATAGATTCTCTTAGGGAAGGTGGTGCCATCTGTGCCAGATCTGTTATCATAAAGGTATTGAAGGAGGGTGGTCTCCTCTTTCAGCCTCCAATAAGCGGCCTCTTTATGGCCAGATACAGATTTCAGTTGAGACTCTGTGGCACCACTGGTGGAGTCTCCAGAGTGATGAGAGTGAAGAGAGCGACGAGACTGGTCAGAATCTGACATACTATGGTCCATGATGGTGGTATGATGATGTTGTACATCTCCTTCTGAAGGTTGTGGGAGCAGAGTCACATGACACCAAAGGTGAATTTCGATTTGAATTTCTCAAGTGAATTTGGTGTCCAGACAGAGCCTAATATATTGTAACTATAGAGCAAAATAGGATACATCAATGGGGTGATTCACTAGTGGTTTTAATTTTTGAGCAGCTCTCCCAGCTCTCCCCCCCTCCGACACATCACGTGACATCACATGGCTTTGTTGAATGAACCATGAACACTTGCAGAGTCGCAGTGTGTTGTACTTTACTAACCTCTGATCAGTGATAACTAGCCTCTTGGCCATACCTTTCATCATCATCCACATACTTCCACCTGCATTTCATGATTACCTATGTTCTGCATCATTTATTCCACATGTGTTGTCCTCTGGTAAGTTTTCACCTAATTTTTAGTGCTTTCACTCCTTGTCCTTCAGGCTACTACTCATCATTTTTTGCCCACTGATGTGCAACATCATATGGTTCCAACAGAATCATGTTACCCTCCTATGCTTAGGGCCATCTAACACCCTTCCTACTACTAGTACTAGAGTTAGGGCCTGGACAGCTGCTGTTTGTAACTCAGTTTGTCTCGTAGTTTGTTTCACTCGCCACAATATATACAAACAGTAGTGACTTAGGGTTTAGTTAGGGTCTAGTCACACATAAGGACAAGAACAGTGCCTCCACTGGCAGCGAGAGAGAAAATCCACTGGTTCTATGTCCTCCGAATGGCAGAGGCAATGGTTGTCCAGCTCATCATAGGTGTACTCATTGTTAACATGACCCCATTTCTCAATAAAGAGCCTTACCATACCTCAATCCTCTCTGGGCAGGCATGGGTGCAAGAGCTTATCAACAGACATCCCGACCGGATCAAAAATGAGCTCGGGGTGAGAAAGGACATATTTCATGTGCTTGTACAAGAACTTCAGGCTTGTGGACTACATGATTCAAAGTATATAGCACTTGATGAACAGGTTGCTATATTTCTCTACACCTGCGTGACAGGATTATCGAGCCGTCATGTTGCAGAATGCTTCCAGCACTCTCACACAACAATACAGAAGTATGTTCACCTTGCAAAGATATTTGTACTACTAGTAGCCTCACACGAGCCTCATCAGATATTTCAAGTGAGTTCTGCTTGCCATATCATCGGCCCCATTTTACAACAGATTTGTATCTCTTCCAGATAACAATGCACCTATACTGAAGGAAATATCAGAGAATCCCAAATTCTTCCCATACTTTTCAGGTGCCCTTGGAGCCATTGATGGTACACATATTGCATGCTGTCCGTCTGCAGTAGAACGGCAGCTATCATGAAACCGCAAAGGTGGTGTCAGCCAAAATTGTCTTGCTTGTTGTTCCTTTGATCTCCAGTTCCAATATGTCCTCAGCGGTTGGAATGGATCAACATCAGACTCGACACTCTACAATAATGCCTGGCTCACGGACCTATATATTCCAGAAGGGAGGTACTATCTCGCAGACGCTGGGTTTGGGATATGTGACTCACTCCTCGTTCCATATCAAGGTGTTCGGTACCACCTGGCTGAATGGGGCCGAGCTGCAGTTTGGTGAGCAATATATGACTAGGTCAACAAAGAGTCTTCTCAGTGCTGTGACAGGCCAAAAACATCGAAAGAGATCTACAATCTTCGGCACACTCAAGCTTGGAATGGCATTGAGAGAATATTTGGGGTTCTCAAGAGGCAGTTCATCATACTGGTACACCCACCAGAGTATAGTATGTCAACACAAGCCCGCATCCCCCTGGCCCTTTGCGCCATCCACAATTTTATTTGCATTCACAATCCGACAGAAATAGAAGAATTTGCTGATAAAGATGTCTTTGACCTTGATCCAGGCAAGTCTAGGAGTGACCTTGCAGAAGGACCAGCCAACCAGTGAAGAGAGGCAGCGAGCAACAGAAGACAGAGATCATATTGCAGTTGCCATGTGGGAGGACTACTGTAGGATTTGTTGCGCTCGTCAGAACACAGCAATATAGAGACCTACAAATGACTATGCTATTCAAGTCTACAGAACCTGCCGGTTAATATGTTTGATTTTTCTACCAACAAAAGACTTCCTTGGACCGTCATCCATCATGACCATATAGGCATCAGCGGCACTGACATCCACCTGAAATGCTTCAATAAGTGCCGCCATGCTATCATCATCAAGGTGTGTTTCTAGCTGTTGTGCCCGTCGCATGGCCGCCTGCTTGTGTTGAGGTGATAATAGAATAGATGAGGATGACTGTGATTGTGATGAGGCTTGGAAGATGTCACTGAATGCTGAAAATTGGTCATTGATTGCATAGAGTGCACCCACTGATCCACTAACACGCTGGCGTTTCAATGGAGGACAAGAGCCTGAGGCCGCAGTACTAGACCCAGAGGCGATAAGGGAGGGTGTCGAAGACCGAAACTTGCGCTTGACAATGGTTTTGACAGGAGTCATTTTCCAAGGAATGATATCATCTTCATTGTCATCCTCAGCCCCTACCAGTACCTCTCTGTCATCAACCATCTTCTCTTTGTCACTGACCATTCCCGCTGCTCGCTCTAGCTCCTCAACATGCTCACCTGGCTGCTCTGCTTCGTCTTCCACAACAGGTTGGGTATCCTTGGGCGTTCCGTTGACCTGGCCATCATCAGAAAGTGCTTGTTCAGACTTGAACGTCTCGTGCCCAGCATGGAAGGCATTGGTGCCACGAGAGGGTTGTGTGCACATAAGCTCATCCATCTCATGGAAGTGTTCCCAGCCCTTGTTGCGAAATGGTTTCATATCAGGACATGACTGAAAACTGCATAATTAGATCAATACTTGTATCATACTAACTGAAACGCACCTTTGCAAATGCTGTCCAACAAGCAGCATCAGCAGGAACAATATTTGCACCAAGTTCATCATCCCATGAAAAGCCTGATTGAGATTTGATGTCGACAATAGCGGTATATATATATTTTGCACTGTGTGAGCTGCAATCAGAATAATTGTGCTAGCATGAGCAGAGAATGTACACTGATCCACTTGTTCTTGCATGATAGTGAGTCCCTGCTAGGTCCAGCTACATGGTTCGAAACACCATCCAGCGGCTCTTGCATATGAGTTGATGCACCGGTAAAAGTTGTCTGTTTAAATCCCATCCCATCTCCACCTTCGGCACAATGAGCTATGAAGTATTCAAGAAGGCAGGAAGTTTCTTCGGTGGTCCAGTGAGTGACTGGTATGGCCCCGACATTGTTTGCTGAACATACAGTAGTCTTCTTCTTTGCCATAGTAGCGGTAAAGTGAGGTATGAGTGGGCATTTGAGATCGTCACACAAAGTCACTGCCGGTCACTGTTATGTCACATCAGTGCCATGCCACATACAGAAACAAACTGAGAAACAAACTGCATTACAAATGGCAGCTGTCCAGGCTCTTAACTTCACATTTTTTACTATATATGCATGTTATTATCAATTAAATTAATGCAATAAACATAATTTTATGCACTGTTCATTCATGAAGTGAATAAACTACAAAAAATATTATAATACTTGATACTTGAGCTCGCTGTAGCCTGTTGCCCACAGCAAGCACTCACCACTGACAGTCTGACTCCATCGCCGACTCACGGCGCTGGCATTGCCAAAGTGTTGTTGATAAGTCACATGAGGTCACATGACGTGTCAGAGGGAGGGAGAGCTAGGTGAGCTGTTTTGAGCTACTGTTGGAGATATATCACAACTTCAGTCAACCACTGGTTTGGACAGTCACACAATATAACACAATTGTAACACAATGTCACATCTGCTGAAAACAAGCTCCGCTCAGCATTCACTAACAGCGCCGTTCAGCATTCAAGTGCACGGGCCTTGTGGCATTTGTGATTGTAACTAAAAGCTAAACATTTAGAAAGGTTTAATCAAATGTGCATTATGAACCGTACAAAATTGTGAGGGCTGTAGGAACTATTCAGATGTGACTAGGATAGTATGGTATGAAATTTTCAAAAGAATATGCTGCAAAGGAGTAAGTAGGTGGTGTGTAAGATTCATGGGACATATTAGTAGTTGATGGGTGTGATTGATATTGTAAGTTCGATGGAGGACGGGGAGTATCCCATGTGTGTTCAAGTCCTGCAGGTGGCCATGAGACTGGGGGTAATGAGCCGAAGCCAACTTGAAAATGTGGTGCAGGGGACGGTGGACCAGGGGTCCCAAGGCAGCAGTCCATAGACTTAGGCTCTCGGAGGTCTCCATAGCTTAGCCAGATAGCCTACACACATGCACACATCTTGTAGTAGTACATCATCCATCCATTCACACAGCAATCTCAGAGCAGAGCCTTGGCCCTGCCTCATTGTGGTGAACAGAGCAGATTTGAGTCATCCCAGCTTTGCTTTAGCATTTAGCCATCACTTATAGTCATAACCCGCAGTCTCAGCTTAGTTATTTGATCAGAACTTTGATTCAGAACATCGAAACAAGCCATTTACAGAAAACTTGCAACATCTGCAAACTAGAAATTTCTTCACAGATATGGTAATTTTTGACAGTTTCCCACAGCCACCCAAAGTAGCAACAGAGCTCACAGAATGTACAGCCCCAGATGCGAAAGTGCTCACAGAGCTCACAACTGGTGTAGAGACTCACATTTCTGCAGGCTGTTATGGGCCCATATTACAAATTCTGACAACTGGTGTTTCATGGCACGACTTGCACCATCATCCACATCCGACTTCTACTATGTCTCTGGTCATTCCGCATATCATGCGCAGCTTTCCCGCGAAACGCGCCACAGGCGCGATACTTTCCCGCACAATGCGCAGCATTCCCGTGCGCACGCCTTGCATGCTTAAGCGCACTGCGTTGCGCATCATCCAGGAGCATCCATCCATTGTCCAACCAGTCCCTTGGTATGTCCCTTCCATTATCTGACTATATTTGGCATATTACACATCCTATCTCGTTATGGACCCTTACCTTACCTCACTTGCATACTTAGAGCGCTCCCTATTCGGCTCTGAGCCCTGGGAGAGCGCTTAGGTAGAACTTACATACTTTTCATGTTCGTTTTACACCTTACTACTTTACCACCATGTTACTTGGCAGTTAGTCCCATGCAATGCATGTATTCGTCATCATAGGCCCTAGCAGCAGTCTCTAGCTAGTGGCAACATCAGTATCAGTCTTCAGTCACCTTTCTCATCCTATCATTGTCATCAGTTGCCTCTCATCAGTCTCAGTTCATGTCCTTTTCGCATGTACACCGCTTGCACTACCCTCCTGCGCTTTGCTTTCCCACACTTTCACCATCATTCACCAAGGTTGATCAGCATCATTCCGTGGATCCTTGCTTTCTTTGCTTCCCCTTTAGGGTCGAACGCTCTTGCATTCTGCAAGTGTAGCAGCTAGGCAGAGCCAAGACTTACTTATACTGGTAGAGCATTTTATTTTCATAGCAGCCTGCCAGGTTGTGATTGCCACACTGCCAGCGATGAAATCCTGGAATATTTGGCAGGGATTGACTGTGATACTTGAATCGGTAAACAAACCCTGGATCACAAGAAATGTGGTCAACAAATATGCATCAGGAACCAGTGATTATGGAACTGCTCACTGGTGAGAAAATATGTTCATCAGTGATTCAAACCGTCGGCATTGACATATGGCTCGATTGGAAGGGGTGGGCCCACCATGAGATATTCAGGGGATGGATGGGCCCAGATGGCTATCACTCTGCTAAGCGGATGGCCCAAATCCAATGGTTTTGCACTAGGGATGAGCCCACTGGTACAACATTGACAAGCAGGTGGGCCCCATACCTGTATAGGGCATAGACGAATGGGCCCATATGTTGTTATACCATGAGATCAGTGGGCCCATCGGCTAGGATTTCAACAGACAGTGGGTGGGCCCAGGTAATGAGATTTCAATAGATGGGTGGGCTTCGTAGCACCAGACGGATGGGTCAATGATTTAAATAAAGTGGCCAATAGTAGGCATGCCGACAGATAACAGTTCACCAAATCATCAGCTCCAGGATACAATTGACATACAATGGGATATAGCGGAGTCTTGCAACTTCTCATTTTTTCCCCTATTATTGATGTTGGGATGAATTCAATGCATCATGTAGATACTCACCAAGCACTATAAACATTGGATCAGTACTACTATAGTATATCATGTACTGGTGTTGAGTGCTGCAACATCAGCACATCTTACTGCTGCAAAAACCCAAGCTGATGCTGGCAAAATTTAAACCAGCACATTGGAAGGCCAACTGGTATTCAACTTATGACCTAGTGGACTGAACAGCGATCATGTAAACAGAACTACCAGTACATCACCGAACATGTAAATACAACTGTGTATCTACAAATACAAAATGTCCATATGATATACCAGTATATCTAAGAACTGCCGGTGATTGTAAACTGATCTACTTGTACAAAATGTTTTGCCAAATTGGAAATGTTCCTTACTCCGGTGTAGCTGATGTTACAGACACCAACTCCACAGATTGCTCTTGCTCTCCAACACTCATAGGATATGATGTCAAAGACATCGACTCAGCAGATTGCTCTTGCTCTCCAGGGGGTGATGTCACTGACACTGACTCAGCAGGTTCCTCTTGTTCTCCTGGCACCAATGTCACCAACACCGACTCAGCAGGTTCCTCTTGCTCTCCATTAATGGCATTGCTGGGCAGAGAAACCTCAGCAGCCAATGGGAGTGTTGGCAGGCGCAACTCGCAGCGAAGATCATCCAACTGCTCGGCAAGGAGTTTTGAACGAGCCTCTTGCTCGGCCAATTGGTCATTGGAATGCTGCAGAAGCTTCTCCCCAGAACCAACCTTCTCCACTAAGCCAGCAACCATGGCTTTCAGCAAGTCCAGTTCCTCCTTGAGGGCAAGGACAGATTCCCTGGTGTTGGCGCTAGTGTCAGTTGTGGTGGCGGTAGTGGAGGACTTGGCGATGAGAATGATGGTGCCGGCGGAAGGAGGGACGGTGCCTAGTACAGGTGCCCCTGAAGTTGTGGCCGGCAGGGCAGAGTCCATATCTTCTGCAGGTATGTTAAATTAGTGTTGTGAAATCAACAACAGACTTACCATCTGTATCTGCGGCAGCAGTGACAGGCAAAGGACAAGGCCAAGACTTTGAGTGAGTGCGGCGAGTATAAGTCGCCATGGACTTCTTTCTCCTGTTTGGGGCAGCAGAACCTTTGCCGCTGTCTTGCTACTTAAGGGTCTTATGTACAACGTGTATATAGTGACAACACAACTATACAGGATAAGACTTCTTGCCAGTCCTTAAGTACACGGTCTACGACTTTTCTAGTTTTCGTGGTAGATAACGTGTGAGTTCTTGGGAGGGTTTACTGACGTGTCCTCTTCTTGTTGTCCCTGGTGGAATACTCGT